ACTTCCAGGATGAATTGTCCAAGGTTGACCATGACATTGGTCGCACGGACGTGATCAGGCATCACATAAGCACTGGTGATGCTGGGTCGATCAAAGAGCACAGAGGCAAAACTAAGCTTCGAAATGCTGATGGGATATCCAGATGGCCATGCAAACAGTGCGGCCGTGATGAAGAATATGAGACAACTGGTGAAATACCCGAGGGTAAACCTCAAGGGAGTGAGTTCTTGGTTAGGGGCGTAGCTGCCCAACCAACCCTGTCACAAGATGCTTTAATAATAGCACAGTTGCAGGATGACACCGTGAGTTGGCTCATAAGGTTGAAAGAAGGGGGTCAAAGTCGACCAGAGTGGAAGACAATCGCCCACTCATCAGCAGCATGCAAGACCAATGGTCGCAGTAGGGCCAGAAGGAAGTCGGCTGCTAAGAGAAGGGTTGCCCCTCATAGCAGAACCGAGTTCGAGTGCCCATGTAACGAGTAGCAAAAGGCTTGCTCGGGCCATTGGACAATGGAACCGTTGGGCATTTCGTTGAAATTCCCAGCAAAATCTGTAAATAGTTGTGTATAAATGTTCATGTTTTTGGTTCGAGCTCAGGAGTTCTGCATGTCGTCATCCTGTGGTAGTCGAGTGTCTTTGCCAAGCTTGGCATGGAGATGGTTAAACCGGCGAAGCAAGCCAGGAGAACCAGTCGTCTAAGGGACGAGCCTGCCCAGAGCTTCAAGGCATCAGCGACACGACTAAAGGAGTCAACCCCATCCATGAAGAGGACTAGGACGGAGACCCGATGCATGATGGTACCACGACCCAGATGTGGCTGGATGGCAACAGAGTCGCCACCGACGAGCACAACAGGGGATACTTCGAGCAGGTCAAGTCTAGGCAGACGAGGTTAGTCCGATGGGAGACAGCGAGCGACGAGCTTCGAACAGTTTCACCGTAAAATGTTGAGTTATAGTTTTCACTAAAATTAAATGTTTATTGTCGATTAGGAAAAATCAATGAATCAAGATTCCTCCATTTTCATAATCTTCAAAATCTTGTAAATTTGTAAGTTTAACGGTTAATGCATCGCCTAATTTCAACAGTTAAATCATCCTCTAAATTTGTGTAAAATGCTGTGTACATTTTCTGTAAAATTCTGGTGGATATTTAATGAGCGAAATTTGATTCAGATTCTGTATAATCTCACCCTGTGAAATTTTGTGAATATTTAATGAGGTAAATTTTGGAGTTCTTGTGTACCTTTGACTGTGCACAGGAATCTTGTGAATATTTAAGGAGCTCAGAAATCTGCCCCCCCCCTTCTTATGTTTTATATTGAATTATAAACAAAAAGTTAAGTCGTATGTTTTCTATTGATTTATAAAGAAAAAGTTAAATCTTATGTTTTCTTTTGAACTTTAAAGGAAAAGTTAAACCTTATGTTTTATATTGAATGATAAAGAGGAAGTTAGGGTTTAGGTACACTTCCCTTTTATTTTTATTATGGTTATGGAGTATGAGGCCATACCCCACCAAGCTCGGGCCTATGTAGCGGAAAGTGTAGGGACTTATAGCTAGTTTATTTACAACGTCATCCCTATTGCACTAACGTAAATTCACTGTGTGTTGGTGACTGGGCGGAGCATAAGAGCCCAGTGGCTGAATGCGCGTACGCTATTGGTTGCCTAAGGCCCATAGGTTTAGTGCATGCATTTGTGTTTGTGCGGCGTATGCATGTTCACGAGGGCTATTCACGTGATCGCGCGAAGGAGTTGTGCTGTGGACAGCGGACGGTACGGTCGTGTATTGCTCGCGTTCTGTGTTTTGGGTAATGCTGACGCGCACTGTGTAAGGCGCTGGCCCTGACTGTGCTGAAGTTACGCTGTGTGATGCTGACGCGCAGCCGTACAAGTGAATGTACGGTACGATGCTGACCCTAGCTTGCATAGGTTAAGGCTGACAGCGTGTATTACTTACATTGGCGTGCATTGCTTACATTGGCGTGTGTTATTTACATTAGGTACATTGTTTACTTAGGTACATTGTTTACTTAGGTACATTGTTTACTTAGTGTACATTGGTTACTGAGTGAACGTTGCTGACTTAGTGTGCATTGTTTACCGCAGTGTACATTGTTGACTAAGCCGTGCATTGTTTACATTAGTGTACATTGTTGACTTAGCAGTGCATTGTTTACATTGGGTGCATTGTTCAAGCTGTGCGCATTGCTGCTTAGTTGAGCTGTCAGTTAACTCCCAAGTGTAATTAAGTGACCCTGATAATTAACAACCTCATTACGACTCAATCACTACTACCTATTTCTTGATTATTGTATAATAAATTACGTTCATATTTGTTGTGCCGACAATCCTGTTGTCCAGGTGTATTTGTTGTTGGTTTATTGTGCAATTAACAGTGGGTAATCACAATCATCATAATCGGCGGTATATTTCCTCCAAAACGGACCTGCTCCCTAGGCCTTGAAGTCGCTCTGAGTGGTCTCTCGTCTTGGGAAAGCTTGCGTTCGGGAAGATCAGCTACACTCTAATAGGTGTCAGACTTGGTCCCAACGAACTTAGGTTTGGCCCGGGGAGATCCCCGCCACAGTATTCAGTTACGGTATTGTGGCGCTGATCGAACCGGGGCTCCCCAAACTCAGGTCGCCCTGGCCTCCTGACTAAACCTTGGGTAAGCCTAGACGAGCGGTGATCTAGGTGACCTAGGGAATGCGTCCGTTCGGAAGGCCGTATGCCGCCAACACGTACAAAGTAGTCTCCTTAAGGGTGTTCACTTAAGGGAGGGACATCAACTGACAGACTGAACAAACGATGAAGGAACAGACACTGACACCTTTATTCATCAGACAACGACGACAATCAAGTTCTTTAATTCTCTATTGGGTTCAATTAGAATGTAAGAGTTAATCAACAATAATTACTGAATGAAACGGCACCTGCGTCAAGGGTGGACTATTCGCAGCGCTCCCCCACGCTCTTTTGCGACTTACTATCAGGCAACCCCAAGTTACCGGCGGCAGGACTCCCGAGGCCCCAGTGGATACAGCCCACGAGGTAGCAACACACGGACCAAGATTCAGATCCCCGGTGTGTCTCCGGCTACTAACCTCCTGTCCTCGCCCAGTCGTCAGCACGTCAGTGCAGCAACACGACAACGCACACACACACGTCCGTTCTCCACGAGACGCCGCAATTCACGTCCGTTCTCGACGACGCGCTGTGACCAACTCCTCCCGCGCGAACGGACCCAACTACAGAGGGCGCTGCGCAAGCTCGCTGCAGCTCGCTCTATAAATAACTCGCTGCAAGCACACCGTTGCGCTACACAGCCTCACCCTTAAGTTCAGGCCGTCCTCGGTCTTAAAAACTGGTATAACTAAAAGCAAAGGATGTGCTTGCTCCTAGCATGAAACAATAATTGTCAAAGTAATTTTCACTTAAGGCAATAAACTTAAGGTGAAGGTGAAACTTTGACACAACTCTAGTCACTTAAGGTAATGAACTTGAGGTAAACATTTGCAGGCATACTAAAGTAAACATCTACTTCGCTGGCAATTTCAGTTCACTTTTTGACTCTAACCAAATGATTTAAATAAAGATCTCTCACCGTACCTCTGTACACTTTACATACACAATGTAAAACTGTTTTACATGCAAAAGGTTCTCATGAAAATAAACACAACTCTGACTTAAGAGTCTTAAAATACAAAAAGGGTTTCAGTAACTTTCAACTTTAAGTAACTTTAAACAACAGTTTAGTCAAGCAACAACTTTGAATAAATCACGCCCTTAAGGTCATGAAAACAAAACTTAAGTTGCAGTTCTTAAGGTTCTTGATCAAGATGAAACTTAAGATGACTTTGCAGATATATAGCTACTGAAGAACAAAACCGGCAGTGAAGTTGACCTCGTAGGTTCTCTCAGTGATTTCTTCAGAAACCTTGACACCGTTCTGGAACCTTGATGTGGTGTGCACCTCCTTGACACGCCGGACCTTTCCAGCCATCATTATCTCCAAGTCGGGGGTGCTGACAGGTACTGCACGCTGTGACCCACGTTCATCTCCACGGATTTTGAACACTCTGGCTGAGGCTGGCTTGGGAGATGAGGTTCCCTGCGCAACACCAGTCGCAGGATAAGTGATGTGGTGCTTCTTCTCCTTACACTTCAGGGAACTTCCTTCAAGGACTCGCCCAAGGCTAATCTGCTGGGAAGGGGATACGGCTGCGGTATTACTCGGCTCACCATGAAGCACAACACGCACATCCTCCTCGTCCTCACTTCCACTCTCGGATTTCAGATCTTGAACAAGGGCCATCATTCCCTTCGGCTTTCCACCAGATCTGTGTTCCAAGGATTGCGGCTGTTGGCTAAGGCACTGATCGACCAACGACAATGAGCACGGGGAAAGGGACAACTCAGGAGCGTCCTCGGTCTCCATCCGTCCAGGAGTTAAGGGTACCGGCCATTTTAAGGCATCCTCGGTCGACGGCTCCTCTTTCCCCGTTTCAGACTCCTCTGCCGCCTTCGGCTGCTTCCCGCTGGGATTCCCAGTATCCTCAGTCATTTCTGAAGCTCGGCGCTTGTCAGGACGATCCTTCTGTCGCTCCTTGTTAGCCTGCCTACTCCCTGCATCAGCCTTTCCACGTTTGTGTTCTTCTTCCGTCTCCGGGTAGATCTTGGCCAAGTCATCCAGAGATGAAGGGTGGTGATTGTTGTAGTGCACCTTCAGATTATCCTTCCTCGTGTAGCCCCGCTCACACTTCAAGCAGAAGAACAAGATCTGCCTTGACCCATGACTACTCTCATGCTTGTCGAACCTCCTCTTGTTTATGAAGGTGTCACCGCACTCCTTACACTTGAAAAGTCGCACTGTGTCCCAGTCCTTGGGTCGACTCCACTCCTTTTTCTTGTCCATCCTTCAGTAGATTTTTCAACTGCAAAACGAAAAATAAACACCAAGGTAAGCCTCCTTAATACTTGTACATCCCCCCTTGAATTTGTCCTGCTTACGTCACTTATGTAATTCTGATCATCTCAATCTTTGATTAACGATAACGCTGAGGTGGCCGCCGCTGGCGCAGTGGGTTCTTTCTCGCCCGCGCTGGGCTTTGCACCACTGGCGCAGGTGCTATTTCAGTTCTAGTCGGTACTGAGGGTTGCACATGTTCCACATGTGCCTCCGGTGTCAAGTTCTCTTGAATTGACTCCTTGCTTCCCATCTGCTCATCTGCTCCTGCTAACTCCTCTGTTTCAGGTAGATTGGCTTCCTCAAGTGACTCTACTTCAGGTGAGGCCTGTGTTTCCTGGTCACTACCTTGGCTCACTTCACTTATCTCTTGCAGCTGAGTTTCGGGAGAAACTTGATTGTCTTCCTCCTGACTACTACTCCTCCTTTTGGCCCAAGGCTTCAACGGTTTTCCCTCATAGGGCTTGAGGCGGTCGCTGTGGACAACCTTCATCTTTTCCCCACTCTTCCCTTGAATCCTATAAGTCACGTCGGATAGTTTGTCCAGTATCAGGTATGGACCTTCCCATCTGCACATCAACTTTGGAGATACCCCTTTCTTTTTCGCTGGGTTAAACAACCAGCAGAACTTGCCCTCGACGAACTGTTCCTTGCAGACGTTCCTGTCGTAGTGGCGCTTCTGCCTCCTGGCACTCTTCGCAAGGCACTTACGGGCTCTGTCATGAGATCGCTGCATCCTCATCCGCATCTCTTGGGCATAGTCCAAGTCTTGCGTCTCCTCCTCTGCAGATGGTTCCCCAATTGTCAGATCAATTGGAAGGGAAACTTCCCTGCCAAGCATGACCATGTTGGGTGTTTCCCCCGTTGATTCCTGTGGAGTACTACGGTACGCCGCTGTTGCAAAAGGCAACTCTCTATCCCAGTCTTTCTTGTTTCCCTGGTCCTTCATCATGATTGCTACAATGTTCACTAGTGTCCGATTAAAGCGCTCGACCATGCCGTCTGATTTAGGGTTGTATGGTGTTGTCCGAGTCTTTTCTACGCCAAGGATCTTACAAACTTCGGCAAGTAAGTTCGCCTCAAAGTTCCTTCCCTGGTCGGTGTGCAACGTCCTGGGAACTCCAAACCTGCACACGAACTCCTCGACAAATCGCACCGCAACGGTGACCGCCTTTTCGTCAGGGATGGGATACGCTTCAAACCATTTACTGAAGTAATCACCGATCACAAGGATGTATCGGTTTCCACTGGTTGTTACAGGGAAGGGCCCACAGATATCCATAGCCACTCGCTCGACAGGTACCCCAAATAAGTGTTGTTGTAGAGGTGCATTTTGCTTCTTGCTCGGCAACTTCCTCGCCGCACATAAGTCGCACCGCCTAATGAAGGACCTGACATCAGCACTAAGGCCTGACCAATGGAACTTAAGGCGTACCTTGGTCATGGTCCGTTTTGTACCCAGGTGACCGCTTGTCCTTACTGCATGCATCTCCCGCAGTATCTCCTCCCGATACTCTTGTGGCACTACAGTCTGCCAATGCACCTCCCGTCCATCGTGGGACTCCCACCGACGCTGCAAGATCCCTTGTCGGACTGTCAATTGTTCCCATTGCAGCCAGTAATTCTTTGCAGCTGTGGATTTTGGAGAAACTATCTCCCAGTCAGGGCGTGTGCCTGCCTCTTCCTTAGCCTGAATAAGCCAGTTCATCTGCTCGTCCTCGAGTTGAGCCCTTCTCCAACCTTCCTTTGAGATTTGGGGTTGCACCCCCACCACGCGTAAGTCTGCTCGAACCTCTGCGTCTTGATCCGAAGTGTCCATCACAACACTTCTTTCCACAGATTTCCCTTCATCTTCGTCACAGCTGATTTCGTCTCTTCCGCACCGTGAGCGGGGTCGGTGTGACAGGCTATCAGCATTCTGGTGTGACTCCCCAGCCCGATGTCTGTCAACACACTTGATCCGCTCCCCATTTACAGTAAATGTCAAGTTTCTAAAATCCAGCCTCCCATTGGTCGGCAACAAGTAATCCATTCCCAGGATTCCTTCGACTTCCAGTTGTGCAAAAACAACACAAACTACTCTCACTGTCTTCCCAACCTGGACCTCTACACAGGCGCTTCCCATAGTCTTGATTAAGGTACCGTCTGCACCATGCACCCCAACTCCTTCAGTGTTCAGCGTAGGTCTTCTTTCTGGTGACATATTGTAGTACGTCGACGCAGAAAGTAAGGTGTTTGTAGCTCCGGTATCGATCAGCATGTTCACCTTCACTCCCCTAACCACAGCAGGTACGAAAAGTCCACTTCCCTGTCGCAGCGTCTCCCTTAAGGTTGGCACCTCAAGGGTGGGCAAGCCTCCTCGCCCGCAACTCAAGGGGGATTCCTTAAGGGTTTCCTCTCCTCGCAGTTGTCTATCACTCTCAAGCGGTACCTGGTGGGTCTTCACTGATCCACCTCCCCTTTGGAGGTGGCCTCCTTTGAATTTGTCTGACCCTTGACTTCTTCCAGCCCTCTCACGGGTCCCTGAGATGGCTGCATGTCGTTTATCCGACATCCTTGATCTCCTGGCCTTCGGCTTCTTGCAGTCTCGCGCAAAATGTCCTTTGCACCTGCAATTGTGGCAAACGTCCTCAGTGTTTGCCTTCCTGCGTCCGAAAGGTCGTATCGTATCCTTGCTCCCAGTAGGAACATTCTCCCCTAGACGGGAAATTATCTGCTGGACAGCTCGATCTACGACTGCCTGATTAACCGGAACCTCTCCCGTAGCCTCCACGGTTGGTTCTGTTTCCACCATTCTTGCATACTTCTTGGTTTTGTCTGCAGCTCGCTGCTCCTCCACCTTGTGGTAGCTCTCAGCAGCCAGAGATGCCTTTATCGAGTCATCCAGGGATGTTGGTTTGGCCCTGAAAATTGCTTCTCTAATTGCCCTATTTCCAACTGAATCCATGAAATGTCCTCTCGCTAATCGATCCCTTCCTTCCTCTGAGAATTCGGGATACGCTAACGCAGAGAGTTCCCTGATACTCTGCCCTAACTCCTGTAATGTCTCTTTTTCTCCCTGCCGACGATGTCGCAGCTCCATTAAATGGTACTCCGCCTGTTGACCTGGGCCGAACCTCTGGTCTAACGAGCTGATTAAATCCCTGAAGGAATATTTCTTACCCTCCGGCTGGCAACCCAACACACTTAAGGCTGGTCCCTGGAGGCTTGCAGCAAGAAACACCTTCGCTTGACCATCGTTCCATCCATTGGCCACACGACAGGCCATGAAGTGTGCCTTGTAGTCCTTCCAAGGCACCTTACCGTTAAATCTATCCGGACAAATGTTCGGTTTCTTCAACTTAATCTCTGTTTCAGCCACGTCCTCCTTGACTGGCTCCGATGTGTTTTTCTCCTTAAGGACCGTTCCTGCAGGTCCATCTTTCTTGGTTGTCTCCAAGGTACATTCCTCTCTCACAGAGGTCGCCATCGTATTGGCTGGTGTTGCTGGCACTGTTCCCAAGGGTGACAGTCTTGGTGTAAGCGAAAACAACTCAGGAGTTTTAATTCCTGGTGTCATTTCCAGTCCACGCTGCGTAGACTCCAGCAACTCCCCTTTTATTTTCTCCAGTTCGTCCTTCAGACGCTGCCTTTCCTCAATGGCATCCTGAAGAAGTTCCTCTCCTCTCTGGTTATCCATCCTAAGAATGGCAATTTCTTCCTCCATCATGTCTGTATTCAGCAGTTCCATTCCCTTTATCCTCGATCCTCAAGGTTCCTGATGTACGCTTTTATCCCACTTCTGACACCAATGTGGCGCTGATCGAACCGGGGCTCCCCAAACTCAGGTCGCCCTGGCCTCCTGACTAAACCTTGGGTAAGCCTAGACGAGCGGTGATCTAGGTGACCTAGGGAATGCGTCCGTTCGGAAGGCCGTATGCCGCCAACACGTACAAAGTAGTCTCCTTAAGGGTGTTCACTTAAGGGAGGGACATCAACTGACAGACTGAACAAACGATGAAGGAACAGACACTGACACCTTTATTCATCAGACAACGACGACAATCAAGTTCTTTAATTCTCTATTGGGTTCAATTAGAATGTAAGAGTTAATCAACAATAATTACTGAATGAAACGGCACCTGCGTCAAGGGTGGACTATTCGCAGCGCTCCCCCACGCTCTTTTGCGACTTACTATCAGGCAACCCCAAGTTACCGGCGGCAGGACTCCCGAGGCCCCAGTGGATACAGCCCACGAGGTAGCAACACACGGACCAAGATTCAGATCCCCGGTGTGTCTCCGGCTACTAACCTCCTGTCCTCGCCCAGTCGTCAGCACGTCAGTGCAGCAACACGACAACGCACACACACACGTCCGTTCTCCACGAGACGCCGCAATTCACGTCCGTTCTCGACGACGCGCTGTGACCAACTCCTCCCGCGCGAACGGACCCAACTACAGAGGGCGCTGCGCAAGCTCGCTGCAGCTCGCTCTATAAATAACTCGCTGCAAGCACACCGTTGCGCTACAGTATTAAAAGGCTATTACATGTACATGCATTATGTCTTAGTTTTTGTCTTACTCAAAAACTACTGGGTACATCTTGGTCAAATTACGACTGATCAGTACAGAAATTCCTTAGCAATCCAGCCAGAATCTTTGTTTGGCCCAAAACAGTGATAATGTGTACAAAATTATGCATTTATGACAAATGATACTGAAAAAAAGTTTCACTTTGTATATGTGCAAGGCGAGTGTGAAGAATAACCTGCAGGGATACAAAACAATAAACAATTTATTTGTTTACCAATTAAAATTGACAAATTATCCAAAATAACTGAAATGTATTCTTGGGGAAATACCCCTAGTTCAACAATATGAATATCTGATATATATAAATATATATACATGTATATTTTTTATTTAACTACAAACTATAATTTCGATGATTTAATCAAGGAAAATGATCTTTTCAAGATGGAGAATCTGTAATATATCAACTGCTCCCTTTTGTCTACAAACAGCTTTTATCATTTCAAGAACAAATGCTCCTAATCCATACAAAGAACACCCAATATATTTCTGGTTAAAAAATCCCAGAGTACATGTACATATATTCAATTTTCGATGTTGGTATACCCAATTCTTGGTAGGCTTATTCACATGACACACCCATTCTATTTATCCGTTGGTACCCATTTCTCGGTAGGCCTATCCACCCGGTACACCCATTCAGCAGGATGGAAGTATCCTCTATAGACAACGTCGTCAGGTGTGGTGTCATAGTGATAATGTCCCCCAGCACCATGATGACTGAAGCAATGGGTATGCTCAATCCTCAAATCTAACCCCTGAAATTCCAACAAAAGAACCATAAATGTCAGTTCTGGCAAAGCTACAGTAGTCAAGTCTTCACAAGTCAATCTTGACATTAAATTCACCTCTGCCCGAAGGGCAACTTCATTTTTAAAACATTCACGAGGCCTGAGTAATACATGAATTGCCATCAAAATATGACACCCAAGTAACCATTTCATATTGGACTGGTAACTTTGAAAACTTCAGCAAAAAAAAATAAAAAAATAATGATATACAAAAATGCAAGTATCTTCAACTCTGTCAACAACTACTTCAAGATGACACAGGTTTTGGAATGAAACACTGATCGCACTTACTTAAGGTCAAAGAGCAAAGCTATTAGGACAGGACCAGAGAATTGAGCTCGAGACTTTTTGACTTCCAGAAATGAACAAAAATACATGTAAAAGAAATAACTCCAACTTACCGGATCATGTGAATAGAAGACACTGAGACAGATGATCGGTGCGTCAAACTCAATAAACTTCAGCCACTCCTCGTTTTCTTTAATGCTGGTGATGGGAGTTGGACAGAAATCAGGCTGGGGGAAATATCAGGAGGACTGGTTGTGTAAATCCTTGGTTAAAAGGGAAACAAGCAGCGGCATAGGCAAGATGGACGGGGCATGGGGGGGGGGGGCTCAGCCCCCACTACAAAATTGTGTGCCCCCCCCCCCCCCCCACTGGAAATTTGTTACTGGAAGTGACCATGGTTGACGGTTTTAACAGAAATTGGGAACCCAAATGTAACATCCACCCCCCCCCCCCCCCCCCCCCCCCAAGGTGAGAAACCTGGCTACACAGCTGGAAACAAATATATATTGGAAAAAACTGGCTTTTTTCAAATATTGCCCCCATTTTACCATATTTAGTTAGTCCACATTTTGTTTGCAATCGATTACACTCCTATGAACGGGTACAAGCCAGCTAGCCTGGCTCCCTGACCTTACAATTCCCCGACGTCTACAAATTAGCTCCGTTTCATCTTAAGTGGGATCGGGGAACCAGACAAGAACATGATTGTTTTGTTTTATTTGTTTCTTCCAGCATCTACGAACACAAAACTTCAAACAAGTCAGTGTAACAATATTTACAATAAAATACCAACCCTCCAAATCCATCCATTTCTGAAGATTACATCAAAAACATGTGTTGTATGTATTCCCTTTAAGTCGATTCAGAATGGCTGTTGACTGGTCTTTTCCTCCAATAATCCTATTTCAAATGTTTGGTCTAGGGTGAGACTTGAGCAAGTCTGATTAATAAGTGAGAGTCAGTGAGTCAGTCGTACAAAGAAGACTTTAGGCTGGCCACTCTGGGACCAGCAAAAAGAAGCAGAAGGAGTAATATGTACCATGATATGTAGCCATGCTTTGCCTTGTTCAATCATAAAACTTCCGCCCAATCCCACCGGCTTCTCTCCATATCGCTCGTTCATCACTTCCCTCATGGCCGCCACAAAATCAGCCTCTCCAGTTCTCTTGCTGGCTTTTACTTCCAATACCTAAGCAGAAACAAACCTTTATCAGTATTGGAACATAATCCACTGGAGAAACCCTGGGTATGTTCTATGCGCTCAAAGTTTTCAAACGGTGTCAAGCCCAATGTAAAGAAATAGTGGATGGACTCTACCTTCCTCAATCCTACAAAATATTCCACTGTGCAGGAGCCCAATGGCATGCTCTTTGTACCTACCAAGTTTCACGTGGCATCAAACCCTATGTACACGTTGAAGTATAGTGGCTGGGCTGTTTCTTCCTCAACCCTACAAAATCCTACAAACTGTTTTAAACTTCATTTCCCCCCCCCCCCCTGTTTTTTTTCTTCTTTTTTTTGAGGTGTTGAAATCCAACCATAAAACATGTTTTTAAAAGACAGGACTAATTTTCAAAACCATGTTTTAAACAGAATAAAAACGTGTATTTTCTGTTTGCTTTCGGTTCGGGTAGGTATCAGTATTAAAACCCTCCTTGGTGTCACATGACCACAACATGCAAATTTCAAACAATTTTACCACATTGTATCACACTGATCTCCCTACAAAAATCTGGATAGCCCATTGGCTGTTAGAAGTCACCGTCTGCCATATACACTCCGAAAACAAAAGCTTTGTAAAGAAATTTGATTGATATCTACACTTTTACAACGGGAATAAATGTGTGCTCCGGAGGTTTTTATCACTCTGTTTAAGACTGCTTAGAGTCTGGGTGCTGATAATTACCCGAGCCGGAGGCGAGGGTAATTATCAGCACCCAGACTCTAAGCAGTCTTAAACTGAGTGATAAATACCAACCGAGCACATATTTATTCCCATTCATAAATACCTTTTTGGTAAAAAAATCAAATAATTCGTTCAAAAATCCCGATTTTGTTCAACAAGTTCTCTTCATGCTTTTTGAAACATCCCTCTAGCAAAATAATGGAATCTTCAGCTGGCGAGTAAGATGTAAACAACCCTTTTATGGAGATTGACGCGCGCGTAGCATGTTCTGCGCGAAGTTGCGCAGAACGCACCTGGGGCGTTGCGTTATGAATTTAGAACTATAAAATTCTGACTCGCTGGTAGTGTTGCGCATGCCTACTTGAGGATTGTGAACGTTCCACCAATAAAACGGTAAGAGGCACTGGATTTTTAGGAGTCCAAATTTTATTGAGACAGTGGAAAAGTGTTTAAGACCAGCTAGCCATGTCTTTATCATCCGTTTAAGACTAGCCACGTGACGTGCTCTTGACCAATAAGAATAGCTAAACTGTCTGAGGTATTTATGAATCAACAATATATTACGTTTTGGTTTAATTTTTTTTAAATGGCAACAAAATATAGTTTATAAAAGAATTCTGTTAAGAAAAAAAAGGTTTAGATACTTTTAGACGACTCTATATTAATTATTTTGAACAATGGGAGTGGTTGAGGCTGGTTTCCTCCCCACATTCAAATGGAAGGATCGGGAACCAGCATGTAGCTTCATTGTTTGTAAAGCTCGGAATGGACAATGAGCTATACAGATTTTATGAATGAAGATCAGTGCATTGCATACCTTTCCTGGTTTGCCTTCTGAACAATAGAGATTAACCATGAGGGCGCACTCCGTACTCGAGCATTTCTCCAATATTGGCTGTCCACTGTCGACGTCTAGTCTGATGTCATGTGTGCAATTGCTGCCTTCCTTAGCAGCTGTTGAGGCTACAAGGTTTGGCATCAGCTGAAATTTTAGAAAAAAACAAACAAACAAATAGATAAAAAATGTATACATAGTTTGCAACTTCTTTGCATCTGAGTGGGTGTACTTCTATCATGAATAGTTATAAGGGGAACAGGGTGTTACAACTGATAATGTAGTAACCAACGGATAATGTATCACCAACCGATAATGTCAAACAAATTGACCGATACTGTATCACCAACCGATAATTTAACAGAAATTGACCGATAGTGTAGTAAAAATGTACTACACTATCAGTCGATTGTTGTTACATTATCAGTCTTAACCGATAATGTAACAAATATTGACCGATAGTGTGGTAACATTTACTGCACTATCGGTCAATTTCTGTTACATTATCGGTTAGTGATACATTATCGGTCATTTTGTGTGACATTATCGGTTGGTGATACATTATCCGTTGGTTACTACATTATCAGTTGTAACACAGGGCAACTTGATATATAAACAGCTCCTTTACTCCTTAATTATTAAGCCATGCAACCCTTCAAGTTTGACTGGTTCGTCCACTTCTTAGACTCGTAATCCTAAAAGTGTTTTTTAACATTTCAGTTTGGAGAGCATTAGATTCCTAGAGAATGAACTACAACTGACTTACGATTTCATTTGTGATTTGACTCGTGACCGTTTCTTTTATTTGACTTGTGATTGACTTATGATTTGACTAATGATTTGACTTATGATTGACTTATGATTTGATTTATGATTGACTTACGATTTGACTTATGATTGACTTATGATTTGACTTGTGGTTGACTCAACAGCTCTTCATATTCCGGATATAAAGAGAAGTGATAAAACAAACCTCACTGTTTACTCCGACGTGTTTATAAGGCCCAGCCCCGGCCCCAATCATAAACGCACCAGGGAGGTCTGCTAACTCAGCGACCTTTTCCATATCGTAAATCTGAAATTGAAACATCAATCATTCACTAACTTTTTAGATCCATCAGAAAAACTGAATATTAAATTACAAGCACAAAAAGCCTTAAAAGGACCCATGATATGAATTTCACTCAATTTGTGTATTGAGTTGAGTTACACGTACTAAAGCCCGGTTCATACTCAGCGCGAAAGCAAAAGTTGAACATATTCCAACACGGGCGAATTTCGCAGCGAATGTTTCATGACGTCAAATTTGCTTCGCATTCGCATGAAGTATGAACCGGGCTTTACTTGGAGGGGGGGGGGGGGGGGAAGAGGGGCGGGGGGCAGGGTGTGGCGAGTCAGCAGAATGGTGTGTCTGCACGTCGGCAAATGTGCTGCAACGAAGAGTGCCACCTATTGTCAAAAAGTGTCCAAGATTGTCCGCTTTTGAACCGCGCCTCCAATACTTCGATATCCACGTAGGTCCCCCAACTTCTTAACCTTCGGGCAGCAAAGTTACCGGAAATATTCCTGGCTACATTTCAATACAGAGTGTCTGTCGCTAAATTTGTTCAATTGTTTCAAGCACACCCATTGATACCTTATCAAGCTTGGGCAGCGGATGAATGTTAGGTATTCCTCCTACATCCACAGCCCTTGAACTCCCACATAATCCTACAAATACCAAGAAATGAAAATGTCAGAATCAAACATTAGCAAATGAGGTAAATAAAATAGGAATTTTTTTGAAGTTGAACAAAGAAATTGACCAAAGCGGGGTTAGAAACTGCGACCTTCGTGTGGGGGCGACAGCCCCCCATGTAACCTTATCGCCCCCCCCCCAGTCGCCCCCCCCCCCCAACTGAGATTTTGAGTTTCTAAAAAAATTATCATTGATCTACATGACGCCCCCCCCCCCCCATGAAATGTTCCAGCCCCCCCCCAGCGCCCCCCCCCCTGAAAAATTCCTGGCTACGCCACTGACCCTGTGTGTGCCTTCTAATTCTAGGAGTGCATTTTAAACATTATTCTCATGTTTGGAGTCAATTATTGTTTTATATTTTTTGCTTGAGAATTCCCTTGTGGGCTTGAAAGCGTGAGAATAACCTGAAATGCGTGAGTCTCACGCTCAATGCGCAAGAGTTGGCAGGCCTGCTTTTTGCAAGCAGGGATTGACCCTTGACAGTTTTGAAATCGGGTGCCAAGGAAGTGCCCTCAATTTGGCGCGTTTGGGTAGGCCTACAAAGCGCCCTCTCCTGCCCATGCACAAATCCATTACGAAGCTGGGTCCCAGTTTTGTAGTTCATACTTCACCTGGTGCTGCTAGAGTGAATGGCTGCTGACTTAAATCTGGACAATCCACAACGCTGACGGACACCGAAGCAAAATATGACTTCAAACCATCCTCCAGAACTACAGTTCACGAAAAGCCAGATAAGTACGTAAATTAGCATCGATTGAAGGTGATGAGCTATGAAATAATTTCCTGAATTGACAAAAATGATCATTTTTCCATGTAACTGAATGAGTTTACATGAGTTCTATAGCCGGGTTATCAAGAAAATACAAATCATTTATGGAAAACTAAAGTAGGCCTAACATTTATTCATAAATTATTGGGAAAAAAACCTAAAACTAAAAGTTTGCACATTCGTTTTGTAGCAACCTACTCAATTAAGATTGAAGAGGTCAAGTATGCGCACGCTTCATACAACCCAAAAATTACTTTCACCTTATTCAGTCTCCCTTTTGAACCCCCACCCCCCCCCCACTACATCTTACCAATTTAATTGTAATTTAATTTTTTATCAATACTCCCCCACTTTACGTTTAACCGATTTTACACCCTCCCCCCACAAAAAAAACCTGGGCAACTTTTTAAAAACAAGTCCCAATTTGGCAATGCCTCTCTCCCCCTCCCCCCCCCCCACCGTACCGCCACAGTACATGTTATTGTTTATAGGTAGGGCATGGAGCTATAAACACATGGCCATGGGTAGGCTAGCCCCACTAGTGTGGCCGCGGTATGCTGCGCTGAACCTCTGGCCACACACCGTGGTCCGCGCACTACGGAGGACGTTTTCGGAAAATATACAGGCAGTTTCTTACATACGGTTGTATTCTACGATGTCCCATCTATCACTTCTGGGATGCTTAGGTGTAATGATGTTCAATTTTCCGAGATATTCTTGAATCTTTCTGGAGCCCATATGCACTCGAGAAACGTCCGGTGATGGCAGCCATTTTGAATGTGACAAGAGATGACCTCAAGCTGTGACGTCGCGTTTATGCAAATTGCTTGTCGAGCGAGGGCGCGAGTTGCAAATGCGACGGCTGTTTCCTGTGTCGCGCGCATCATCTAAGCCGTCGACATCGGTGCCCACACAGTGCATGCGCAGGGTATTATTTTAATTTTTATTTGGAGCAGGAAACAGCCGTCGCATTTGCAACTCGCGCCCTCGCTCGACAAGCAATTTGCATAAACGCGACGTCACAGCTTGAGGTCATCTCTTGTCACATTCAAAATGGCTGCCATCACCAGACGTTTCACAAGTGCATATGAGCTCCAGAAAGATTCAAGAATATCTCGGAAAATTGAACATCATTACACCTAAGCATCCCAGAAGTGATAGATGGGACATCATAGAATACAACCATATGTAAGAAACTGCCTGTAAATTTTATGCAAACTTCGTCCTCAGTAGTGCGCGGTACCACGGTGTGTGGCCAGAGGTTCAGCGCAGCATACCGCGGCCACACTAGTGGGGCTATGGGTAGGCTAACTTTAAAAGAATGTCAGACAAGTCGACCGTTGAGACAACTCGACTCGGGACAAGTCGACCGTTGAGACAAGTCGACCGTTGAGACAAGTCGCCCGTTGAGACAACTCGACTCGGGACAACTCGACCGTTGAGACAGCTCGACTTAACGGAAATGTATACACGTGGAGCGGAAAGTGTTGCATGGCAGGACCGATCCCGGGCGCGGCGCGGGCAAACTTGATGCACAGAGGGCGCGTCGGGCCGGCGCGCCCCGCCCGTGAGGACCGGGCCCAGCCCGGCACGCGGGCACGTCGACCGGGGCGGCAAGTGGGCGCACAGGCCCGGCATAAACGATGTCACCGTGCACGGTACGGCCACGATGACCGACCGGGGATGGGATAAGTGGGCGCACAGGCCCGGCAAAAACGATGTCACCGTGCGCGGTACGGCCACGCTGACCGGGGATAAGTGCACGCACAGGCCCGGCTGCGCTATATCGGCTCTGTTATCATGGTTATATCCAACAACAAAAAACAACTCATGTGTCATCACTCCCAAACGGCGATCAGCCGCCGTAAAAATCCCTGGGACTATCCCCAAAACAAGCAACAAAAACATGCGAGGCGACTTGTCTTAACGGTCGACTTGTCTCAAGGGTCGACTTGTCTTTCCAATTATCGCACATACGGTCGACTTGTCTCAACGGTCGAGTTGTCTCAACGGTCGACTTGTCCCGAGTCGAGTTGTCTCAACGGTCGACTTGTCTGACCCCCCTTTAAAACTTCCTTTTTGCATGCACTGATCAGCTGATCATGCTGATGCAGGCCACTGATGCATATCATGATGCCAACAAAATCACCACTAAAAACTGTGATTTTTATGCCCTAGCTCACCTGTCGCTAGCTCTTCCAGATCTGGAACATGGAGGGCTTTCTTCTCTACTGGCAAACTCATGATCAATCCTAATAAAATATATGAACAATCTACCAAAAAGTGCAGCGTAGCCGTAGTCACGTCTAAGGATTCTCGATATCGCCCAGAATCGAGGCACGTGTTGACACAGACCAGCTGATATGGAGCTATTTTTAGCTCCACTTTTTTGGCTACCACCCCTATGTAAAGGTGGATATTCGGGTGTGTTTGCTCAACAAAAACAGCAAAAATAAATATCTTGTTTTCGAGAAACTTATTAACATATTGTTCATAATATATTTAGGGATTCATAATATATTTAGAATGATGTGTTTTTTTCCCCTTTTATTTAATCAAAGTGGATGTCATTGATAATATTCCACACCACAGATTTGTTTGTGCAAAGTTCCCCCCGCACGTGGCTTGGCCTAATGTAGCGCCCTCAATAGTTTATGTTTCATGAACGTTTGCTTGCAAAAGTTGGGAAGTTGGAGACGTATTGTATCTAGCGGGAAATTTGATATTTTGTTGTAGTGAGTTTTACAATGTATTACTTAGAGTAAAATAGACCTGGGTAACTGTTCAAAATTATGTACAAAATATTGCAACAATGTAGGGCTTGTGACTTTGTTGTGCGAAATGGTGGGGGTGTGTAACAATAGCAAAGTCAAAAGTGGCAAATAGCATTAGCGCTGTGGGATGTCTGTCATGTCTGTATCTGTATCAGTTGCTCCAGCTAAACGGTAGAATCCGCATCCCGCTAGAGTTGGGGCGGCTGTGCTGGAGCTAGTTGACTTAGGTTTTGGTTCCCTCCCCAATGACGTGGTCTACTAAGGCTTGTTTAAACTGGTTTAAGATGTCTTCATATTCTTCATTCTTACGCTGCCCCCCCCCCCCCAGAATTCTTTCCACTACATTATTATTATGTCTCTTATTTTTATATACTTTCATGTCCACTCTACTTTTCATCGTTAAATCTTTTCCTACCCCTAGGTAAGGGACCTTGCGTTGCAACAGTATAATTGTTAAGAATCGGTGAACGAGGATGTAGCTAGACTTGCCAAGCACAGCCGGTGCTCGGCATCGACAAGACCGTTATCTTGTCGCGCATTCTTAAGAATGTGCTCTCAATCTGGAAGAGGTTTTTTGCGAAGATTGCGCAAAGATCCGATTGCGCAATCATAAGAATGTGCATACGCATTCTTATGATTGCGCAAATCACAAGAAAGCGCACAACAACTTCAAACTTTATTGTTTCTAACAAAATTGGAAATGTTTCTCAGTCCCAGATTCATTTCTTGTCAACATTTTTGCAGTGGCCTGCTAGTCTGCTAGTGGAGTGCTATAAAACCTTCAGTGAGATGGTGTATGATGAAAGAAGTGGCGTCAGAATTCTTCAATTTTCTCGACTCTTTTGATCATACAAAATTGTGTTCAAAGGAATTTTTACCCTTTCTACATGTAGGCCTAGCAACAATTTTGTTGGAAACAAATCAAAAGACAATTATACGCAATGTATGACAGTATCTGTGCAAAATATATTCAAATGCATGAATTGAAAAAAAAAAAAAAAAGGAGGCAGCCGGGTACTTCTAGAATTAGAAATAGAAAGCTTCTCTCCGTCAGCAGCCTTCTAATTCTAGAAGTAGCGGCCGGGAAAGAAAAGGAAGCAGGCAGGGATGAAAAACTGGTTTTGTTCTTCTTGGCCTTCTATTCTAAAAATCTTGTTATCCTTGGCATTGTGCAAATTCACTCAACTGTCCAAGACTCAAGCAGTAGAGTATTTATCACACATCTAGCTCCAAAAATTTGCCAAAATGATGACGACTTGACAAAAATACCTCAATATAAATCATGGCACATGGCTGGAGCACACAGTGTGGCATGGAACGATGCACTTGTTGTTGGCAACGTACGCAATGGGCGAGGCCTGATGCAGGGCTTACGCCCGAACAATGACAATAGCCCCAAATATTGTTGAGACAGTCCAAACAGTAGTTGGGCCAATCCTAACTGTAACTGGGATTGTCCAAACTAAAGTTGGGATGATGCCATAGTTGGGCCTTTTTTTGGGGGGGGGGCATAATAGCACCTCTGTCAAACATATGGAAAACTGCAATATTGAGACTTTTTTTCCAAACTAGGAAAGATGTAGTCCAACTAACTTTGACCCTACTTATCGGCTTTCTTAATCTGGCGCCAGATCATGTCCGAATGTTAAAAAGGCGATAAGTAGGGTCAAAGTAACTTGGACAAGGAAAAAATGACAATTTTGTTTAATTATGTTTGGAAAGTGGCATCAGATAAGTAGGGTCAAAGTAACTTGGACACGGCAAAAATGACAATTTTGTTTAATTATGTTTGGAAAGTGGCATCAGGATAAACTACATATTTCCAAACTAAAGTTTGCACTTTCAGGTTTATGATAATTTGGGTGACTGAATTCTCCTTTCCTCTTCCCCACCATAACAAAGGCAAACTTTCTCAAAGCGATGCAACTCATTAACCATGCTATGTTTGAAGACGGTCAGAGCATACTGACCGGAACGTCGAGTTTATACCTCTGGTTCTTTTCAGAACCATTCTCTTAGTTGAGAAATTATTCGCACATGGTGTTTCCGCAAACCTTTCATTATCATGCTATGTTTTGTTTCAGGTTTCCAGAAAGATGAGTGTTGTATCATGACAACTGAGATGAAACAATGACCCTTCTTAGTGTAGGACTGTGCCCAGCATTGACAAAAGAAACAGTAGATGCACTGAATGGTGGAGGAATAAAAACAGGTAGGATGAAATGACAAATCATTTATATGTCAGGAGAAAATGAAGAAAGTTTTTGGAATTTGTCTTTTGAAATTGAACTCAAGTTTTGAAGGAGACTCGGGTAAACTGAGAAATTAATATACATTTTGTGAAAATTCAGAACAAAATTTTGGTTTTGTAGGATAATGAGCAGAATGGATTTTCATTCAATTTTTTTTTTTGTGATTAAAAAAGTATCCCACAACAGAAAAGTTGTGCAAAATTGTTAAATTTTTATTGAAAACTTTTCAAGGGAGCATTTATTACTTGAATTAAACATCTTGCATGAGTGCTTAAGCCATACATTGTGATTACATTTTGAAAAACCTTTATTCGTCTTCGGTTCTGAGGCTGTCTATACACAACTTTGAGAGTTATTTTCAGGCCAGTGACTGGCAGTGCTGTTGTGTTTAATGCCGCGTTTCTTGTGTTATTCATGATTTATTTCCTTCTTCAGTGCTGGATTTTATCTGCGCAGATGTTGAAGACCTGGCTCAGAAATGCTCCATCTCATACAAGGTACAGAAAATGAGAACTGCAGAGAAGCTATTAACCCTAACTCCCTAGCGTCTTTACTAGGAACTGGACCAAGTCTATCAAATTCCATCAATCACTGTGCATCCAATACTGTGCATGACATAATGGAATCCACCACTGACGCACTGGTTGACATCAAGGGCGGATCCAGAACACAATTTTGGGGGGGGGCCAAAAAAAAATTTGGTGCCCCAAAAAATTGAGTCCAAAAAATTACGGCGTGGTTTTTTTTTTGATTCTAGATGCGCTGTGGTGCGATCTGAGGCAATTTCTGACCACTTTAACCAATGTTTTTTTGAGGAAAAGATGGTGGTGTACTCATTGCCTGCATTTATTGCGATGTCACATTAAAAAAAAAAAATTGGTTTCGTTTTGGGGGGGGGGGGGCCCATGGCCCCCTTTGGCCCCCCCCTGGATCCGCCCTTGGTTGACATTCATGGACTTGCTACCGGTACATATGGCTTTTATCACAATAGCAGTACAGGAAGCTAGGCAAAATCAATCGTTTACCCCTATCACTGCTTCAAGCCATTAGGCCCAAGTCCATCATACTCCATCAATATTTAGTCAAACCAGGCGACCTGGACCAATCAAGTCCCCCAAAATCCAACAAAATGGGAGGATGGATTTTGATGGAGTTGGGGTAGTTAGGGTTAAATAGGTTAATTTGTGTAGCAGTACTTTCCTTGCTTCAACCGCTGTGACCCGGGTTTGATTCCTTCCTGGGTCAATATGTGAATTGTATTTTCAGTACCTGCCTGATTCCGTGGTTTTCCCCAGAATATCATTCTGGGGTTTTCCTCCTACCTCTGAAACTGTAATTTCTTCTCAATGTCTTCTCCCTACTAATACAGGGTTTCTTCATGCTTTCGAGCTACAGTGCCTGGGGCGCTTTTGTGGAATCCTTGGTTTTCGTTATAAGAAATAACTGCCAGTTGCCACTTTTCCCAAAATGCTTTGAAGCTCTGGTGCAAATTCACTGAAGTACCAGTTGTGATAACGTGTTTCTTTTTGCTTTTTTCTTCTTCAGGTTTTGCAATCAATCAGGAGATTGTTGCTTGCCCAGTATTCATCCTTCCCCGTCAATGGAGCTGATCTCCATGACGACGTGATGTCATCAGTTGCTATCCTATCAACTGGATGCAGCAGGTACATGTAGACACTTAAGACACAAGTTCTCTCTCGTTAGCTCCAGATCTTACTCAAATGCATTCCTTTGTGACTAGACTTGTGAATGAACTTGTGATGTGCTTGCTACAGACTTGGGGACTTGTGATGGACTTGTGATGGAATGGACTTCAACACTGTTGAAAGTGTCGATCTAACACTAATGTAAGATGCACTCCCTTTATGCAGTTGAAAGTTGGTCGTGCACATTCGTACTCATGAATGAACATTGCTACTTTCATGAACGAACTAGCTAGTGCATGCAGTGTGCATGATGCATCCTTTCTTTGCTCTTGTGAGGTGACGCACTCTCCAGTTGGAAGTTTTGAGATGGCTCGTAACTTAATTAACCCTTTCATTTCCACGTTGTTTATTGACTTGGCTCTCCCAAGGACAAAATTGTTTGTTCAGTCATGCGGAAATCACTACAGCGTGAACAAAATGACCACAAGTGGAAAACTCACTTTTTCAACCCATATTTTCACTGCCAAGTGTGTGTAAATGTTGTTCCTTGAAGTGTACTCTTTTATGTGTTGTAAAAATCAAGTCCAAATGTACAAAAATAAGAAAGTTATGCCTGTTTGTTGATCTGGTCCCATTTATCAAACTGCAAGCCATTTCACCACATGACCAAATGGCACTCCATACCTCAAATTGTGCGTGGATACTTCTAAAACACTTTTCTTAATTTTTTGTAATGGTAACACTATGAGTAAACTACACCATTAGAACGATCCGAAAAAAAACACTCTTTCCGTTGGTATATGGTTGATATAGGGGCGGCCAAACTTATCAACATGCCGCCTGTCTGAAAAGTAGTGAATAAATCTTTGTTGAGTGTGTTCTGTGTGTGGTTTCCCGGTCGGCTAAAGTCGCCTATGGTAAGCAGCAGGGGGTATTCCATGTCGACAAAAGTCACCCATGGTAAGGAAAGGCTTAAGAAGAGTCAGAGAGCAGCTTAATTAACCCAAAGTCTGCCAGACACAACACAGTGCATCAGGTTGGGAAGTGTGTGGGAGCTTGCTGCTAGTACATCAGTTTTAAAGCATTCAATTATGTCCTCAACACACTAACCCAAATCCTCTATTGTTGTTTTTTAGCTAGAAACCCTGCTCAGTAGCCCTTAACACCAGGGCATTAGTGGTAGATTCTGAGACAATGGGAGCTAGTGCCATCCTGTTGTAGTTGGCAATCACAGACTCTGAGGCAGTTTGGCCTTGAGATTTTTGACCCGATTGATCTTGCTGTACTGGGCAGGATTATTTTGACATGTGTTGCATATTGTTTCGTTTAGAAGGGTTTCTTGCTCAAATATTAGGGTTCATGTGATGAGGACACAGAATTGAATGCTTTAAAACTCTTCATTTATGACAAATGTCACTTAATGTCACAAGTTTTGTCCCCACAGTCTTGACGAGTTACTCGATGGAGGTCTGTACACATCAGAGTTGACTGAGATAACAGGAGGTCCAGCAACAGGCAAAACACAGGTAAATTTGGAATTTTTCTCTGGTCAACACTGGGCCCAGTTTCATAGCTGCAAAGCACAGAATTTTCTGCTAACAGAGCCTCCGTCTATTTCATGGAGACCGTAAGCAGTAAGTGCAGCAAAAGGCTTTACCCCCGAGAAAAAAGTTGCCAAAATCTACACTAATAACAATACTGTTTGAACTTTGAAGCAAGGCAACCGACAAATTAGGTTTCAATCTCTATTGCGAATTTTCTAACATTACCAGCAAAATCAATTTTTTGGGTCAAGATGAGACTTATGCAACTTACTTACAACAGAAAGTCAGGGAGTCGGTTGATTCAGTCAGTCAATCAGTCGGTCGAACAGCAAAAATCTAAATTATCAATTGTCAATTTGATCTTTTCAGCTGTGCATGACCACAGCAGCCAGTGTAGCTACTACAGCTCAGCAGAATGTCTTATACATTGATACTAATGGTGGGTTCAGCAGCCAAAGACTACAAGACATCATGGCAGCGAGAGGCAACACAGACAAGGTATGATATCGGTGAATATAGATTCTGACTATTCTGTGTGACCACTCGCAAGAGTTCCATTTAAAAAAATTTTTTTTTTTGGGGGGGGGGGGGGGGGGAAGCTCTAGTGATGCCTTCATCTGAGTATGCACAAGCCCATTGCGTCTTTCTGAGGGTGTTTGATACAAGGAAGCAATGGCTTTCGATTCCTGGGTTCGAATCCTGCCAGGAACATGGTGTTTGTGCCCTTGGGCAAGACACTTAACTACAATTGCCTCTCAACCCAGGAGTATGAATGAGTACCTGTGAGGGTGGAGGGCCGAATGTGCACTGATAATCGGCTGCCGTGTGGTCCCATGGCCTGATGAACGGGGGAATAATTGTAAAGCGCTTTGAGATTGTTGATACAATGGAAAGCGCAATATGAGCGGTACAACTTTTTATTATTTATTTTAGATAAATTCCTGCTGATCTTCTTTGTATCTATCTCACTGACTGACTGACCGACTGACTGATTGTAACTTGTAAATTATTTAGCATGGTTGTTGGCTGATAAGAGAGGCCAATGCTATGGTATAGTATGACCTTATGGGCTTCGTGCGCAAACAAGGGAGGGTGCTTTTTACCACTTCCGAGAGCCCCATGGACGGGACACACCACTTGTGCATGCTGGTTCGCGCGCTTAAATCGTGAAGTACGCACAGAGAATCTTATTCTGAATGTGCACAAAACCATAGCGTCTTCGCGTGAGCGTCATCAGCAATGCATTCCAATGTCTCTCCCAGTGGTCTCCCCCAACTCTCCCTTTCTTGCCGTTGAGGGGGTACTTGTGCACGGAGCCCATAAGGGGCTAAATCTGGCCCATTGTGTAGACCAGATGCATGAAAGGACTTCCAGTGAATAGCCATTTTAAATCGTTTGAATATGATTTTGTGCACTCTGAGACCAGCTTTATTGGGCTCACCTTGTTTTGTTTTCAGAATTTTTGTCTGGGCTTTTCCTCCATTTTTTTAACTGAAGATTGTCTTCTTTCTTTCCGTATGTCCTTGCTTGCAAGGTACAGTGCCTAAATTGGTAATAACTACGACAAATCAATCACTTTTTTCTCTTATAACTGCACAGATCATGGCAGCGGCTTTCCAGAGGCTGCGCTGCGCCAGGACCTTTGACCTTTTTGAACTCCTCAGCTTGTTGGAAATGACCAAGTCGTCCATGGACAGTGGTAGCGATGCCTTCTACGCGTCACTGAAGCTGGTAGTAGTAGACTCGGTGACTGCAGTCGTTGCTCCGGTGCTAGGGGGTCAGCAGACAGAAGGTGGGAAAGATTAGAGTAACTAGAGATATGCAAATTCCCGAGTGCAAACATTTGAGTCTTTTCAGAAACCCACACAGCTCAAATAAATAGATTTATTGCCAAATGGTTTTACCGTGGTCTTTCACTTGACATGCACATAAATTGTTGAAGTAAAATTGTCTTTTGAACTGAAAGTTTAATGCCAGTCAAAACAAAAAAACCTGAACAATTTGACAGACAACATTATATGGAGTGCCGTGGCCTCGTGGTCTGGAGCATTGAATTTGTGGTCTGCGGGTAATTCTGTAGGTTGTGGGTTCGAGTCCAGCCTGGGGTTATGGTGCGTGTGCCCTTGGGCAAGGCACTTTGTCACTCATTGCTTCTCTCCACCCAGCAGTAAATGAGTACCTGTGAGGGCAGAGGTGGTTATTGTAGTTGATTTTAGCTGCTTTCCACCAAAATGGCAGCATCGAGGGAGCTGAGATTGTCTTTGGAATGTTTCACTGACCCAATGAGCAGGGTAATAATGATGTAGCGCCTTGAGCACCAACAATGGTGGATATGTGTGCTTTATATCTACACTTTATTATCTGGTATCTTGGTCTGCAGGTCATGGTATGATGATACACCTTGCTAGATCACTCAAAGCTCTGGCTGTGGAGTATTCAGTCGCTGTTCTTGTGAGTATAAAAAAGGTTTTATTTCTGTTCAGTAATTTGTTAGAATATCTGTGCAACAGGCATGAGATTTTTCAGACTTTTTTCTGAAATCAGACTTTTGAATTTGAGAGAAAGATATTATCAGTACCCAAAGAAATGCATCTTTCAGACCTGTCATACAATTTTCAGACTATTAAATTGAAATGTCATACCTGGTGCAAAAAACGTTGAGGTACTGTCTATAACCCCTTGTTACCACGGCGACTCAAGTCGACAAGATATTTATCTCCTGCTGTTACCATGGGCAACATATTTTCAGGGTTCCCAGCCACTCTGGAAATCAGGGAAAACCTCAGAAAACAGTTTCCATTCTTCCAGTCAGGGAAAACTCAGGGAATTTGGGGAAAACACCAAAACATCTGGGAAACTCAAGGAATTTGACAGTGACCCAGAAGGGAAGGTTTTGGCTAGTTTGGCGTATGTGCGTCTTGTGCCATGTGTCCAAGTTGGGTCCATTGACCGACTGGCTATGGTGGCTTTGGATATCATCAGTATCCTTGCTTTGCTGCAACCACTTCTTGACTTCCCAGCAAAAAACAAAGTGAAAATATTTCTCATGGAAAACTCAGGGAATTTTGTTTTCATATAAGTGCTGGGAACGATGTTTTGTTTTGACAAGGAAACCTTACGCAGAACACCCACACATCAGATACAGTCAGTGGCTTTCAACAAGCTGGCATGTTAGTATGTTTTGCCATCCATACATCAACCGTATACCGTATGTTTGGATTGTTCTGATCGTGTAGGTAATTCATAATGGCTTGCTCTGATAACGTTAGCAATGTTACAGAATTTTGAGAAAACTGCCTCAGACATGGGTCGTTCTATAAATTTAGGGTCCAAGTTTGACATTTGCCCTGTCCCTATTATCTTGGTACTTTGTAATTTGCCATTCAAGTATCATTGAGAATGACTTCAAATGGTTTTTTTTAGTTGTTGGGTAGGTAGTCTGCTATTCATAATCACTCTTGGAGGATGACTGCATTAAGGAGTGCATCAAATGTTTAAAATCATAGGCATCAGATGTAACAGGGACAGGAAAATAGTGTATAGAATGACCCACCTATTCATGCACTGTTTGAGGTATGGAGTGCCATTTAGTCACATGATGAAATACACATGTAGTTTGCAGTTGGTTAAATGGAATTAGAATTGTTTAAATGGCAGTAAGTCTCAATGATTTTGTCCATCTTTAGCTGACCAATAACCAAGTCCGAGGTGACGGTACCCAGCGCAAGCCAGCCCTTGGTCGTACCTGGTCCCATGTACCGCACTGTCGCCTGCTCCTCACTCATGATAGATCGGACGATGCTAGTTTGTGTACTGTTAACCGTCCAATCAACAGGGAGGCCAGGATTATCAAGTCCGGAAGACAGGTGACTGGATTTTCAAAGTTTCTGTAATAATTCACAGAATTACAAACTGTCATGAAAAAAACTTGAAGCTTATCTGTATTTTAGTGAAATATAGTTCATTTCTAACAATGTTAAAAAACAAACTTTAAAAATGAGTTCATAAAAAATGTCTTAGTACGTCCTACACCATGGTGTTTCGGGCCGAATTCTACTACTGCAAAAAAGTTGGATGAAAATCTTAATTTTTTTTTAATCATTGCAGGAACTCAACTGATACGTTTTATCAAAACTAAATTCTGTTTGTTGATCTTAACTATTATTATGCACTGTTGTATTGTCCAAAATGCACATCCGAAAATACTGTCCAAAATACTGTAACGTTTGCAGCCATATTGCTCTAGAACTTAACATTGTTTTACTTTTGAGTTTAAGGTCTTTACATTTACATTGCTTTATTTACAGCCTATCAATGTGAGTTGCACCTTTAAGATTGACGACTCAGGCATCTGCAGTTGACATCCAGTAGCATCATTGTCATATGGTGTAGGAAGAAGTCAACTTTCTGACTTCAAACCTGCTGTTGTAATTTGTTGAAGTCCATGGATTGATCCACATTTCAGTGCACCCTCATGAGCTGAATGGGGTATGATTAGGATCAGGTTGAAAAGGTTGCAATAGCGGTACTTTCCTTGCCTCCCACCGGGTTCGATTCCCGACTAAGCCAACATGTGGATTTGGTTTTCAAGTTCTTGTATCTGATTCTGATCCACAATTTGCATCCTCTAATCCGCCCAACTGGCCCGACGAACAGTGGAACCTGGAATGGAAGAAGAATAACTCATCTCCGCTACATACAGTCACAAACAAAGAAACCTCCAGGCCATAAACTTGACCGTTCCACCTGGGTCAAACTCAACAGACTTTGCTGTGGCTGGTGTCGCACGAAGGACTTCATGGTCATGATTGAGCAGAATAAGAGTCAGGCCTCGTTGAGTGTGACCGCATTCAGACCGTAGAGCACCTGATCTCAAGATGCCGTCTCTACAAAAACCCTCACAGGAAGAATGGCTTGAGGCACTTGAATGAAGACACTAATGACTGGCTGAAGAATCTACAAGTGCACCTGTCATCTTCAAACGAATGACGATCTGAATCTGTGGGTTTTTTCTAAGAATTATTTTTGGGGAGTTTCCCAAAAATGAAATGTCCTTCCTAATAATTCGAGTTTCGTGGACTATCCTTGCTGAATGCCAAATAAAAATTTAAAAATTGTTTTGGATATGTTTACATCTTGGCTTGCAAGTGCTGAAAATATAGAAAATTGCATGTTCGGGACTACTTTTGTGCAGAGACAAATACTAGCAAGTGATTATTGTAGTTTGTGCGTCATTCAGTTAGCAATGGATCATCTTTTTTAGCGAGGGCAAACTCTGACCCACGTAAATCAGATTGTGAGCACCATAGTAAAAAAAAAAAGTGAAAACACTTGAGCTCTCAGGAAGATACTAAATAGCGCCCTCTCTAGTTGTTACAGTGAAGGGATAGACATTTGAGAATCCGTTCTTGTACGGGTGAAAGTCATAAGAGCTGGTGTTGAGTTATGGACTTGGTGCACAAGTGCCCCCTCTACGGTTACAAAGGGAGAGTTGGGGGAAGACCACTGTGAGGGACATTTAAGCCAGCCTACTTCGTGTCATTCCCGCGCACTCGGTACGTTTTCTTTCACACTTTTGTGGTAGGATGTGGCCACATTTTAGACGAGAGATTTCAGAGCTCAACTTTGACGGAAAAACAATATCAAGATAGCTGGATTTTTAATTTCCAATTTTATTTTATTATATACACTTTTACAGCTGTATCAACTGTAAAATAAATAAATCATTAAATGAACGATTGACAGATATCTACAAATGGTAAAAACTCCAAGCAAATTTGGTCACTGAAAAAAAGAAAGATTTTTTTTTAAGTCCTTTTCTCAGTTTGATGACACTCGCTGATCAAAATCACATTTTGGCCTTTGAATCCTGACACACTTTACATGAAACAAAATTATGATAATGTCTGTTCACATGGTCACTTTCAAACACAAGCAAAAAACAAGTTGTATAAGCTTTTTACGATGGAATGTGCGTTGGGGAGATGTAAATTTGTTACTGGGTTTTGCCCTTCACAAACGTATTTATGAACACGCTATATTCAGTGTCCTCGGAGGGCTTGCGAGAAAAATCACAGGCTTACTCGGGTGGGACTCAAACCCACAACCTCCTGCTTACTAGTGCAGACGCCTATAAACTATGTTGAACAAACTGCTTATGCTACATAACATTTAACCATTACAAGACTTGGTAAACTAGCTTCATACGTAGGGATACTCAAAAAGAAAACAAAGCTCTACAAAATGAGTATTAAAAAGGGAGGCAAGTTTTGCGGTTGCAAAAAAAGAAAGTCAAACTTCACATGCAGGGTTTAAAAATAAAGACTTCACCTGTAATTATATTTGTCGATTACAAATATTCAGTCCACAACAAAAGCTCTGGTCCAAAAAACAAGATACTACCTATCAATAAGGTATAATTAGGAGCAAGTTCCAGTGAGGACTATGATTACTATAGTTTGACTAACTTCAATTGAACGTAGGATGGTGGGACTAAGTCTAGTTGACTATTTGGAACCGGAGTTTGGGGCTGAGTTCCATCGCTGGTTACCAATAGCCATGTGAATCACAATGCCAGCAGGGAGCAAGGTTCAAAAGTTTCATGACGACATGTTTTACAAGAGTTTGACCAGAGGCGTAATGTTTACCAGTTGCATCATGCCAAAACCACTTGTCGACTTGTGGTCCTTGAACTTGCTAATGGATTGAACTCATCAAAATAAGTAAACTTACATCAAGACCAAGAAAGAAAGACTTTTGTGCACTTGATGTTGATTTGACATTGTGCATATTTCAGTGTTGTTTCACTGGATGGTTGACAGCGTGTCTTTAGCAGCTTGCATTCTCTTCCTTGCTTTCTGGAACAACTCTGTCATCAAAACAAAAATCACAAAAACTAAAATGAATACAAGGTCTGGGCTTGAAGAACAAAAACAAACTTATTGCCTGTTTTATAAGTTTGGAAAACAGTTTTGAGCCAAATTTTTCTGAATCACAAAGACACTAAAACTTGGATATAATTCCATAAAATTATTAGCAGTATGGATAACTCACCCAGAACATTTTGGACGGATGCTTGCATTGTAAGGCCACTGAAACAGGAAAATCAGGAAAAAAATCAGGTTGCAATCAGTGTAAAAATTGAGGACAGTTATGCGGTAAAAATATAGGGGAACGGGTGGCTTAAATTTTAGGTATCTAAAATTTTATAGAAGTGAGATCAGGAAGAATTTGAAATGTAAAGAAGTGTACACTTTCCATTTACTCTAGTGACCAGTCAAAATGTCCAATACCCCCCCCTCCCCATTTTGTCCCTTCATGGGTGCCAGATTGTTTCACTGCTTACCACATGTATGTCAATAAAAAGTTATTATATAAAAAAAAGTCAATTGTTAAATCCCATACTCCCTCAAAAGTCGCAGAGTTTTCTTCGACGTTTGCACCTAATTCGACAGCTGAAGATTGCCTTTACGTGGCCACTAACATTTACTTTGCCTTCATGTTTGAGATGGCCTTACCCGAGTCTGTCCAGCAATGTGCCCACCTTCCGTCTGGAGTCCACCTTATCCATGAAGATCCTGAAACAAAAAGATCCAGGGATGAGCTGGGAACCATTGTCAGAAACGTGCATATATCACAATTACACAGCCCTGCCAACACTCAATATTGCAATAAATGTTTGTTTTACTATGGAATTACATGGTAGATATGAGAGCAGGGTTTTATGTGTACAAGACTATTTTTAAGCAATTCTAAACTTATTGTTATTGAGAATCTAGTGCAGTTAAAGGTTTATAGGATCTATTGCATTTATCTCTAAATTCATCTCAAAGGAATTAGTATCAGAAAGCTTTACTTGGATAACAGTTTGTTCTGATACTAAATACCCCATGAAATTATTCCGTCTGGCTTGCTGTCATTCAGAAGAAATAAAAAATGTAGGTGACTTCCAGAGATCAGTCAATTGGCTGATTTTTGGAAGTAAAGAAAGCTATTAATGAAATCGTGTTTTGTGATCACAAGGTTGGGCATGGTTTGTTACTGTGTTACTTAGTTCTCAAAAAGTGCAATATCCACTGAGATGATACTTCAACAGGTTAAGTTTTGAACATTTTTCTTTGGATTTTTATTAGTTTATTTGTGTTATGATTAGAAATAAACAAAATGCATGAAAAGGAAATGATCCTATACGCCTTTAAAAATGCCTCCAAGTTACGTGTGGAGACCAGTAGAACATTTGCATGGTGAATGAAATCATTCTTCATGGCAAATTTTTCAGAGCAAAACATTCTTAACCCTTTCGTTATGTTGATGTGCATGTCAAAATAAGCATCTCATATTCCATGCGCGTGCCTGCGTACGAAGTTTATTGTAGACTTGGATTTTTCCGTTTGCATGCACATTTTGGAAGGATGCCTAGAAGTCACCCTTTGCAAAGATCAATTGAGCCTCTAATGTGGCCTTCACAGAAAATAACACCAATGTCTTGCTGGTCCCAGAGGGCCATGTCACTTTGTGACTTAGACGAAGAGAAGATGAAAAGAGCTGGGCAGTGCTATCATATAGGATTACAGCTTTATGCTAATGGCTAAGTTCTCAAGAAGAGAATAAGCAAGATACTCCATATCAAAAAACAATAACGGGGCAAGTTCAGTTAAGACGCAACTTATCTCCTGGATCCAAAGGTTATCAACATCATTTTACTCACTGGCTCTGCTGCAGCACGTTCAAGTTCAATGTGACACTTCCTGTTGCCTCGGTCCGGAACCCAAACCGACTCATCACAGCGCCCTCGTGCGTCGGTGGGACGGCCACGTATGTGGGGTCTTCAAGTTCGGGTGAGCCGCCGATGAAGAAGCGACGCAAGTTGTTGAAGGCGTGTTGGCCCGAGGGTCGCCATGTTTGGACTTCAACTGTGTGAGTACCTAACATGCAAAAGTAAGAGGGGATAACAGTGTGATGAAGCATTTATAAACATGGTTTCAAAACGTGTGGTTTAAAACTACAGTCCATCATTTGCAGCTATCTAAAAGTAACTGATGAAATTACTGTTAAAAAGCATACTTGGTTTAATGATAGCAATGGGACTTGACTCCCTGTGAAATTATTCTTTCTGGCAAGCTATCATTTTGAAGAAAGCAATGAAATAGGCCATTTCCAACGATGTGTCAACAGACGCATTTTTGGAAATTGCCGTTAGTAGTTCGTTTCTAATTTGGCAAAGCGTTGACTCGACGCACACGCGCGTCCGCAAGCATTGACACGACGCACATGTGCGTGTGGTTGCTATAACTTGTCAGTTCAGTGCACGACATCGTGTAGCTGCAATCGGCGGAATGAGAACGTGTTCCGGCCACTGAATTCGGGCGCAATTCAAAACATGACTCGGCAACTTTTGATTTGAAATCAAGATCCTAGAATATTGGGGTTTTTGGGAGGAAAATACAGCATTCACTGAGCTGAAACTTCATCAGGTTAGTTGTTCAGCACCCTTCTTTAGATTTTGAGCGCTTTTGTTGCTTCAAACGAACAAAATGCACACATTACGAATGATGTACTCTACCTCTAAACCGGACAGGGGCCTAGCTGAAGGCGAGGGCTATTTTTGGTGACCTGGCCTCCGACTGGTTTTAGACCACAATATCCCCTTTCACAAATAACTTTATGGTCAAAGACTATAACATGTCAAAGCTATTTTTGGGGGGGGGGACACTTGAGTATGTACCTACCAGGTGTTGATGGAATGGTCAGGTACCCGTACCCCTCTGTGCGATATCTCTGCCAGGAATCAATAGACAGGACCTCTAGGAAGATCTGTGGCCATTGAGGCAGTAGTGGTTCACGCTGGTCAGCCTCGCCCATCTCATCTTGTTTGTAGAACAACTCGAAGTCAAACGGGTAGCAGAAGTAAGCTACATTCTCCTGAACATAGAAAGAAAAAAGTGCTTAATAAACTTCAATAATGAATATAATTTGATAAGCACTATATACACAGTGCTTTCTGAGAAGTTGCAGGAGAAATTTCACAACTTTGGGTGGGACTCGAACCCCCGACCCCCTGCTTACTAGTGCAGATGCCTTACCAATCGACTACTGAACTCACAAGTTCAAATCTAAGCACACTTTGTTAATTGCTTTACATTGTATTAAACTCACTCTGTCAATTTCCTTGGTGCTGCATGTCTGAGTGACACCGGAGAGTTCTTGAGCCGTGTCAGTAGACCAGTCTAAATCAAAGAAGAAAACAAACATTGCCAGAATGAAGACGGACATTTTCAAATGATCAGCTTTCTAGAAATTGAGACTTAATATGTGAACAGTTGTAGTGATATATTTTCTACATCAATTGAAACTATTTTCTCACCAACAGGGGCAAACAATTTACCAGGAAAGAAAACTGCAAAAATTTGAATCTGGGTCACAAAGAACCTGTTAGTTCAGTCATGTATTGACTCCGTGCACAAGTACCCTCTCAACGGTTACAAAGGGAGAGTTGGGGGAGACCACTGGGAGAGACATTCAAACGCATTGCCGACGATGCCTGACACTCACGTGAAGACGCTAAAACAAGTTGTGCGTACTTTGTGCAATAAGCACGCGAGCAAGTACGATCACGCGGTGTGTCTCGTTCACTGGGCTCTCTAAAGTGGTAAAAAAGCGCCCCCTCTTGTTCATGCACGGAGCGCATATTGTATGCAGAATTTGTAATCAGTCAAATACAAATGAAATACGAGATCCGGCACTTGAAGTTTAGGGAAGGAATCTGAGTAACTCTCAACCCAAGTAGTGCCTGTGTGGTCTTAAAGATAAGTTTTTTTTTCCGAAAGAGGAACTATTCCTGCAAAAGCAAAGATTGCCCTTTCAGAGAGCATAATTTGAAGAATGCAAGAATTTTCAACTTACGCTTGGGTAGCTCCACAAAGAAGTGGACGTAGAGATTGTCATACTCGTAGTTCTTCGCGGAGACTATTTCACCGTAGACCAACAGTCTCAGAATTCCAGCTGATACCTGGTGAAATATAATACACTGATAGTAAGGTGTAAAGTTCAACAATAATAATGACTTCAAATTTATTTAGCGCAAATTCTGGTGCAAATGCTCTTTATATTTAACAAGACAAAACAAGCCTATTAAAGCTGGTCCCAGAGCACACAAAATTCTATTAAATTGATTCAGAATGACCATTCACTGGAAGTCTTTTCGTGCATCTGGTCTTCACAAATGGCTGGATTTAGCCCATTCATTGGTTTCACGGGTAATCCTACACTGGGTTATCCTATACAATAGCACTGCCTTGCTGGGCAGTGAGTCAGTAGGTAAGTCAGTCAGTCAAGCAGCTACCTGTTCAAAATCGTGGCCCACCATTGCACCGACGTAATCCATATGCCTCTGATACAACTCTCTAAACATCTTGGTCTCTCTGTCTTGATCTCGTTGAGCCATCGGCTGCGAGGCGAGCTCTAGAGTGTACTCAAACGTGTCGCGTCGTGTGGACTCAGTCACGATGGTGTAGGGTGAACGGTAGCGGTTGAAGTCTGGTGTGACTGACAAAACGCCATGGGTGTCATACTGCCATAAGAAAAGAAACACCAAAGTATAAAACTGGTGTAAATAAATTAGAATGCCTTGCTCAAACACAAATTAGGAATCGCATCAATAATTTAGAAAATCTTCAGAAATAACCAAAACGATCCATGTAAAGTTTTTTAAAAAATGTATCATTGCACTGAATTTCATATCTGTGCAATTTCACAACATTCGTTAAACGAATTGTAACAATGAAAATAGTACAAGGCACTGAATGTTTCTGATATTCATTAGACAATGGCAATTATAAATACCTTGATAGTGCACAGGATGTATTCGTCCAGTACTGTAGGTTCACTGATAACACAAGAAAGAGAAATTTATATTGTGAGTTTAATTGATATACAACAGTTCATGCATTAACGCTCCTGCTATTTAAGCAGTGGCGGACAGTCCAAATTCACTTCCAATTCCCCTGCTATACTTTTAACAAAGGGTAGTCACCAGCAGTCAGATCATATGTCAAGCAAGCACTGTGACTAGTCAAACTGGGTCAACAGACAAAGCAGGCAAGTTGTGGTCACAGCTGTATTATCACTCTCCTGGAGTCAAAAGCATAGCTGTATCAAGTTACTTAAGCAGTCCAAGGCAGTCAATCCTGCTTTATGTGGGCTGGGAATTCTTAAGGGTTGAAAACAGACACTTGACTGATTTTGACTTCAAAGACAACTTGGCACAGAATGTATGTTTGCATAGGAGGGTTAAGCTTGTTCACCTGTATATGTGTAGCATTTGTGCTACATTGTATTACACTGTATTTATTTACTGATGAATTGATACTCACTCTTCCACTGCGCTGAGGTCCGCCATAATGTACATCGTCTGTACTGGAGTGTTGACGACATGAGCGCTACGTTTATGTTCCTCAGAAGGTGCATCAATGACTGGGTTGATCTTAGGTTGGAATGAGCTCGCATCACCATAGCTACAAATACACACAAAGGAGCATTAGCAACATCAGTTGCTTTAATCATTGGTGTATAATTAAAATGTGTAGTTGATGACACAACTTATCTCAAAGCAAAATGTTTTGACTTGCTGTCTGATTTTTATTTTTATAAACTTCAGCCAGATTATGCATTTAATACACACATTGATTCAACACTCTTAAACCGTTGCTATGACGTCACACTATTGTTAAAAGTGCGGATTCGGACTACGAATCTGTTACACTGGTCAAAAAGTGTGGATTCGGAACGACGAATCTTTAGTAAAGTGTGGATTCGGAATTACGAATCCACAGTTTGAACACGTCGGACAATTGTTCTCCATAATGAGCATTAATAGGACCGCCTGTATGAAAACTTTCCTTCCGATTCAGACTCTCCGCCGTCACTGCAAAAACTACTTTGAGTCAGAAAGAAATCGTCGTCTGAACTATCCATGTTGACGGAAGGAGCCTACACACAAAATGACTCGGTTGTACGGGTGTGGCGATACACATACTAAACACGCCACGATGCTTGATTACGTATAAGAGCCTCGAAAAACTCCCTTGTAAATTACCCTAATTGCCACGACTCGACACGAGATATGCCAGTCTTTTCATCTCCACTCACTGGACTGTTAATGACAATACTTCTTTTGATACAATGGTTTAAGTCAGAGAATACACTCGCAAGTGTGGATTCTTCATTTACGAATTCACTCGGCGCTTCGCGCCTCGTGAATTCTTAAATTACGAATCCACACTTTCTCGTGTATGCTCCTAAACATGACAAATGTTCATCTATGGAAAATTCAGACTAGATCACAACGTGCTGTGTGCTGTTCCCACATGGAGTATATGACCTGACGATTTGACCCTCACCCATCTCTTCTCCTCTCTGTCTGTTTTCTCCGCCGGACGTTCTGCATCTTCTGAGTCAGAAAGGAAGGGGTCTCTTTGCTCGATGTGGTTACCTCATTTTGCTGAGGGTAAAAGAAGCACAAAATTTAAAATGTAAAAAAATCGTGGGTTGAAGATTAACCAAAAAAAATAGGGACTGCAGTTCTACACAGCTTCTAAAAGTAACAAACATTCTTCCCAACTGGAATATTTTTCTTGGAAGTTTTTAAGGTTTTCAGCTTATTAGGGAATTATTTTGGGAGGATCGGGGAGGGGTAAGGTGGCATTGTTGGCTCCAGAGTGTCCACTGGCTGACGAACTGGGCCGCTACTTACTGATTTAATCTCCTTCAAACTAAGGGAGAATTTTGAGGGAATGGGGGGGGGGGTATTGAGAAAGGTGCAACCTCGCCACTTGTGTCATTGGTTTCCTGCAGAAAGGGTGATTTTGGCGCATTCAGGTAAATTCCCAGACAAAAAATGCCCATGGCCTAAAAAATAAGTAAGAGATTTTGCAGAGGGAGGAGAAGCCCACTCTCATACCTCCTCAAGACTGGCAAATGTATCGTGGTCCACGTAGGAGAAGATCCTGGTAGTAGACCTCCCGTCTCCATCTTCGTACATTGTCCTGATCTCTCGGTGGTACTTCTCCTCGATGGGTCGGTTACAGTTCTCAGAGTCACGGAAGAGTTCCACCTCACGTTGACTGAAGAGCTTCTGCTGCCATTTCAGGGTGTAGGTCTCGTCATCTTCTGGTCGGACTTGAGCTGTGAAATAAATCATTCCGAACAGGCAGATGGGAAAATGTTAGGACTCAAAGTAAGTATCTGTCACTTTAATTGTGGTACAATAGAACATTGCTTTGACGAGAATGATAGGGTCCACAAAAGAATGCTCGTTATAGTGGTCATTTGTTTTCGGCCACTAGCATGACACTCCCAATTGACAAAATCTTCATTCTACATCATCGATAATAATTTGTTATTTTCACGTTTTGGCGATCGGAGAATTCGTTGCCATCGCGGATCCAATGTTGTAGACCGGTTCCTATCCTTCAACTGCTGTTTGAAACCAGTTCACTATAACTGCGGATGAGATTTGAATTTTTGACGTTTGAATGCAGTTGAGAGGGTTTCTCGATGAGACAAATGGACAATATGAATGTCTTTTCCTGAAGAATTCAGAAATCTTCGGTATAACTGTACATTAAAATTCATGAGTCAAAGGGTGAAGCTCATTATAGCCGAATGTTCGGTATAGTGGTGTTCCTTATAGTGACGTGCGTTATAGCCACGTTCTACTGTATTAACGTAAGAAACACTTTCGGCAGAATATTCAGCCAGTGGCGCACCCAGGATTTGGTTGGGGGGGGGGCTAAAAATTTTTTCAAAAAATGTTGCCCAAAATTTTTGGCCGCAGAAAAAAAAATTGGAGTTTTTTTTAGGGGGGGGGGGGAGGAGGGGGGGCTGACTATTTTGACGTTGGTGGCGCCATTTACACCCCTATTATACTACTCGAAAATAGGCCCCATACATATCACCAATGTCCAATCGTGGGACTACAAAAAAAAAATTACCAAAAAAATAAATAAAAACAATTACAACCTCTTGGGGTGGGGGTGGGGGGGGGGGGGGCTCAAGCCCCCCAAGCACCCTCTCATACATACATTTAATGGAGCGTCGACTGCCCATCTGTCTCATTGCCATTCCTTCATGACTGGGCCCGGCCTCCTCATTAGTATACGCTGTAGGGACTAGACTGGTTCCAGTTACACGCTTCAAGTGTACCCTGAAAGAGCGAAAAAAAATTGTCATGTTAACTTATTACAGCCAGAAATTATTTCTATTTTTTCCCCCTTTAACCAAATGAAAAGTGTCTGGTATACATAACTCCGGCATTTTGCTACTTTTAGAAAAAAATCCAGTTTTGCAAAAATGTAGAAAGTGGCTCAGATAAGGCAGCTGAAATACTTTTAAATAAACATTTTTTTTTATTCCTCACTCTATATATTATGATTTTTGCATTTTTTTTGTAATTTTCATTTTAATAAATAAAATGAAATTTATTGTAATTTATTATGTTAAAGGGGCACTAGGTCCTGAAATCCCTGAAAATTTCATATTTTGGATTGTTTACTTATCCTATTTCAAACATCTGGTTGAAAGGAAACCAACCTAATGTCTTACCGTTCCCGAGAAAAGACAAGAAAAACCCCGGTTGTTTACATCGGACACGACGGAGCAGTAATATGTTTTTCCTGTTATTCCCTGTTTCATTTGTACGATTTACACGTTGTGTGTCCTGGAACAGAGGTGACCAATCACCAATGCAATGTTCCAGGACCCAGTGTCCCTTTACTAATCACATCTAAATTTCATTTAGATTTCATCTTTATTTTCTGACTCATGGCTCTGATGCTTTTTGTTTGTTATTGTTTTTTGGTTTCCAAGGACCAGTACAATCAGCTGTCAAATAATGTAAATAGCCTCACAATACATGTAGGTGGGCGCGGTCATCCAGGAATTTTTGACATTGGCTTATCTAGCTCCCAGACTTATGTTCTTGAAGTTGAAACTCAATCAATGGTTTTTGAGTCTTGAGTACTGAATGGTAACACATAGCAACCAATGAAAACTGGTGTGCAAATGAAAAGATGTTTTCATCGGCTGACGTCAGCCCGCCCACACCTATACTTAAATTACTAAAAAAAAAAATTAGCAAACACAAAAAAAAACTATTATCAGATTCTTACAATCATGACAATGTACATGTATAGTCGGACTCCCTATTATCGCGGCATCCCTATTATCGCGGCATGGGAAATTTCTCTTTTCACAATGTCAAAACTCCTTCAAGTGGCGATTTTTATCCAGTTCACCAGTCATCAAGGATTTTCTACCGAGTTGTATAAAAAGGACGATTAAAAAATGTTGTGTCTTTCGGGACTTTTAACGATTTTAATAAATATTAACGTTTTCCAAAACTGTCTGCTAAAAGGTACCGTTTATATTTTAACATAAATCTTTAATTGCGCTCTGTCCATGAAAGTTCCATTGTCTGGTTCCCTTTCTTCAGCTGCAAATGTAAAATGAAGTCGAACGACGATATTTGCAGCGCGAAATCGTAACAACTTTTACGGGATCAAAATAAGCACCGCGCGTTAGCGAAAATAAAACGGCACACCGTGTAAAGTGAATGGTGCCCTCAATCGCCGATCAGTAGACTTGCCTCAGGGATTTGTGTTCTCCTTTCGGGGGAAGGGCAGGGTCTTAAGAAATCATCCAGCAGAAAATTTGTCTTTAATCAACTTGAACGTTACAGGGAAAATATCAGACTTTATTCAGGGGGTGTTTTGGTCAAAGATAAACTATGAACAAAAAATTTGGGATCATTATAAAAACCACTTCCCGCATACCGCGATAATAGGGAGTCCACCTCCGTTCGCACACGCCGCGCATGTCTATTTTCACAGGCATCGTACACGGAATAAACCACACCACCCGTCAGATTTTTTTATATTAATTTAAAAAGGAAGAGTTATACTACACATAAGACAGGACAATTCTGGAAGGTTAGTGGGCAATCTCTATTCCGAACGAGAAACGTGATAAGTACCGCGATAATACGGCGTTCCATCCTACTAGTACTTCTTAGAATTTTTGTAATTATCCTAATTTATCTGCGATTATGTATTTTCTTGGCCTTCTTTGACAAAAACATGTTGAACATAAGAAGAAAAAAAATAGACAAAGACCTAAGTCCCTGATATAGAAGGCATTGTTAACTTTAACTTAAGAGCAAAACACAAAATACAGTATTGTTGATGTACCCTAACGTGGCGCGGCCCCTAACGTGGCGCACTTTGATTTTTCGCCTGTAGCGCCTAGCTAGAGCAAAAGTTTTAACTGAAATTTCACAGAAAGTGAACTTTCATCAAGTTATAAACACTCCCGTTCATAAATCGCGAGTTTATTTACCCGCTACAAAGTTAAAAGAAAAAATTATTTTGGCGTGATTTTCCGATTTTATTTTCAAGTGCAAAGTGAACCCTTTGAAAATGCCCCGAAAAATAAGAAAACAATTTTGTGACAAACATCTGGCTGGGTATGTAAGTAGAGATAATAATGATTTATCAGAATTTATCAAGTTTTCAGAAATTCTTAAATGTTAATTTGGAATTTTCCGAGATTTATTTAAGTGCGCCACGTTAGGGAACACTCCGCCAAATTGTGCCCAATTTCCGGACGCCACCGTTTTTTTAATTTCGGCTTAAATTTTATGAAACTGAAATTGTTCACAGAGGTTAAACAGCAAGCATTAATAAGGTAAAAGTACCAGTATTTCACTGCATGAATTTGAGGTTTGTCAACAAAGAGGTTTGGCAACACTACACGAGGAAATTTGGGTAAGCTTCGAAGTGCGCCACGTTAGGGAACACGACTATATATATTCAAAAGTTCATTGACCCCATTCGACCTAAACAAAATTAATACAACCACAACGCAGGCCAGCCACGGCTCCTCGTAACAGGAAAACCCTCATTTTTAGTCCATATAAAGTGGGTAATTTGCATTTTTCCACAACCATAGAGGTAAACAATCTTGGCCCCTTTGATCTTGATCCTTACTTGATTTTGAAATTCTTGATAGGATCCCTTGAACGGTAATACGCCGTTCCGAGGTCATTCCCTCCACTGTCTTCCGCCATTTTCCCAAACTGGAATTAGGTTGCCTAGATATTTGGACGAAGGTATTTTCTCCAAAATGAGTAAACAATAACAAGTTATTGTTTTTATCATTTCTCCCTACACATGTAATAAATGGACATTTTATGGTTTATAAAAATTATAAAAACATTAATAAAGAGACTTTTATACTGTTATTTGAATAACTAATTATTATTTTGGAACATGATGGCATTTATTTCTCACCCTCATTTGTGTGCATCCCCATTTTAAAATAGCATGGTCTAACATATTGCACAGTCTGGTATCTATACAGTTATGCTATTTTCGTTATTGAAAATACTTCGTGCGTGACATTGGGTTCCAGACCTAAGGTGAAGGTCGTTGACCTACTTACGACGTCACTGCAAGATGGCGCTCTCTCTAGGCATTTATGGCTAGCAGACAACCGCCAGAAAGGTACGAGATTTCTCCTTTTTCAAAGCTTTATATTGATGTTTTCTTCCGTCTATCGGTTATTTGATTACTAAGGAGTTTTCCTGTGTTCATTATTATGTTTTTAAATACTAAATGTATCAGAAATCAGACGTTACTTTAAGTTCATTCTTCACAAAATTTTCATGTTTTTCAATCATCTGACATTTCTGATTGACAACATGTCACTCATTGTCAATCATGTCAGTAAATTTTTGAAGTGACTATTTTCACGGATGCCGTAGGCCTAATGTGTTTTCAACGGCTAAGAATTGTAACACAACATAACATTGCGAATCTATATCATTATCAAATGAGGCTTTAAATTCCAACAGCGATTGAAGCAGGCTTTTTCGTTACATGACTTTTCCAGAAGGACAAAAGCAACTGACCTCGACATGACGGCAAACTTCAAAAGATCATAACTTAAAAACTACAAAGGTAACACTTATCAAATGTACCTGTCATAACTCCTGATATCTCAGGGTTATACCAACCAGAAATGAATGAAATCGGACAACTAGTTCTGAAGATATTAAAAATGTGATGCAATGCCCAAGCCCAAGGTGCTCCATTTGAAGTGCATCTTCCTCTGTGTGCGAATCCATGGTCATCGCACTTTGGCCCAACTTTGTGGACTTTTCTTGACTCAGACGGAAAGTACTTTTTTCCTGTTTCCATGAATAATAATGGGTTAAAAACCTACCGCTTGAACTTAAATTTACATTCTTGAATCTCTGAAATTAAATCTTTGTGTGTGAGAAGCATCGATCGGCCATTTCGTAAGTGCATGTGCACAATGTCAAATTAGAATTTGTGATGAAAATATGGGCAAAAGAAATTGTACATCCAACTGCTTGTCAGTAACAAGCAAAATTAGACATTAGAGCATCTTTTCAGAAACTTTCATGATATTCCGATGTCTGTGAGCCAACGGAAATAAATCCAATGTAAGTGAAGCGCAGCATGTGATTGTGAGACTGGATCGCTCCGTACTATGTCACTGTCATTGTCACGTGATGTCATGCGGCATTTCACATATTGGTCAATTGAACATGGACAGTAGTGTGCCACAGCTAAATAACGAAAATAATAAGATTACTCATGCATTTTTGTCCATAAAAAGGCACCAGTAGTATCTTCAAAAAAGTGAAATCTTCACTTCTGGTCATCCAATTTTAAAAATTCAAAAAGTTTTTCATTTCTAAAAGCCAGTCTGACATCTTAAAAGCAAATTCAGGTTTAACCCTTACTCTCTGAGGGTAGTTTACTGCATGTCAGTTGGTTATGCCAATGCCCTCCAGCTGCAGTTTATTGGAGGATACTTTGATGTAGCAGTGAAGGCTCCAATTGGCAGGAGTTGGAGGCCCTGGAGGGTGCCTGATACTGACCAGCTGGGGGCACTCACTTTGTTATCAGAGGACTCTCATTGTTCTCTGTGGCATGTATTGGAGTGCCTGTCCAGTTACCCTTGAAATGACATGGCAGATATTGGAGGGCCATGCAAAAAACATAGGAGATTTTCTTGAGGCACAATTGGCATGCGTTGGAGGGTCTAGTAGGGTAAGGGTTAATAAGAGCTAGAAAAAAAAAGAATGTAAAATTGTGTGCCGAACATGCTGGAAGCATGGAAAATGTTGAGTTCGATTCCTAGAAATATCGTTTTACTTTTCACAAAATATGTATTTTCTTACCTTTATTTGAATTACTTATAGGAACTCTGTTGATTGACTGTGCCCCCATAAGTTGTGTGCCACAGATACTGGAATTCCTCTGTAATTAGAGCCACATAGCAACGTGTGCTAAATATCCTGAAAAATTGCATTTCCTGAATTTGAGACAGTTTTTTTTTTTCACCTGGTAATCACTACGGAAGTTTCATATCAGGGAAATCAAAAGCTCAAAGGTGCATGACAAGTATTTAACTATAATTCTGGGAATCTCTGTGTGGCAAATATTAAGTGAAATTGTTTTCTGACAAGTATCTAACTACAGTGTATAAGTCCGGGAATGTCAGGGTGTCTGTGTGTGTGTGTGTATCTGTCTGTCTGTACTTCGATTATCTCCAGAACTGGGCACTGTATGAAGTTTAAAAGTGGCAGGTGTATTGCTTGGGACCGGATGAGCGGTTCTCGAAAAAGCTGCAAAAAGCTGCAATTTAGCCCCATTTGTCTCATAAAAGATTTGGCCTGTGTATGTGTGTGCATAGAGCTAGCTGACCTTCACGGGGAGAGGGGGGCCTATTCCGTTATCAACAGTGGGTACTTCACTGGGGGGCTATTCCATATCAACAATGGGTAAATAAACAATGGCACACCTTTCTTCCTCATGTTTTCTTACTAAAATTCAAGGAATCTCTGTGTGTCTGTCCACAAATGTCTGGTCAACCTGTGACTGTGAGTGTGCGTTCAACCTGTGAAAACAACACCATTGAATCATGTGCGTTGTTTGCATAATTTATGAGCAGTTTCCAAAAACGCTGCAAGCAACCAATCCCAGCAGCCAAGCATTTTGCCTCGTCCGAACAGGCACATTTTCAACAGGTACTGCACTAGTCTAATCTAATTGACGATTACAGCGTGTGAAATTCTCTTAATAATCCTTATGTCATCAAATCTCGACCCATTTCACATGTTCCTAATGCTTGAGCTGAACTTGTTCACTACATGTATGCCTACACTGTCCCCAGTCATTTTTTTTCCATTCATGCTCAGGTCATCTCGCACAGTCTGTGTGTTCTGCATTTTATCAACATTACATGTATGCACTGTATTTAGATTTTTAATTTTTTTCGTCGATATTAAATTTTTCAAGGTACATGCAAATGTACTTGTAGTAAATGTACCGTAGTAAATCAAAACGTGGCATCTGATCAGTAAAATTCTTTCTCAAGTGTCTACAAACACATGTGAAGTGGTATGCCTAGTGCCTACAATGTACATGTACATATGTACATGTACGTACACAAGATTGAACCAGTACTGACCATAGAGGGCGGTATATAGTACATGTACACAAAACTGTGTTTTTAGATACTTGTACATATATATACCTTCAAAACCTTGTTGCTAAAATTAAGTACCACCGGCACATTACATTTTGTTATTAGCCTGCAGCACATGTACATGTACATGTACAATGTAGGTAATTCTCTCTTCATTCCTAATCCCTAAACTATGTGACATCAAGTAAACTGTGAAACATGTGGCAGGTTATTACACTTTCATAACAGAAATATCACTGTATTCCTAAACATTTTTGTTTATTGATTTCTGCACATGTCCCTACTGAATTGTTCATGCAATACATGTACATTGACATTTTCAGGTTAAATCAATTCCATGCTATCCTCTTGTTTTTGTTCAAGAGAACCATTGTCATAAAAGCCTAGACTTGTGCATGCTGGCCTGCATGGCGCCTTTTCCCATCTACATACATCGATTGCCTGAGTATCTGTCAACAGTTTTAAAAGGAACCACAATTTTTACCTTGGAACATATTTTATGCAATTTTCCATTCTTCCGAAATGCATGAAAACTGCAAAAGTTTGCTTTTGGTTAAGATGTTTTTAAAGTGCAATTTTCTTCAAAACTTGAATGTTCCATGCTTTTCTGGTCAACTGAGGGCGCTGTTGCTGTGATTGATGTCAGTAAGGGACAGACTCTTTAGTGAAGAGGTTCCCTGTTCATATTGTTAACCTAAAAGTTTGCTCATGGAAAACATTTGTGCATAAAGTTTGCTCATTGACTTAATGCCATGCACTGAAACATCAGTCAATAACCAAAAGACAGAAAATTTAGCAAAAAAGTCAAAATTCTGACAGCTTTTGTGGCTGAAGCAGCCATAAACACTTAAGTTTAGCCTTGAATGATGCGACAGTTTCGCTCATGAAAAAGGAAATCTGCATGAGCATAAAAACCAAAAAATGTACCAAAAGTAACACCCTTGAAATGGCAATATAAAAATTGAAAATACAGTTAATACATGAAGGACACAAAAGTGCATTTTTAAGGATTGCATTAATCAAATATAATCTATTTCACGGGCATTTATAAAATAAAAAAAAACACAGCTGTGTGGCAGTTGTGCATTCATATCTGATCATGTCAGCTGCAGATTACACGCACTGTACTGTTGAACTGGTATTTTCATCTCATTAGTAATTTAATTGGTTTTTAAATCCAAAAACACCTGTTGATTGTGCTTTAGACCTTTTGATTATAATTAATGAGAATTTAGCATTTTTTAGACTAGGGAATTACAGCCATATCTTATGGGATGGTTGGTCCTGGTAACATAAGTTAGGGTGATAATACTTCGGGTTGAAAGGACAGGACGTTTCTGTGAGAATAAATTTAATTAATGGTTACAATTTACATGTATAAGCATAAAACAGGAAAATTAATTGACCTTGGGATGTTTGTTAGAATATTAAATTGAAAAAAATATATGTCCGTTAAATATACATGTATATCACCTTTTTAGGACGTACTGGTAGGGTACATTCGTCATGGCAGTTTCTTGATTCAACCATAAAATATGTACTCACTAAACAGTGTAAATTGACCAATTTCATATTAAAAGTACATGTAATATATCTAAAAAAAGAAAAGAAAAAGGAAAGTAGGAAACCATTTATTTATTTTTATTCCTTTGAAAGGAATGTTGGTGCAGACAAAATGGGTAATTTACAAATCATTGTGTCCAGGAAAAATAATTATATAAAAGTAATATTGATAGCCATCGCTTTTTGTCTCCTTTTCACTGTAAGGACACAGTCATCTTTCCAGGGGTATTCTTTTGCCATTTTCATGTATCACATTACCCGGTAGCTTTAGTTTGAAAAACAAAAATTATGACATTTTATCCGGCCGAGCTATTTTTAGTCAGTTCTGCCGGTTTTATCCTAGTATCCCTATCTGTCATTGTATCAGGTGAACATTGAACTTCCCTTCAATTCAATAATCAATTTGTCATTTGATATTCTGACAAACAACTAAATAATGAGGGAAAATAGTCTCAATGGAGCTTCAAAGAGTCATTCTTATTCGTCGTTCCGAATCATGCGAGCTATATGTACGTGGGAGGTGGCTGCTTACAGTCAAAGTACAAATATTTGTGACGACGGTAAGGTCCCCCTGCGGGTAAAATACAAAATTCAAATTTTTGGGGGTTTTGAATAACACATTTTTTTTTATTTGAATGGTTTTGCACCTATGTACATTTGTCTGTGTCCCATTTAACCTTATTTTCAGTTTTTGTTTTGCCATTTTCAAGGGTTTAGGCCCTATTGGTGCCTTTTTTGGCTTTTATGCTAATCCCAATTTCCATATTCATGAGCAAATTCAGCAAAACTATCATTCCAGACAAGAAGTTGCTAGAATTTTGGATACTTTGCTGTCATAAATTTCTTTTCTTGGTGGTTCTTTAATTGTGTTTTTGATGGTAAGCCAGTGAGCAACCCTTTTTTTCACAAATGTTTTATGTGACAAATTTTGGGTTCACAATTTAAACAGAAAACCCTAACATGCTTAAACTGAACAGTGTCTTCCTGAAATGACATCACAGCTACATTGCCCTCAGTTGTCTGGAAAAGCATGGACAATTTGTCTAAAGAAGCGCACTTTTCAATAAAATTAACCAAAAAGGAATGTTGAATAGTTTTTATACATTGAAAAGGCGTAGAAAGTTGCACAAAATTTTTGCTCAGAAAAAGTTGTTGCATAAACCCTTCCAGCATTTCAATCAATTGAAGTTTGTAGGTTTTTAATTAACCCTAACCGCCCTGAATCCTCCAAAATCCTTTTTGCAAATTGGAGGAACTTGTAGGATTGAGGTTACATGGCAAAAGTGCGTTGCTGATTTCGGAGTATGCACTGTGTCAAGGTCTTGGGCCGGACCTTGTGTTGTTTATGCTCAGTCGTGCATAAATTTAGTCCTTGATTATACTTGAGATCCTCCGCACTGCTCCAGGATGTCACTGCCTCTGCCTCAACCTATTGACAGTCATAGCCGGAGGATTTTGCAGGATTTAGGCAGTGGTCACCCCTCCATGGACCATATTCAAGAAATAATGGAGGAATTTGCAGGATTGAGGCTATATGCTATTTTTCCATGAGGCCAATTGGAGGATTTTGCAGGATTGAGGCTACATCCTAGCAAAAAGGCCTAGGGAGTTAGGGTTAATTTGTCTGTGTGCTTAGGTGTTTGGAGGAGAAGCCTTCAGTATAGACCTTTAGCATGCTGCTACCATTTCAGTCATGTTCCCCCGTATCCAATAACAGTACTGAATGATAATGTTTTTGGTGCAAAAAGGAGCCAGACTTTTTTTCCTTCCAGCGTCGCTTTGGTTACGTTGATTTGAATTGGAAAAAAATCAAGATGGCCGCAACATGAAAATGGTCTATACCATTGTCTTGTGAAGGTACATTAATAACAATGCAGTATTTTATTACCTTTTGCTGGTCCCAGAGGGCCATCCTTGTCTCTTCTTTCTACCTTACTCACTGATTTACCGACTCACTGACTATAAACTGTCACGTGTGAGCTAGGAAACGCTATCATACAGGACTACCCATTTACGCCAATAAACCATCTGGCCCTCGAAAATGTAGACCAGATGCACCAAAAGACTTCCAGTGAATAATCATTCTGAATCAATTCAAGTGAATTCTGGGATTGAAATTTCTAACTTCTAACTTGTAACTATGGTGTCTTGAAAGTGTCTTACTTGGTCTCTCTGAAATCTAGATTAACATTAAAATATCTGTAGTGAACAGAATCCAACCATGAGGATTTGGAATGATTTTTGGGTTTGTTAGAGTACCAGAGTCCCGGGACATACCGTTATTTCGTTTTACCATTTTTGATTTCCTCAAAAACAAAAACAGTAAACGCACCGTTGACCGTTTTTTCATTTTACAGTTTTGTAAAACGGTCAAACGGTATTAGGTCACAAAAAACAATGACCTTTTTGTTGTTTTTCTTAATTGTTGAAAGCGATAAACGGTTAGTTGCTTCATTTCAGAGTGTTGTTTTACAAGAACATGAGAATGAAAAACGGTCAATAGTCCTGTCGACCATTGTTTTGAATTACAATGTAGGTTAGGCAATTAAGCAATGCACCTAGGAATGTTAATGCGTCCTCATGGGATCGAGTCATTGCCTGGGACCCAATTAAATTACCCTCCTCACATTTCGTTCTCACGACATAGTTTTCGAACTGGCTATTGAAGAGCCGCGCCGAACTCCCATTTCCTTCAAATATCTGCAACTTCTTCAAACATATTACCATCCTGTATCCATTGTAAGTAATGTCCTCCTTTCAAGTTTTCCAGCGCCATTTTTGCTTGCAACTCTTAAGCCCCACCAACTGAATCGCGTGAGAAGGGGGTCACGGTCACGCCAGGAATCATCACACCACGCATTATGCCGAGGTAACACTTTTTCATGTAAAGCATGGTCCCCCTCCATCCCCCTTGCCCAGCACCACAAAATGCACCACGGACTGTTCACTATGACACTGAAAAAAGGTCTGTATTCTATACTGACCGTTTTGCTGTTTTTCAAAGTTATTTGTGTAAAACTGTAAAACAAAAATCATTGATCGTTATGCTGTAATGAATTTGATTAAACTTATAAAACAGAGAAACCGTATTTATCTTAATACCATTTGACCGTTTTACAAAACTGTAAAACGACAAAACGGTCAATGGTTTGTTTACTGTTTTTGTTTTGAGGAAATGCAAAACGGTAAAACGAAATAACGGTATGTCCCGGGATTTACCAGTACTACAGGTGTTATTCATCTGAACTAGGTCATTCTAATACCAACTTTTTTGTCATCAATTGAATCATTGTACCAGTAATTGTGCAAAGGGATGCTTCTATTCACTAGTTGTACCTGGTTGACAAAGGGCATGTTTGAGTAATATTATTCCTCTCAATCAGCACAGCAATCACATTGTTGTCCCCTCACACACACTGACTCCTTTAGTCACTGGATCATGTTTTATTCATGAGAATCCAGGAAAACCAAACCAAACACCCCTGGGACATAACAGTAATGTGTGTCCCTCCCCCCCCCCCCCCCCCCCCATTGATTGGGCGGCAGTGTCATGAATGTCCCACATCAATCAGAGTTGTTTTGACTACGGAAATATGCCAACGAGTCTGATCTTGTGAACTTGGTCCTGATAGCCTGGGCCCCATGAAACATCTCACTATCTTAGAAATATAAATATCATCATAGTAAAGTACATGTAGAACTGCATGTTGCATGGACATACTGAGCTAATTTGTGTCCTCATTAAAAAAATAAGCCTCTGTACTGATGACGTCACACTTTGTTTTTAACGTATGCTTTCTTATGGGAGCCTGGTGTGGACCAAGGTGTTGTAGAAAGCGCCAACAAACTGAGGCTTATTGACCGAGGACCATTCACAGGCTATACATCCATTGACTGTTTGACTTGTAAAGTATCTATTTTCTGTGATTTGCATGTCTTTTTGGGGGGCAGTAAGCATAGAGGCCAAAAAAAAAACCAGTTGTGTTTCCTATTACAAATGTACATTGGTAAAAAATGTATTTTAGGTAAACTATACATTTTTGGTTCAACATTTTTATAGCCAGAAACAAATTAGGGTGGGATGATGATTTTATTTATTTTTTTCATTTTTGAAATTGCTTTTAATTTGTATTTTGTATGGTAAAAATGATACGTATTTTAAAACTTTTTTAAATCTAGAAAATTATTTAAATGAAATAAGTTTCTTCACAAGGTACAAATGTATGTACATTGTAAATCTACCGGTATTTTTTATTGGGTGGAAAACTCTAATTCCTAGGCTTTTGCAAAGAAAAGTTATTAAATTAAGGATTTTACTTTCACGTCTGATCGCTGGGTCAAAGAGAAATTGAAACTCCACTCATTAATCCGACAACACCGTTACACAGCATTCATCACAAAGTCTGCGGAACTGGCTGAGAGATTAGAGGTCAGCCAGGGGTCGTCCAACGTCTCATTCAACAGATGCCGTGGTACATGTTGACCTACAAATAGGCAGAAACAGTACGTGATGACTGCCCTAGTCTTGTGGATCGTACAACCGGAGCGTTCATACTGGGGATGAGTGCTAATACCTATTATGCTTAGAGCAGTGTACATGTAGTGACTGTGCATGTACCGTATATTACATCATGCCGTGGACTGTGGAGGTGCGTGTTGAACAGCTTTGACAGACGTGTTCAGTGGAGATGTGTAACCCCCCAGTGGATATGGCATAATATTAGACGTGCACGTGGAGGGTTAAATGCTCATTAGTCGGTGGAGAGGCTTACGGGGGTGTGCCGATCCATACCGTGTCGCTCCGTGGCCAGTCGTTGAGAGCTCCGCGAGCTGTGTCTCGCAGTCTCGTCGTCTGTCTCGTCGTCTGTCTCGTGGCGATTTCCTTGGAGGGACGGGAAATGAACACCGGCAACTGAATGTATCGTAGACACTTGGCCATGAGGTATAGCATGTATATTGTGTCATCGAGAGTGTTGTACGGTAGATTAAGTACATTGTATAGCAAATGAGACCTTGAGATTGCTTGAATGGATTATGGAAAATCCTGGCCACAGGATATGTGCTGGGAATTGTTAAATTGGCGGATTAATGTGGTTATTGAGCATCTGTTATTCGCATCTGAACATATCAAATGTGGATGTACATGTATTGGTGTAGCAAACATGTAAATTTATGTATGTACATTTATTTGTTTGTGGTGTAAAACGAGGACACTCATGTGAAGCATCAGCAAGTAATTAAGGACAGAGTCAAATTGAGGACGACCTCTATTAGAAACATGTACAAAACCAATGAAGGTGTATCAAAAAGGAATATAGAGCAAAAGGTCAGTGATGAGGAACAATAAAAAAATCCTCGATTTACACCGCAAACAAACATGCTGTATGTGTGTACATAGAGCAAAGTTCCTTGCTCTATGGTGTGTACATGGATGGATACATATGTGTGCATTACTGGTAATGTGAATGATACATGTACGTACATGTACGTACAAATACATGTGAAAATTAATATTGTACCATAGTAATTGAGTACTGAATCGAGGTTCGAATGCATTTGCACTGTATTTCATGTACATGTTCCTACATTTTGTACAAGTATGTATTGCGAAGTATGGAAGTGATACATGTACATTTGTAAAATATAATAAATTACATGTACATGCAGTGTGAAGCCGCACATACATGTACTGCACCTTGTTATAACCCTTAGCCCCTGTACCGCCCCAAACCGCCCTGCTTAATTGTTGCTCCTCATAACTGCCCAACAACTCTTAGGTTGTGTGGATGCACCAGTGAGTAATTGAAGAACAATGTAATGTAGTACGGGTGTCAATGGATTTATACGCAGTAGGATGCAGCTATTATTAGGATGTGAGTCTATTATAAAACCATGCTTATTAGCATTGCTTGTGCCTGTTCAGAATTCGCACTTGCTTCCTTTAAGTTTCATCTATGTTCTTATTTGTACAAGCAGTAAATGAACGGTAAACATTATTAGAACTCATTTTTTTTCTTGAATCAACAGACTATCATATTCAATCGACTTCAACCACATTCAAGTAGACTTGATCAAGTTTTTTTTATGAGGGCAGGTGTGTTTTTTTTAAACAAAATGTTGTACTTGTATCCTTTCCATTTCCAAATATAACGGTACATTGACCGGTATCTTCACAATTTTATATCAACCTGCATATTTCAGATCATTAAATATACATACTGGTAGCTCATTGAAATTTTACTTCCTGCAATATGTTATTTTATTTATTTTTAACCTTTTCTAGGAAATGCAGTTTGAAAGCAGTTCGAAAGGAAAACAGTGGCAATCTGTGTTTGCCATGTTTGCTGGCAGTAAGCAATAAATCACGGTTGCACCATGTAATGGTTGCACCATCTTTTCTGAGTTTATGAGGTTCTTGAAAAGAACCAAGGAAACTCAAAATGTTTTTTTTTTAAATTGCAATCAGCAATTGAAGACGGTCAGAGCATAGGCTTACTGACTGGAACGTCGAGTTTATACCTCTGGTTCTTTTCAGAACCATTCTCTTAGTCAGTTAGTTGGGAAATGATTCGCACATGGTGTTTCCGCAAACCTTTCATTATTTGCAATCAGCATGAGTATTGTTCCTCTACCTCCGAATACACAAGTTTTGGGTTTGGAGTACACAACCACTGAACAAATTGTAGTAATTTTTGTCATGAGGTACCACCAGGCTCTTTCGTCCTTGCCCTACAACGGACTTAACCACTCGACAAACTGTAGTACATGTAATTTTTGTCATGACGTACCACCACGCTCTTTCGTCCTTGCCCTACAACGGACTGAACACACAACAGTACATGTTGTTTGGAAACCATACCCGGTAGCTTAATCACAATACAACGTTTGCGTGAAGCGTAAAGGCTATTGGCAGGGAACACTAAATTGGTCTGCGTCGAACCACGAAGGTTGCCATAAATAGTGACATATATGCTGTCTGCATTTGTGAATGGATTACCTTTCCACATGTCTTGTGGCTTGTTCTTTTTTATGTTCCTTTTTAAAAAAAATGATTTTGATGCGTAGCGATAATGTCACAGTACAAATATGATGTGCATGTTTTAATATTCTTCTCTTGAAATGACATTTGAAAATAATACGATGTAGATTAAGTAGGTTATTGTGCATAGCCATATGAGCTGTGTGCCTTTTATCTTTCTCAGTTCATGTGCGCTTATTGTACATGAACATTTTAAATACAAAATGTTCAGGTTTATGTGTACATAAAACTGTTGTGCATGCATAGTACTGGTGACCATGAGTTTTATTAAATAATAAGATAGTAACTTAGGTGAACATACATGTACATGAATTCTTCTTGATTCTCATCGAGAATGTTTTGATGAAATGTCTCTAACAGAGTATTAATTTTCAAAAAAAAAAATTAATGACTGATCAAAAAATTATGAACGTTGATGATTATCCAACTGCCTTTAATCCTTCAAGATCTAATATATTAGGTTTTTGTTTGGGGTATTATTTTGATGGATACAGGAGGTCCCAATCTTATAATAAGAATACATTTGTACAAATAAATGGAATGAAGTCCATGTACTTGTATGCATGGTGTGAGTTTATGGGATGATAATTTATTGCACAGTTCGGGATTTTGAAGGAATAAGGAGACCTCCTAGCAAAAATACAGTGGAATGTCCACAATGGAGGCCTTTTCTTATAAAATGGAAGTCTATTGGCTAGGGTCGGGAGTACACAAAGCAAATTACATTCAAATGTGCGTACATTTAGCTTATACAGTTGTACATGTAACTATTATTCATACATACACATTATACACGCGCGAAAACCTTACCATTCTTTCTTTCCCATTGTACACGGCAAGGTACATATAAGACATGTCAGGGCAATGAATTGTGGATACAATCCCTAATAGAATTCGCATGAAATCACACTGCAATATTAAACAGGTTAGACCACATTCGTATGTTGTCTGGTAATATTAAATTTGCATTGCAATTTCCACCATGGCCATGCATATTGTTGGTTAATGGCTCCACGCACAGTACCCGTACCGGTACATGTACATTGAGTGGACGTGTACGTTATTACAGCACATGCACACGTTTTCAGTGTGGCCTATTATACAAGCCTTCAGAACATAATCCTGGTGAGTCAACGGTAGATATTGGCTAAAAATAGCTACAGCCCTGGATATTGGAATCATTGTGCTCTGTTACTAGTAGAGACTGTATATTTTTTACATGTACCGGTACATGTACACGTATGTGAGTTAATGATTACAACAAATAAAATTTTAAAAAGTCAAATCTTGGGGAGTCCGGTTGGCGCAGCGGTTCTTTCCTCGCCTTCCACTGCTGTGTTCTGGGTTCGATTCCTGCCCTGGCCACATGTGGATTAATTGAGTTCTCTCTACAGGTTTCTTCAGGCTTTCGAGCTACAGTGCCTAGGGCGCTTTTGAAGAATCATTGGTTTCAGTATCAGAAATAATTAATAATAATAATACAAGTTGAACTCAAACTTAAATTGAGAATTTGAAGTCAAACGAACGGTTGCTTCAAAGTTCCAAGGTCTTGAAATGAGTTCAATTTTGCAAATTTGCAGAGCACAATATGTATTTGCCTTGACATTACAAATTTGCATTCACTTTCAAGCCGTGTATAAACTAGCCATTAGTGTTTAAACGAACATGCATGCACATACTTTATGTATATAAAATGTTTTATTGCTTCTCCCCCTCCCCCCTGTCTCTCATACAGGCCCCCTAGTGGGCAGCCCATGACAGAGACAATGTCCCATTACAAGCGGCCTCGTACCCAGAGCCCTCAGGCCCACCGTGAGATCCCTCAGGGGTATATCTACGTGACTCCTGCCGACCAGCAACGGTTTCCTATGACTGCTGCTGGACAGCACTACTCAGCGATGTACCCACACCAGGCTGCACGGCATCAGGTAGGTAGCGATCAAGTGAGCAACGTGCATGCAGGTCAGACTTTTGTAGACGCATACATGTCGGACATAAATCCAAAGATTTGATTGGTCAAGCCATCACAAGTCAATCACAAGTCATCACAGGTCATCTTAAGCCATCACAAGTCGTCATAAGCCACCACAAGTCCATCACAAGACATCACAAGTCATCACAAGTCATCACAAGTCATCACAAGCCATCACAAGTCATCACAAGTCCATCAAAAGTCCTCACAAGTCAATCACAAGTCATCACAAGCCATCACAAGTCAATCGCAAGCCATCACAAGCCATCACAAGTCCATCAAAAGTCCTCACAAGTCAATCACAAGTCATCACAAGCCATCACAAGTCCATCACAAGTCATCTCAATCCATCACAAGTCATCACAAGTCCATCCAAAATCATCACAAGTCATCACAAGCCATCACAAGTCATCACAAGTCATCACAAGTCAATCACAAGTCGATCACAAGTCATCACAAGTCAATCACAAGTCGATCACAAGTCATCACTAGTCCTCCAGTCCCAAATCAACTCGCAGGCTATTCAAATGAAGTCTGATAAAGGCTTTCCTTTGTTATTGTTCATCCCCGGTTAATTGATAAGACTTCTAAATAGACCTTATTTGGAGCAGCCATCTTAGAGGGCAATGCCTGTGTTTAGCTGGGATTCGCATGAGTGAGCCTTTTGTAGCATTCATTGTTATTAAATTAAAATAATTAAAGATGTCCTCTAAAATTGCTGCTACGCATACTTGTCTATTGACTTGTGATGTACTCGTGACCAGACTTGTGATGTACATGTACTTGTGATCCATTACAAGTACAGGGGCCAATTACACAGCGCTGCTAAGCACAAAAATTTGCTTAGCACAAAAGTCTGGCTTATAAAAGCAGGTTACCAGCCAAAACTCCATGTGAAGTGTATTGCTCATGATCAGTATTCAGCTGTTGTTTGCTTAGCATGAAAATCACATGGAGGTTTGGCTGATAACCTGCTTTTATAATTCAGACTTTTTTGTGCTAAGCAAATTTTAGTGCTTAGCAGCGGCGTGAAATTGGGCTCAGGTCTCGACCACAACACTTAATTAAATCAACTCCTTTAATGTTTAGGAGGAAACTTGTGCTGGACCCTCTTAGCTCTAATGTACATACTTCAATTTAATTGGCTTTTGACTAGCGCCCCTCGAATTTAGACATTGACAAAATGGGGAACCGCCAACATACAATGTAGGGCTGGATAGCTCAGTTGGTAGAGCACCAGAACGGCAATCCGGTGGTCATAGGTTTAAACTCCGCTCAGCTCAATTTCTTTGTTCAACCCTTAAATTACTTCAGTTTATGCTTACAGGGAAACACCGTGTTCAGTACATAAATCAGCATTTCATATCTTTCACATTACATGTATATATCTTCTTGTGAACTTAACTCCATATAACTCTATTTCTCAGATCAGTAAGCTCAGCCAAAAAAATTATTCAAAAAAGTAGCAAACTAAAGAGGCAGTGACATAACAATTGTTATCTCCATTCATGCATAGACACTTTCACTGTGGAATAGGCTTCAGGTTAGCATAATTGTCCCACTTTTTGCCCCATAAGTTGGGCCCCAATACTTCTTCCAACTCACTCTATTGCTCATAGTAAATCGAACAGTTATATGGAACATCTCGCTTTTGAGATAACTTTCTAGAGTCAAACCATTTGGGAGCAGGATTATTTTTAGCAGCTGCCTCCCAAGAGTATGTGCAAGGAAACAGGAAAGATTTCGTTAGGTCCTATGTGAAATCAACCTTGAAGCAAGCACCTTCCCTCTCCAAAATCAGCTGACTTCGTGTAAGCCAAGAACTCAAGATTTTTTTTCTTTCAAAAATGACAAATTTCTAGGGGATAAGTCTAGTAAATCCACTTCCAAATTGGACTTGTCATATTTTTTAGTATTTTTTGGAGGCCGTCAACAGGATTCTCCTAATCAGGTGTCGTTAAACATCTCGCTTCCTATTTTGTCACCCTGCCGTGCCTAATTGAGTGATGTCGTTCATTGTCACTTTTACTCATGTGCGACCTCAGTCAGTGTTGTCGGAGAGTGTCGGGGGATTTACCGGCCGAGTTTTAGTACGAGGAGCTCGGCCGAAGAGAGTGTTTTGGTTGCAGATGGCCCGTGTAAATTGCTTTTCCCTGTGCTGCTAAAGCATGGAAGTGCAGTTCATTAAAGAATAATAGGACAGAAAGAGGTCATTCCCTTCAAAAACATTGCAAAGGCTCCTGACTGTCCCTGTGAAGAATTGTTTGATATACCGGTACTTGTACTTTGATTTAGTTTGTAGTTCAAATCAAAGATATTATCTTTTTATAGCCTAATTAAGATACCGGTACCTGTAAAGTTGAGCTTGTTTGACACTAAATGTAATGTACAAGATGGAGTGAGCCTCTTAAATTTAAATTCACTTTGTTGAAATCTGTTTTGGCAGTTTAGAAAATCCATTGGCCACCAAAGGATTTGGGGCTGTCAGAATTTCTTTAGGTCTGAAAAATTTTGACAAGTCTTGAAATTCTTGTCCTAGAATTATTTGAATGTCTATCAGTGCAGATAGTAGAAATACGATGTACTGCACTATTCTTGATGTACACGTACTGCTATTCTTGATCCCATGGATATCAAATGAAATAATTTGTCCAATTTGCTTGAAATTGTTATATTCCAGTAATTGACCTGATGTTCATTTACCTGTTCTCTCCACATATTCTGTAACTTTTTCTTTTTGAGTTGTCCTTTTTTGAGTTGCGCATTGTATCTTGTGAAAATGCACAATATTAATTGTGTTATTATTATTATTATTATTAGAAAAAATGTTGTTCATGTCTTTATTGCAGAATGTGCAGGATATTATCATGAAGACTAAAACTAGCAGTTGCAAAGCTCAAAATAAAATTGAAAAAAACACCACCAAATTTGTGGAAGCTGAATATGTAATTATTTCAATAATCTGAACAACTAATGTCATTATCTGCAGGAAATAGCGGTTGATTATCGTGATCAGAGAGGAGATCAGTTTAATATTCGAAGACGACCTTCTTTGCTCTCTGAGTTCCAAGGACACACGGGAACAGAACGTGACCGGTAAGTCGTTTTCACTCAACACTTCAGAGAAAGCACGATCAAACACTTAATCCCTTAACAGTCAGTAACCGTTAAAGGGAAGATACAACATTTGCAAACATCACAAAACGAAATGATCAAATTATCGCAAAATACCTTACTGGATTGTTAGGGATGACAGTCTAAAGCATCCTGTAAAATCATGGCTCCTGGTGTGCTGACATTTTTAAGAAAAATGGTATTTTTCCAACGCTGGTCGGCCGACCATCGTTGGAGAAAACTGGCTATTTTTCAAAAATTGCTCCGAATTTTTCATAATTAGTTATTCCGCATTTTCTTTGCAATTGAATACACACCTGTGAAGAGGTACAAGTCTGCTACACTGATTGTCTGACCTTACAATTCCCCAAAGTCTATTAATTGCTCCGTTTTATCTTAAGTGGGGTCAGGGAACCAGACTGCAAATACATGATTGGTTTTCTTGGTTTTTCCAGCATCTACAAGCCCAAACGTGAAAAAAGTCATTTTAACAATATTTGCTATAACATACTAATCCTCCAAATCCATTTATTTCTGAAAATTGCAGCAAAAGCAAATGTTGTACATGTACATTCCCTTTAAAGCTCCTTTTGAATGCTATTCTGACTACCATAATTAGAAGCCATAATTGTGGTGGTGCATACACATGAACTATACTCATGGCTCTGCTTATTATAGCAAAAGATCCCTGCTTACTGTAGCAGAAAATTCTGTGCTTACAGTAAGCATTTTACACTGGTTATCAAAGGGTGTTAGTCACGATATCTAGTGAACGATCCAGAGAAATGATCCAGAACTCCTAGTCTGTAATCTCCTTGACCATTACAAGATGATGCATGTATAAGATTTGGCAAAAGACATTTTCAGGTTTATTCACTGAGCTCATAAATGCTCTGTCACAGACATCACATACGTGTAATGCTGGAATTAAATTACACTTGTCAAATTTTTGACAGCGATATGCGTAAATTATGGTGCGTTCTGGCTGTTAGTCTGTACTTTTGCTGCTGGCTACTTAACATACAGATTTGTTTTCGTTGAGTTTACCGATCTTTTTCGGATGAAGCTGAATCAATCATTCAATTTTCCGCTCTAGGAGCAATGAATACTACAGCTTTGAACCGGTCCGAGCACCACCTGTCACCACACAGACCGAGACGGAGCCAGTCTTGGCCCCAAAGCGCCCTCGACTTTCCATGGAGAGCCAAGAAGACGTCAAGCCAATTAGACCGGTACCCTTGGCCACCGATCCACGCTTGCACATTGCTCAGCCCGAGATCAAGAAGGTACAAATCTCTATTTGTCAACCATCTGTCAATTTTCTGTCAACAATTCGCCAATTCCTACCAACAACTTGCTGTAGATACAGGCACGTGCCGTTTAAAACCCTTGCACGACTGTTAAGAAATTACAGTCAGAGTTGCAGTTTAATCATCCAAACTCAGTAATAAGTCATTCAGTCTCAAGTCGAGGCAAACACTATTCAAATAAACTACGATAGCACTTTCCTTTACCATTGTTAATCTTCTGTTGCTCATTTACATCCATCTACCCAACGATTATGAGCTGTTCAGAGTCAGTGCTTTGGCAGAAAAGATCATGCAGACTGCATTTATTTTACATTGAAAGATTTTGTCTGACTCAAGATCCGACTGGTATACATATCTCTGGGTTATTTTATAAGCTTCCCTGGTTCTCAGTCGGTACCCCACCCCCTTGCCCTGTCATGCCAACCGCAAGACACAGGAAGTCATTAGAATTAGTCTTGGCACCAGCTTGTCTGTGGTTACCAGCCAAGAAGCCGGTGGGGATACGAAAGAAAGTGCACTCTGGAGCCAGGCCTCGTTAATTACCCCTACCTACCTGTGCCTCAGCACCAGGTGTGCGGACATCCTGAGACTGGTTCCTGAATGGGACGGCCCGGAACCAGACCAAGGGGTCAACTTAATGGTGTTTAATAGAAACTGTATCAAGGTAGATTCACTTGACCCAACATGATTCGACTAAACCAACACCAATATGTAAATCCGTCATGTACATGTGGTGCTCCTTCGACCAATAACCTATTTACATGTACAACTTGCCAAAATGCGTGCGCAGTCGCATCTCAAATTTGAAGAGTGTACAAAAATGTACAACCTGTGCAAGAGTGCATGACCTGGTTATTCTTTACGTCTTTACGACTTGGAACAATAGGTTTCCTGTGATGACAGTAACCCGAGGACCTCAGCCCAAGTCCTCGGGAGATTTTCATGTACAAACTTTATGGGACATTTCGAGAAAAAGTTGAAGTACAAAATATAGGAACAAAAAAACAAAACATAACCCCTCCTGCTATCTGAACGGTCACAGACAGTCAAAAAATCAATCCGCTCCCCTGCCATGCCTTTGACACATGCTACATGTAGTCACCAACAGTCGGATTATATTTCCAGCAAGCACTGTGACTAGTCAAATTCAGTCCACAGACAAAAGCAGGCAAGTAGCAGGCACAGCTGGTTTATCAATCACCTACAGTCAAAGCGCCTCAAGTTACATGTACATAAACAGTTACTACCAGTCAGTCCTGCTTATAATAGACCATTAGCATGTTGCGGCCATTTCAATTTTTTTCCCATTCAAATCAACGTAGCCAAAGCAAGGCTGGAAGGAAAAATAGTCTGGTTCCTTTTTGTATGCAAAAAAAATCACTCAGTACTTTTATTGGATGCAGGGAACAAGACTGAAATGGTGGCAGCATGATAAAGGTCTATAGGCTGGGAGCTCTTAACTTTTGAAAACAGTCACTTGATTGATTTTGACTGAATGGACAACTTGGCACATACATGTAACGTACCTTTGCAGAAGTGGGTTAAGTGTCCATGTTACATAGTGGAGTACAACCAGACTATGTGACTGTGCATGACTACATCCATGGGTGGTTGACCAAGAAATTTGAACCAATATGAACCAATGTTTTCACACTGACTGCTGTTGATGCGTTTGCATTGCAAGAGATTCTTACGGCCTCTTCTACAAGAACATAAGGTCATGACCAAAATCATTCCAAATTAAACATAGACACTTTGTTCTGCAGTAACCCCTTTTCATCAACGTTGAACCATTTTTACCCTGTGAAAAGGTATCCAATTACAAACGTTAAACTCCCTCTAATCCCATTCGTCTGAGTTATTCTTCCATGATTCAAGTCTGTTACAATCAACCTGATAATTTCCCACCCCTGGATGTGACGCTGTGACCCTCCATCCCCCATCCACAATAAGGCCTTATCAATCAGCCTGTACTTCCGTTTTCGTGACAAAGAGGCCACAGTTCACTTGAAGCGTGCACGCAAGTTTTGTAGCGAGGGCAAACCAACCACGGCCAGCCGTTGGTTGCACCAGGCCAAAAATAAGTTGGCAGTATCGCGAAGGCCACAGCAGTAAAAGAACCTGTTCTGGTGAAACAGCCTCCTCCTAAATTTCCTGCCAACTTCAACCGATTTAATTTGGTGCAGTTGATTTAGTTTTCATTCCATGACTATTATTTCATTATTAAACATTAGAATGCATTTTTTTTTTTAAATTAAAACAACTGATTGAAAACCTTAGCTTTGAATGCAATTATGAATTACAAGATGAGCATTTACTTTTTTGATTCATAGAAAAGATCAAAGGCCAATGGCATGCTTTTTAGAGAAAAAGAAAGTTGTTTATGCTTCCTTAATTACTCTCAATCATTGGAAAATGTTTTCGCATTTACGAATCAAAGCACTTATGAAAATTGAACTGCTCAAAACAAACTAAATTAATTCACCAAAGTGCTGATGGGTGTCACCCCTGAAACACGTTTTTATTTTCTTGCTGCGATGCGTGCTGGTTTAGCGACTTTAGTCAGTCATCATGCCGGGGTCCTATCACTTCCTAGTCTCAGGCGCCCCTCTTTGCGATAACTTGCTCACCTAGGGGTATAACTTCTGCAGGTGTGCCACGCAACTTTTTTATGCAGTCCATCTGATACTTAAGGGGGTACCGCAAAGCTCATAACCCCCCCCCCCCCCTTGCCTCACCCATGCCTTGATAGCACCTGTCGTTAATTTCAGTGTGGGGTGTAGTCATACCCTCAGTAGCGTGTGAATCAAAGGTGACTTGGCTGTTACACTTTGCCCACGGACCCTCTCATTCATTCATAAACCATGCACAGCATTTGTAGTTAACCCTAATTCCCTAGGCATTTTTGCTAGGATGTAACCTCAATCCTGCAAAATCCTCCAACTGCCTCCATGTAAAAATTGCGTTCAGCCTCAATCCTGTAAAATCCTCCGTTATTTCTTGAATGCGGTCCTTGGAGGGATGACCGCTGCCTCAATCCTGCAAAAATCCTCCAGCAATCACTGTCAATGTGTTGAGGCAGAGCCAGTGACGTCTTGGAGCAGTGCGAAGGATTTCAAGTATAATTAACCGGAAGGCCTAAAATTTATGCACGGCTGAGCATAAACAACACAAGGTCCGGCCTAAGACCTTGACACAGTGCATCCTCCAAAATCAGCCACATATTTTTGCCATATAGCCTCAATCCTGCAAAATCCTCCAGCAATCACTGTCAATATGTTGAGGCAGAGCCATTGACATCCTGGAGCAGTGCGGAGGATTTCAAGTATTTAATCAAGGACTAAATGTATGCACAGCTGAGCGTAAACAACACAAGGTCCAGCCTAAGACCTAGACACAGTGCATCCTCCAAAATCAGCCACACATTTTTGCCATGTAGCCTCAAATCCTCCATTTTGCACAGAGGATTTTGGAGGATTTGGGAAGGTTAGAGTTAATGTAATGGATTCCATGCACGTTCTCCCTCAATGGTTACAAAGGGAGAGTAGGGGAGACCACTAGGGACATTCAAATGCATTGCATTGCATTGCAAACGCATTGCAAATGGCACCTGACGCTCATGCGAAGATGCTAAACACAAGTTTTTGCAGAATCAGAAAAAAACTGATTTGAACCATCTCAAATTGCAACGTGGAACTCCCACAGTGTTCCACTTTTATTTCATAGAGATGACATCTCCAAAAACAAATATTTTAAAATGTGAAAAGTCTAAACAAATGAAGAATCCAATTACATTGTACATACATGGCAGGGCATTTCTCATTATTATAATGTCCCAGACCTGGTTCGATGTTTTTACTGTCTTGTATGGGGTTTGTTTTGAAGCCCAAGGTTTGCTCTGGTGTCTAGACTTCAATCTTGATAAGGAAGCCACACACCTCACAATCAATGTCCGGGATTCCTTGGACAACAGTGTTTTTTTTATTCGAGATAGGAAAGCATTCCTATTTAATGTCGAGTGGCCCCAGCAAAGAAGCCTTATCAATCATTTGACATTTGATTGAACCAGTTGTCAAAACTGATCAAATTTCCAACCAATTCAATTGACACTGATATGTAGAGCCGATGAGAATCTTTCCATCAGTATCTTAACTAGACGAGGCTAACCCAGTAAAGCTGGTCCCAAAGTGCACAATATTCTACTCAATTTGTTCTGTGTAATCCTATAGGATAGCACTGCCCAGATAACACTGAGTCAGTGAGGTACAATGAGGACTAAAGGGTCACCCTCTCTGGGACCACCTAAAAATATGATAATTATAATATTTGTGAAATGTATTTTATCCAATGTTCTTCATAATTTTGATGTACCATAGCACTGCATATAATACCAATTCACGTCCAGACTATAAATGTATAGTGCAGTTGTATTCTGAACTAAGAATCTAGTTTTCTGCACAAAATCAAAGTGATGAAAATCTGTTCCAATCGTATCAATTAATCTATCTTGACACCAACGGTACTTCACCAGACAGGTAACTACCGGTACCAAGATTGCCCACCAAAGAACATTATTTTCTGTGGTGATATGCATTGTCCGATGTCTGTGATAGTCAGGCATGCAACTTTTCCTCGGATCAGCTGATTTCCTCTTTTTTTCACTTCCATTGTGTGCCATTGAAAATAGAAAAACACGGTACAAAGTCTTGGAAAGATTTGAATTTCCTCTTTTTTTTGTGACTTCCCAGTTGCATTCCTGAATAGTAATAATGTGTATCACATCTTACATTTATACACGTCCTGCATTTTGATTGCGTTCACGTGGTTCAGCGACACTCGTCTATTTACACATTCCGACAGTTCCATAATGTTCCTTGACATGCTTGAGGAATGCACCGGTAGGTCACTAGTCTTCAGGAGCAGTCCCTGTATTTACCCAACCCCACCGAGCCCAATCCAAGACATTGAAACATCTCTCCTCACAATCCAAAATATGGTTTAGTTTAATAACTTGCCAGCCCCCTCCAAATCTGTCAGCGTATCAATTTAGCATAAAGTAACAGACTGTTCCCCATAGAGCTCAGCTGCTCATCACTCCACACAGACAGCCCCAGGGCTTGGACAATATTGCACCTGCATTTCATAAAAAAAGACGCCTGGCGAAATTAAAATCTGGAAAATGCGTTCAAATCCTTGGAATGTTAGTGCATGGGGATTCCCAGACAATGCAGGCTAAGTTACTCAAGGTATGGTACATGTACATGTAAGTGTGTATTTGCCTGCAATTGGGGACCCCCTATTGTCCCTCTTTTGTTTGTACTTAAAACTTTTTAGGAAGACCTCCCATATGTTTTGCACACGAAGACCTCCCATATGTTTTGTACAGGTACACAAATCCAAATCGGGGACCGCTCGGGAATTGGGGACCCTATTGTCCTCTATTGTTCAACGTCCCATATTGAAAACGCAAACAGGCACGATAACCACTCTTACAATGAAGTTGTAACAATGAAGTTGATCTGTCACCGCAAAAGGAGCATAAAGTCAGACTTTCTGAAGAAGTTACATGTTTTTACATGTACTTTTCTGGATTCTGCAGAATAAGAGCTTTCTAATGGTGTATAACATTTAAGGGTACTGAGTTTAGTAACATAAAAGTATAGATCGCCAACTAAATTGAAGTTGTAAAACTAACTTATTAGCAAATATATTGTAGCATTTGAAAATCCTGCTGTTGTCATGGTTGTGTTTCGGTGAATGAACAGTCAACTATTAAAACAAGATGAAAGTAGGTTTTAAAGATGTTTGATAGAACCAAAATAAAATTGGAAGAAATGAAAAAAACAAAAAACAGGAGTTACAGATCGAGGTTCACCTGAAAAAAAAATTACAACCCCTTTAAATTTTGGTTTTGCCCACTGTACTGCAAATTGGCATTTTCCGTTTTAATGCTTATTTCGCGGTGACAGGCCACATTTGGAAGTTTAGGTGTTTTAGGATTCTCCTCAGTCTTTACGAGGAATAACGGTATTTAAAAAAAAAACACAAAAAAAGGTCCCACTCTTTGTGCAAATTTTAAAAGTTTAATGAAATTAATGCAAAAGAAGCAAATAATTCAGATCCTACAAATGAATCAATTCATTGTTATTAACTATGAAACAAAAAATATTTTGTACAAAATTTGTGTATAAATACCACCCTCCCCCAACCCGAAAAGTAATATTGCTCAAAATAACAAAGAACAACATGGTCCACATGTGAAGAAAAATGGAAAAGACCGCCTATAAAAAGCCTCTTTCCCTTCCCAATGAAAAACAAAATCTTGGCTTGGCCAGTACACCACTGCATTCTTGCACAACCTATGTGTCGGATGATTCTCATTTGCTTGTATGAAATTTGATCCCAAGTATCTCCAATGAGGGTGGACCGTCTGACATTTCTCCGTTACGCAAACTCACTCGTCAGTCACCAAAACTGGGACACCGCTAAAATCCAACGCGTCCAGCCGATAGAAAAAATGTGGTTAACGTGCCAGCCGGGGAACCGGCCAAATCCAGTGGGATTAGCCGCACACGCCTGACGCAGATACCGGCTAACTGGCACAAGCTTTAATGTTTCCTGATCAAATGACAATGTTTTTAGTCTGTGGAATAAGAGTACTGTGTGTTAAAAGGAGAATATCAAGATATTCTTGTCGGCTCAATTTTGAGTTAAGTCGGGGTTGGTTACTTCCCACAGTCCTGGCAAAATCCTGGAATTTCAAGCTATTATGGAAAGTCATGGAATTTGGGGCTTTTTTTGATACAAGGAGTCATGGAAAGTTCATATTCCAAGACAAAAAGTCATGGAATACTGCACAACCTATACGTGATGATTCGTAATATTTGGCCACAGCTTCCAGTTTGCATTCCAGTTTACTATACTTCATTTTTCATGCATATACAAATATGCTCTATACTCATTTCTCGTGCAATGCACATTTGTGATGCCTCTGTGGTTAGTGGTCAAAAAGTGTGCCTAACTGGAATGCTGAAAGGGAGTGGTGTTCCTTGCCTCCAGAGCAATTGTCTCTAGAAACTGGCCATGATTAGCCCTATTCTGTCCTGCAAAAGTCCTGCAAAAGTCATAGAAAAGTCACGGAAAAGTCAGGGAATTTCATTTCAAGATTTCTGTGGGAACCTTGTATGTGTACTGCCTCGCTTTCAGTCCTTGCATTGTACGCACACCAAATAAATGCAGTCATGTACAGTATTACTTCTCACTGGCTGAACTCCCATTCAATTTGACATAACAATTAAGATGCAGTGACAGTGACGTCATGGAATTTGTCACGTATATTCCCCCCTATTCCTGACTTGTCTTTATCTCTTTATTGTTCTCAGGAGCAGCCGTACTTCCCCAAGGTTGAGAATGTTTCGCCCACCCCCATTGAGCAGGAGTCCCCATCTAAACTGTCCAAGGAAGGCCTGGTCCAATCTATGCAGAGAGTGGATCGGGAGATTGCCAAAGTGGAGAATCAGATCAGTAAACTCAAGAAGAAACAGGTAATGGCAGGCTACATTGGGCTCTCCCACTGACCTACGTGACCCGGCATACATCCGGGTATCGGGAAGTCAGCGCCGCCATTGTAGTAGGCGAAGATTGACTAGTGGCATACATGTAGGTAGTAGGCAAGCTGTGATGGAGGACAAAAACTGTGAGAAAAAGCGGAGCCAACACCCAGTGCTGGGTCGGCACGATTATGACGTCCGTATATGGCACAAGTAGGGACCATTATGCCATTTGATAAGAAGTTGCGGTTATTTTACGTGAAAATAAAGCTCTACTCTCTAGTTTACAACATACCCTTTTCATTTTGGCATATTTGGAGGGGACTCGGATCAACCGAAAAAAAATTGTTTTCGGACAGGCAAACTGTGTATAAATTTTCCATTGATTAGACTATGCAGTTATTCCACACAACTGCAAAAGTGGATCCTTCAATACTGTAACTTCTTACTGTTTCAAACTGTGCAAAACGTTGAGTCCCTCTGGTTCTTTTCAGAACCTCACAAACTCACAAAAGAGATTTGTCACATGGTGCTACCGTAAACCTTTATCTTATTGCTACTTTCACCATACAAACCTTCAAATCTTATCTGACTGGTGAATTACTAATGAATGAACTTGTGACAGACTTGTGACAGACTTGTGATTGACTTGTGACAGACTTGTGACAGACTTGTGACGGACTTGTGACAGACTTGTGACAGACTTGTGACGGACTTGTGACAGACTTGTGACAGACTTGTGATGGACTTGTGACAGACTTGTGACAGACTTGTGACAGACTTGTGACGGACTTGTGGTGGACTCGACTACAACAATACAGCCAATACATTTCACAATCTTGCTCATAGGTCTGTGTAATGGGAAGGGTTGTATTGAAGTTCTCAATACTCAATTCTTGACATTGCTTTCTTTGACCTCAAGCAGCAGGAACTAGAGGAACGAGCAACCAAGCCACCCCAGACAGACAAGCCAGAGTCACCTAGCAGCCTGATACCCGAACCTAAACAACAGAACATCATACAGGTCATATATGCCGAGAACAGGGTGAGTGCCTGATACCAGAACCTCAGCAATAGAACCTCATACAGGTCATATATGCTGAGAACCGGGTGAGTGCCTGATACCCGAACCTAAACAACATAACATCATATAGGTCATACATGTTTATGCTGAGAACAGGGTGAGTGCCTGATACCAGAACCTCGGCAACAGAACCTCAGCAACAGAACCTCATACAGGTCATATATGCTGAGAATAGAGTGAGTGCCTGATACCAGAACCTCAGCAACAGAACCTCATACAGGTCATATATGCTGAGAACAAGGTGAGTGCCTGATACCAGAACCTCAGCAACAGAACCTCATACAGGTCATATATGCTGAGAATAGGGTGAGTGCCTGATACCAGAACCTCAGCAACAGAACCTCATACAGGTCATATATGCTGAGAATAGAGTGAGTGCCTGATACCAGAACCTCAGCAACAGAACCTCATACAGGCCATATATGCTGAGAATAGAGTGAGTGCCTGATACCAGAACCTCAGCAACAGAACCTCATACAGGTCATATATGCTGAGAATAGAGTGAGTGCCTGATACCAGAACCTCAGCAACAGAACCTCATACAGGTCATATATGCTGAGAACAAGGTGAGTGCCTGATACCAGAACCTCAGCAACAGAACCTCATACAGGTCATATATGCTGAGAATAGGGTGAGTGCCTGATACCAGAACCTCAGCAACAGAACCTCATACAGGTCATATATGCTGAGAATAGAGTGAGTGCCTGATACCAGAACCTCAGCAACAGAACCTCATACAGGCCATATATGCTGAGAATAGAGTGAGTGCCTGATACCAGAACCTCAGCAACAGAACCTCATACAGGCCATATATGCTGAGAATAGGGTGAGTGCCTGATACCAGAACCTCAGCAACAGAACCTCATACAGGCCATATATGCTGAGAATAGAGTGAGTGCCTGATACCAGAACCTCAGCAACAGAACCTCATACAGGTCATATATGCTGAGAATAGAGTGAGTGCCTGATACCAGAACCTCAGCAACAGAACCTCATACAGGCCATATATGCTGAGAATAGAGTGAGTGCCTGATACCAGAACCTCAGCAATAGAACCTCATACAGGTCATATATGCTGAGAATAGAGTGAGTGCCTGATACCAGAACCTCAGCAACAGAACCTCATATAGGTCATGTATGCTGAGAATAGGGTGAGTGCCTGATACCAGAACCTCAGCAACAGAACCTCATACAGGTCATATATGCTGAGAACATAATTTTTGTTACTTTTTTCCCTCAGAGAAAGGCTGAAGCAGCTCACAATATGCTTGCCAACCTTGGACCTGGTAATGACTTGGTAAGTTGAAACAGCTTTTTGCAGTAAAATTCTGCATTCTGCAGAAATTGTGTGAATTGAAGACACCCAAGTTTAGGGACACAGTTTTGGAAAACGATGCACCCTCAATAGCAATTTCCTATTACACAGCAACAGGGTCATGGGAAATATGTCATAATCTTGTCCAAACATTTTCAGAATCTTCCAAATATAAAACAAAGGTAGTCTAAAAACAAGTCTAAAACATGTCAAAAAATAATCCAAACATGCCCATAAACAAGTCCACAACACAGTCAAATCATGAAACTTGTCCAGAAGATACAGTAATATCTACATGTACATGTTGCTGTTGAAGCCTTGAGAGTTTTGCCAACTTGACACCAGACAACTTGACCCCGTGACCTCATCCATTATAAAGTTAAAAATAGAGCCATTATCTCATGGTTCTTCCTGTAGTCTCATTAACCAGCCGTCCTGTAAGCCTTCAAAGGTCATTATCTGGGGTCAACTTGAGCCCTAGGTAAGACACAGGCAGACAGTAGGAGAACACAGGAAGAAGACCAATGGTGTTAAAGTTTCTCTCGCCTGTACAAAATTGAAAAAGAAAAAATCAACAATAAAAAAATCACTCATTAGATTATATCAAGTAGACTTTCAGAAAAGCATTTCTTTCATCTGTAAACATTAAGAGCTTGTTTGTATGGGCTGTCACAAGGGCATACAGTGATGAGCACCAGATTTTGCAAAAAAATTGCATGAGATTGAATTCTGTTCAGTGTTTTGCGGTGTTTGTTGGTTATTTTGTATTTTTGAGTATATCTTGAAATATGTCTTGAAACATTAACCCTGACTCCCTACTGTCTTTTACTAAGTACTGGACCGAGTCCGCCAAAATCCATCAATCACACTGCTTCCAATGCATGCTTTGCTTTAGGCCTCCAGGCCCAAGTCCATCATACTCCATCAATATTTAGTCGAACCAAGCCTGCAGGACCAAGTCCCCAAAATCCACCAAAATGGGGGATGGATTTTGGTGGAGTTGGGAAGGGCTAGGGATAATAACTAGTTTTTAATTTTGCGATGTTGACTTTCCGTAGTTTGCCAACCTTACATGGTGCCAACTTTAAAAAGTGCCAAACTTAAAAAGTGCCAAACTTAAAAATTGCCAAGCTATGTTGACAAAGGAAGGTCTATAGCCTCTGGCACAATAAGTTAAGGCTCCATGGCTCCTATGCAATTTGTCATAACATACACTTGATGAAAGCAAAGGACATGAGAAGGCAGAATATAGAAGTTACAATATAAATGGAAAAAAAATATGTAGTACACATGTTAGGCTAACCACATTCCCAGAAGATGATCATTGTAAGACAGTTACCCTGTGATGTGTTCAGTGAGCAGCAAGAGTTGTTCAAGTTGTAGTGAGATACAGATGTCCATAATTCCTGTGACTGTTCATTAAAGGGAAAATACAACGTTTGCAAACATCAAAAAATAAAACTACCAAATCATTTTGAAATACCTTGCTGGACTGTTAGTGAATGACAGTGTAAAGCATCCTGTAAAATCATGGCACCTGGTATACTGTCATTTTCAAGAAAAGTGGTATTTTTGTATCAATTTCCAACGCTGATATGCCGATCAACGTTGGAAACAACTGGCTTTTTTTTCCAAATACTGGCCCCAATTGACCATCGCACTTGTTTGCAATCGATTACAAACCTATGAACGGGTACGAGCCAGCTAGACTGGTTCCCTGACCTTACAATTCCCCAATGTATGTTAAAGGCTCTGTTTCTTCTTATATGGAGTCAGGGAACCAGACTACAGGAAAATGATCGTTTTTCTTGGTTTTTATAGCATTTTCAAACACAAAACCTCAAAAAGTCAGTGTAACTATATTTGCTATATATTTCCAACCCCCCAATTCCATCCATTTCTGAAAATTACAGCAAAAGCAAATGATGTATATTCCCTTTAACCCTAACAGTCCTGAATCCTCCAATTTTAATACAATTTTGCGCACCCCCTAGGAAGTGAGGGTCAAAACAAGGATCAAGTTTTTATAAAAAACAAAGAGTCTGTTCTGATGATGACACATTGCAATTCCAGCATTATGAAAGGAAGTGTAATGTCCTTGACAGAGCCAATTAACCATGATATCTAATTAATGATTCAGAGATATGATCCAAAACTCCTAGTCTGTAATCTCATTGACCATTACTAGATGGTGGATGTATAAGATTTGAAAAGGACATTGTCAGGTTTATTCACTGAGCTATTCAATGCTCTGTCACAGACATTACATAACGCTGGATTGCCCACATAACCAGGAAAAGCCATTCCAAAATACCTTCAATTATCCCTTACCCCTAGTACTTCCTCAGGACTACCCTGCTAAATCCAACAGAGTCCATGCGGTTCAGTTGCCTGCTGAATCCAACATTTTGCATGAGGAATGTACACAAGGGGTTAACTGCTCAATCCAACAGGCTCCATCGGGTATGTGACATTGTTGGATCCTGTTGGATTCAGCAGGGCTAGGGTTAAGTTTAAATCAGAATGACTTTTACCTGCTTCAGTACTTTACGTACATATTCAGTTTTCTAATACATAAAAATAGATCTTTGTTCTCTGGATAGAATTATTCCAAGCTCTCTTCCGGTTTTCTGGACCTAGGGTTCAGATTATTTCAATGACATTTTTTTCAAAACATGCAATTTTGTTTACTCTTAATGCCCACTGGTTGTTCTCTAGGAGTAAATAACCATGAAACGGGGAGAGAAAGCAACTACTGGGGCAAGGACTCCCAAATTGAGAGGAAATCATTTCCATCCTCTTGGGTTTAGAGGAGATTAGTAGAAAATTAGGAGAGCGAGTCGGCACGTATCCAGCCGTCTGCATCTTGTGACATGTTAGTGATCACTCAAGATGAAATCTTTACTTTTCCGTTTGGAAAAGAAAAGCTAAGGGATATAGGAATTAGTGGTGAAGTTATGCCAACATTTTTCTTTTAAAAGCACGAGACTAAATTTTTGGAATTTAATATGTTAATGTGGGTTTGATCCCCAGAGGATTTGAAAATTGAAAACAGTTTGACCATGGCGGAATCTTTCTAATCTTGCCTTGCTGGGAAAAAAATGTCAGACCCTCAAACTGTTTTATTTGTATTTTGCAATTCAGTCTATTCAGTAAGCAGTTTGTAGCAGGTTAATTCTATTTTTGTCCGATGAGAAACTTTGTTATTTTTAGAATTCAAAACTTCTGAAGTTTCAACTTTAAAAAAAGTTTACAAAGGATTTTAAAGTCAAGTATAAAATAGAATCCGAAGACAAAGCAAAGGTTTTGATACCACCCTAACCCCTACCCCCTCTCCACCCCAGCCCCCAACCCCACTCCACCCCATCCCCACCCAAATTCCTAGCCCCACCCCACCCCCACTCTCAACTTCGACTCCCCATCCCATCCCATCCCACCCCAACCCTAACCACTCCCAATTTCCCAACCTCAACCCGACCCCCACCTCCACCCCCGACCCATACCCCATCCCCACCCAACCCACAACCCCACCCCCACCCTAACCCACCCCAACCCACCCCCACCCTACAAGTGCATGAGCCTACTCCTGTGTACCGTATAAGGGAATTTAATACATGAATTACAAAGATTCAAATTGTGAACGACCTGTTGTTTAAAATATTACCAAACTCGGCTTGTAACTGTCACTCAAATAAGTGCATTACAATCCCATCCCTCTACCCCCTCCCCCTAAGGGTCTAGATACCCCATTCTTTTATCCATCCAACCCCTAATCTAATTAGGAAGCGCCACGATGTTATCTCGGACAGTGATTCAAGGCCGATAGGCTGCCCCAGTCATACTCCGGGTTTCGGGCGTCCCCCGGGACCCATCGCAAAAAGAGCGTTGGCACGCATGGCCAATGATAGATGGGTCGGTCTTACGCAGTTTCCCCCCGGGAAAGGGGTTTGGAGTTTTAAGGATGGCATCGTGTAAGGAGCATGGTGGATGCATGCAATCGTCTATACAGTCTGAATCAGTTCAAAGGCGTGACGTTTTGATCTCGGCAAATCTTTGTTAAAGGCAAAATGGCAAAAGCATGGATGAAACTAGAACAGTTTTATGTCGGGTAGAAAGACAAAAAGAGTGGAGAATCAAGAGAAAGATTGAGGTGTAAAGATAGGGGGGCAAGGTAGGAGAATAAGACAGATTTAAAGGAGGTCCCAAAAAACTTTGGAATCTTCCGTGACTGAGTTATTGATAATTGAGCACTTCACCTCCTGATAATGTAGAGGTTATCATTTACAACTGAGGACTTGCAACACATGGTTAATCTGAGGACCTGAACCCAAGTCCTCTGTAGTTTTTTCCAGTCCTCGTTACCTTGAAACTGTGTAAATTTGTCATACAAGTATCATTAAGAATGACATCAAAAATTGGAGTGGTAGTTTACTATTCATTTCACTCTTAGACGTGTTAGAGGACGACTGCATGAAGGAGTGCGTCAAAATTATAGAATCATAGATGTCAGATGTAACAGGAAAAACGTGGACCCCATCTTTATAGAATGGCCCACATTGAATGGAAAGTTTTTAGGTAGCAGACCAGTAAATAAACTTCCATAGACCCTAATGGTAAATGCTCACACTTCAGAAATTCGGGAAAAATACTCACAACTCTCCAAGGTGTTCAAGACACACATCAAATTAAAGCTTATTTCATCATCTTTCATTTTCTTTTCAATTTTCGGGGGGTTAACTGATGACTTTTAGGAGAAATTTCCATCCGAAGATGATCACCCCTGAAAATAGTCCTGAAGCCCATCGCCATGTTGAAAAACGATGCCTACACTCCATTGCAAAATAGAGCGCTTTAAGGGCCCAAAATTCATCCAAATTGAACGGAACTACAAGCTCACCGTCCTATGCACGGCTTCCACCCATATTTTTTACAAACCCTCAAGTTCATGGCCCTCAGCATGCTCAAATACTGAAGATTTTGAGGGCATGCAAATCGTGATTTGGCCGGCGCAGGCAATTTCGGACCGATTTACTGGCCTGCAACCTATTAAGTGCCTTGAATGGAAGGTTTTAAGTACTACTAAAGTCAACCAGCTAGGTGGAAAAGTTGTGATCTTAACTGACCCATTCAGGGGATGATGCAGGGCATTGGAAGAAAGCAAGTCAGTGGCCTTCAGGTCGTTGAACCCAAGGCTTGTTCAATCAGGAGATTTCCTTCAGATCGGGGATTAATACAGCTGCAGGATATATGCTGCAACTGACCTTTGACCTAAGCAGTCACGGGTAGCGAAGCATGTCCAGTCAAGGTTCATGTCAAACTTTCTCAAGAACGGAATCATATATAAGAAAAAATCCACATACTACGGAAAAAGACTGCTGAAAATTAAATGTAAGCAGTCTACACCACATGGTACATGGGCTTCTCATGTGCATTTTTTAAAGCAAAACTCTGTCTTTGGTCAGCATATATTTGTTTTTAGTGACGCCATGGCAACAGCTCCAGGCAGCTAAGTCATTTTCATACCACTGTTTCATAAACTTCTTTTGCTGAAAGTTAATCGATATAGGAAGACAAGTTTGTTGATTAAAGAAAGTGTTGGTTAGCGTATAAAAGATGATGTGTGAATTCATGAGTTGTACAAAGACAGAATCAAAATGGCCGATCTCACTTCAAGCGTCCAACAAAAGAATGACATCTTCAACAAATATTGCCCAAGAACTTCTGCCAATTTACTGAAATACCTCAACATGCCTTGTGAGTCCTCATAGAAACAAACCAGTCCATCTCCGACATATCCTGGAGAAGGATATGCGGTTAGTTTGGCTAAGGTAAACTCCGATTTGGGTTTTGTCGCTAGACAAGGGGGTTGCAGCCTGGGCGTAACATTGAACCGTTTCCCTTAGGGAGACACACTTATTAGCTGCAAGGGAAGGAACACTGTGTGTTTGGTCGGTTTAAATTTAGCAAGGTGACCTTTACGTTTGTCTTTAGCTTTGGGGGAACGTGGGAGAATGCTTCGGATGATAGGCCCTACTGCCTATTTTTAGCGCTGTCATCCAATTCTATTATATTTGCCTATCTATTCTATATTTAGTTTATATGAGTTTTAAATTTCATTAATTGGAAATTTATCATTTCTCAACCCTTAAAAGTTCACCAAGTTGTTGGGAATGAAGAAGCCATAATTTGGAGCTAAGACTTGTGTGATGCAATGTTGCACGCTCTACATGTCATTTCAGCATCTTTCTTGACTGTTCTAAATTCTTACCTTCATATTCATTAAATTTGTCTCATTTATTTTTTTAATAACACTCTTTTAGCAAGAAAATGACAGAAATATTTCTGTAACATTCCTGACCAGCGAAGTCCAAAATTGATTATTCTTTACTCAAAATCTTTCCAATCCCAAATTGCCAATTCCTGAGCTCAAATTTTGTTTCTGTTTTTTTTTCTTCTCAATTTACAGCCGATGTACAACCAGCCGTCTGACAGTGAGCAGTACCAAGAAAATCTTAACACGTAAGTACATGTTGTTGCCATGTGAAGCATTACTATTCCCATTTTATAATATCAGTTTCAAACCCTCACGACCCACAACAGTGGTCGCAACCCTGTAAGCGCTAACCGTAAGCATGGAATTTTCTGCTATAGTAAGCAGAGATTCTTTGCTAACTGTAAGCAGAGCCATGAAATTAGGCCCAGATTTCTGCGGTAAGCAGAACTTGACTCGGAAGCCATTCTGCTCCACGTCAACTTGACAAGTCTCAAATTGACATCGACAGCGGTTGCATGACTGTATAGCCCAGAGGTCGGTGACCGCTAGGTTATCCGGGCCTGCAGATTAGTAAACTGTGTGAACGAGTCCAGGTGTTAAACATAGCCATTATCGTGGGCAACTGGTGTGAGCAGGGAACCATGCATTTGACCTCAGCGAATCTCAGACTTCAAAATCCCAAAGACACATTCCACATTGATTGGTTCGTCAACCACTAGGTTTGCTGCATCCAAACTCGCGTCAACGTAGACTGCTGATATAATATTTATGTTCTTTCCATGAAACATTTCCTGTTGTGTAATTGAGAAATTGCTTTTGGTAATCCTTTTGACCGGATGAAGATTAGTTAAACCAGCATCCTTTTGACCAGATGTATTAGTTGTTTTGATGAGTCCAGCCAGCATGTATCTTTCAACACCAAGGCACTGGGGTTTTACGGAGTATAAGATCACCTGTGGTTAGGGTACCTAGTATCCCCCTTCCCTTGTGCCCACCCTTGTGCTCAGCTTTCTGCCCACCCTTGTGCTACTTCTACCCCTAGGCTAGGGGAGACTTGTGGGGTGAAACGCTAGACCCTACTGTCGGGACTCGAGCCCATGACGAACACTTGTTTTCTCACTGCGTTATTTTTCAAGGACGCGTAGTCTCTAGAAGTCCCCCTTATAATTTCCACCATGTGTTCTTGATCGCCAGCCATCAATCCAAACATGATTAAGATCACCTGTGTTCTCGGAGGTGGGCGTGTGTTATCTTAGCTCATGTTGATGGATGATTTCATCAGCGAACTAACCCCCCCTCCCCAACCCAGTCAGTCCCTTGCTAGTCATCCTAAACCCGCAAGTACGGGTCGTGATGATGTCATCCCGTGTGTTTGCAATGGACCGATTAGTGACCGGATCCATCCGTGCTGGATTTCAATTTGCGAATGCGTAATTTCATTTGGTATGGAAAGCGGGAATTCTCAGAAGTTCAGTTTGGCCTTGACCTTGTGATTAAAACCATGGATAGGCCAACGAGGAAAGATGCTTCTCTTTTTTTAGGGGGGGGGGGCAGGACTGTCCAGACATTTGCCAGGAAATGCTCTGTCTCCCAAGTTGAAGCATTCCTCCATGGTTGAAGCCACTGAGTGATTTTCCACGAGTTGTAATTCAAAATCTGTGGCAGTTTTACCATTTTGCTATGCCAAAATTTACAGGCTGCCATTTACATGTTAAATGTGTGCTTTTGCTAAAACAAAATATATTTTAAACATTCTTACCCATGTGCAGTGTACAGTTTTGTTCAAACAAAAGTGCAGACTCAGAGTTAAATACCTCACTTGAAGGAAAACTCTGTGGTAAACATATGCTAAGCACAAGAAATGTTGACTAGCAAAAATAGGTTACCAGCTAAAATATAAGTTGATTTGTGTTGCTTGCGAGTGGTTCTCAACTAATTGTTACCATTTTCTGCAGAATTCTTCCTGTTGTGCCCCATGTATATTAAAGATTGTTGAAAATACTCGGATATTAGGGATTTCTTTTTCAGTGCGCAAGCATAGGGTTTGTAAATTACATTGAAGATGATGTTGATAAATCTGAGGAGCCTAGGAGCATTTCTCAAAGAGTGAATTTCTGGCTGCCTAGTCAAAACAAAATAAATCCTCTTCTCTGCCATGCCTTTATACACAGTTTAGTCACCAATAGTCAGATCATGTTTCTTGTACAGCTGGCTTATCAATCATCTGCAGTCAAAGCAAAGTTGTATCAAGTCACTTAAACAGTCACAGTCAGTCAATCCTGTTTAATTGTTGAAAAACAGTCATTTGATTGATTTTGTGTGCTGGAATGACCTCGTTGAATTGCTAGCCAGAGAGGGAGAAATAATAGTTTCAGTTCAATTGTTTTGGAGATATGTTTTTTAAGAGATGACAATAATTGTAAAGTTTTACCAAAAACCCTTTTCTGAATATGTTTAAATTTACTTGTACTTGCACTGGTACTGCGGTACATAGCAGAACTGTGAGATAACACGGTTAGTCTGGAGTTAAACCCCATGTTCCTTTAATAATTTAAATCTTGATTCTCTTCCCAGGAATGTGGAGATGAAAAGAAAGCTCATCCTCTATTTCAAACGAAGAAATAGTGCCAAGAAGATGAGGGTATGTCATTTGTTCAGACTTTCACCTCCCAAATAATTCCTTAAGTAGCTTTAACCTCGTTGACAAATTTTAGAAATTACACCCATACAGTTGTGCTGTAAACTGTGAGGCGTCAATTGTTTGTGAATTTCAAAAGTACATTTTTTAATTGTGGAAAATCCAATTTGTTTACTACTTTCTTTTATTTTCTGGTAATGAAACAAAAGTGTGCAGGCACCGTATACCCCAGAAACCTACAAGTCTGTTATGAAGACAAGACACATGAGAAATGGTTATCTTTAGAAGTGGAAGGAATTGTACACGAGAGTGTGCATTTCAAATATGAAACATTAAGTTTTAATCAAAGGTGCTAGCAACAGGATCCATTGACGAGACTCTAAAATTGTACTTAGGTTTCCCCCGTTTTCTCAAAATGTGTAGTATCCACTGAGCTGAAACTACAACAGTTTAGTTGGTGTGCACTCTTCCTAAGATTTTGAGTAATTTTGATGCGTCAGCCTAAAAAAAATGCACAAATTGCAAATGATTCTATGTATGTTTTAGGCTTTGTTCATAGAGGAGAGACTTTAGGGCCACCAACCAACTTCTATTACGTATTTGTGCGTGCATGAAACCAGCTGATTGTGGGCTGGTCTGCAATGTTTTGTTGATCCGTTAATTCCTTCAATTAGCGTGTCAGCTGCGGTTAAGCCGGTTATCTAAAAGCCTTGGATGAGACCTTGCCCTACAGGAGGGATGGGAGGGGGGGGGTGTTGAGAGGGAAGGGGGGGGGGGGAGGGGAAGGATCCTGAATCACTGATAAAGTTGTGTATCTCAACCCCACCCGGAACGCTTCAGGATGAAAAAGTACACTGACCTTTGTCCTAGCACCTGTTTATATACATCCATGCCTTGGAACAAGGATGTCAGATTGCATGAGTTATAATGGGAAGGACGTACTAACGATCAGGGATCTAACCTTAAGCCAGTACTTGGCCTGTTTGAGCTTTTGTAATCTTTTGTCCTTTTCCAAGTAACGGCATTTGTGTCGTATACAAAAAGGTCTCGGTAATAAGAATGAGGGTTAAATCATCGATATACATACACGCAATTTGTACAACGTTTGCACGCACACAGAGCAGCCGAGATTATGTGTGGATTTTGTCTCTTACAAATTTAGATATAACAAAATTCAGCTGTTGCCCTTGTGATTTCCCTGGGTAGCAGGTGGAGGACAAAATTTAAAAAAGAACGAAAACTTAACATTCTAAAGCCAAGTTTGAGTAATCATGTCTCTCTCCCTAATTTTTTTTTTTTTTTGGCAAGGACATTTCAAAACTTTAATCCTAACCCCTTGAGCACTTTTACTTGAAAGTATCCTGAATTCGCCAAAATCCACCAATTTTGTCATGCAATAAAATGTTGGTGTCCTGAGTCCATCAGAATCCACCAGTGAGTCCATCAGAATCCACCAGTGTAGTACATATACCTCGTACACACCACACATTTAACCAAATGTTGAGATCCTGAATCCAGCAACGTCCCCAAACTGCTCAATATAGAGGTATCCTGAATCCATCAAAACCCTGCAGTACATTTAGGCTTACTGTCCTGAATCCATCCAAATCCCCCATTTTTTTTCAATATGGAGGTATCCTGAATCCGCCAAAATCCTCCAAAACAGGGGTGTGGATTTTGATGGTTTCAGGTACGTTAGGGTTAAAGTTGCATTCCCCGTGTCTTTTTTTCAGTTTCATCCCTAAAGGTAGATTTCCAAATAGCAATACAAAAGTTATTCTCCCATCAAGTTCATATAAAACTGAGTGTTGATTTTGAAGGATTTGTATTTCTCACAATTGAATTGTTTGTCACAATTTAGTTTATTTAGTGTCACAGTGCTAGAATTCTTTTCAAAATATAAATCTGTGGGAATCTGGAATCCTCTTTCCTTAAGTTAACCTTATCCCTATGTTTAAAGGTAATATACAACATTTGCAAACATCAACAAACAAAACTACCAAATTATTATGAGGTACCTTACTTGACTGTAAGAGAATAATAGTCTCAAGCATCCTATGAAATCGTGGCACCTGGTGTGCTGTCATTTTCAAGAAAAGTGGTATTTTGTATCAATTTCCAAGGATGGTTGGCCGACCATCATTGGTCCAGCATTTTTCCACATTTTTTCCACATTTTTCCAGCATCTATGAACACAAAACTTTAAGCAGGTCAGTGTAACAATATTTACTATAACAAACTAACCCCCAAATCCATCCAATTCTGAAAATTACAGCAAAAGCAACTTATGTTGTATATTATAACTTATGTTGTATATTACCAGGTACGGTACGTGCAATATTCATACCTTGATGCTACTCTTTCTATTCTTTAGGAGAGATACCTGTGCCAAAGATATGATCAGCTCTTTGGGGTGTGGGAGAAGAGGATGGAACGGCTGGAGAACAATCCCAAGAGAAAGTGAGTACTATGAGAATCTGAAGAGAACATTCTCTTTCCAGATGGTAATCTGAAGAGAACATTCTCTTTCCAGATGGTAAGCTGAAGAGGACATTTTCTTTCCAGGCGGCAATTTGAAGTGCACATTCTCTTTCCAGGGGGCAACTTGAAGAGGATGTTCCCTTTCGGGGGGGGGGGGGCAATCTGAAGAGGATGTTCTCTTTCTAGGGTTCAATTTTAGGTTCTTTCCTGACAACACATTGCTCTTTTTACCATATCGTCACTGTTTTCACGAAGAGGCGAATTTAGTATTTCACTGTCTGAACAAACATTTGAGATAATTGCGTTTAAAGTTGGTCCTTTTTTCATTTGACAATTTGAAACATAAAGATGCATAAAATATGCAAGATTTAGGTATCGGAGGAAAGAAGAGCTTCTAATCTTCCTAAATGTAGCAAACTTTAAGAAAAATAGGTGATTAGTTTTGCAGAATTAATCAATTAAAGAGAAGTGACTGTTCCTGAAAACGCAAAAAAAAACCCAATTAGCAAATTCGCCCCTTCGTGAAAACGCTAAAGTGTCTATGCGCAGATTTCGCCCTTCTGCGATCTGAGTCAATGCATTTTTTGTACAGTACGCGCAGATTCTTCCCCACTGAGCATGCACTTGAAGTTCGCCCCTTTGGGAAAATGTTTTATTGCACGCGCATGGAATTCGCCCTTTCGTGATATACGCGCTATTGTATTACAATGTATTTATTTACTGAAAATTTATTAATACCATAGATTGCGGAAATTCACCCCTTCGTGAAAACACAAAACGGCACTTTGGGCAAATTCGCCCATTCATTAATTAGGTTAATTAAGATTTTAATTAATTTTTTGAAAGTATAGCCTCACCAGGTTGTAGATATTGATATATTTATTCATTTTCACACAAAAAACTAAATTTCTAAAAACAGACGATTTTCATGAAATTCGCCCCTTCGTGAAAACGGTGACGATATATCTGTAGTCAAATATATCTGAGCCCTCTATGGTTTCATGAATTCAACCGGAAGTAAAAACAGTGTTGTAATATAGAGTACAGTGAACAAATGTTGTGAGATAGGAGTTAATTTACCAGGGCCACCCACGTGGTCAATTATATGTAGAATGTTAAAAATAGTAAACTAAATTTCAACAATACCATTATGTTTTATGGTGTAAATTTACAGACCTCACATTTTGTTTTACAATGATAAGCATAAACACCTGTTTGTTTTCAGAGCCAAAGATGCCAAGGTGCGAGAATACTTTGAGAAACAATTCCCAGAGATCCGTAAACAACGAGAACAACAGGAGAGATTCTCCAGGTAAGAAACAGAACTTGCACAGAATTGCACTAGTGCTGTAAAGTTGTTTTGTGATCGATAAGAAACGATGTATAAAACATGTTGCATCATTTATAGTGCGAATTAATCATACCAAAATAATAACCTTTTTTGCAACTTTTCAAATAAACAAGGGAAACTGCCTAGGTTTATTATAATAATTTTAAAATTTGAACAAAAGTTGACTGGAGCAGGGTTTGAACCTGCAACCTCCGGATTGCTGTTCCAGTGCTCTACCGTCTGAGCTATCCATCCCTATGTTTGCAGTTCGCCATTTTGTCCATGTCTTTGTTCAAAGGGCGCTAGACAGAAGCCATCAACCCGTATTTGAAGCTTACGATCAGTGGATGGTACGAGATGTGGCCATTACTTCCACTCATTTCGCACGCGGCCCACACTTGTGTTTTGAAGTTGGAACTTGAATTTGTTTAAGCTTGGTCATATTTTTTTCATTTGTTCATGTTTTTTTTTTTCTAGGGCTGGGACCCGAAGTAGCTGGGGCAACATTGCCCGTAGCGACGCTGAGTTGGCCGAGATTGTAGACGGCTTGAATGAACAGGAAGCCAATGATAGACACATCCGTAGCCTGGCCGTGGTGCCCCCGCTACTGTTTGATGCTGAGCAGAGAAGGGTCAAATTCATCAACAAAAATGGTAAACACAACGTTGCTTTATTCCAAGTTTTCAAAACTTTCAGATGTTTTTTTCAGCTACCAGTGTTTTTACGGCCTGGAAAAAAGTCATGGAATTTTATTTTCAATTTCCTAGTCTGGAAAAGTCAGCAAAAGTGACAGAAAATGGAAATAAATTAATATTAATGTAAACGTAGGCACAGGTTACCGGTCTGTTGCATATGGTGAGGAAAGGATGGCTATAAGGTGAGAAGGGAGGCCATCGCTTGTCAACAAGTCGCCTGTGTGTTATCAGTATCTTAGTTGCTTTGCTGCAACCACCTCTTGACTTCCAAGCAACCTCGTTGAAGTGAAAAGTTTTCTCATAAAATTGTGGAAAATTTGTCAGTGAAAACTCTGTGAATTTTGTTTTCATAAAGTGCTGCTACTTCTATGAATAGCTTTATAATGGAATCCAGTTTAGTTATTTATAGAAGTCTCTAACTTCCCATCATTTTTCCTTGATCCCTTTGAAGGTCTGGTTGAGGATCCTCTGAAGGAACACAAGAATCGTCTACGACTGAACATCTGGGACGACGAGGAGAAGGAGATCTTTAGAGAGAAGTTTATCCTTCATCCCAAGAACTTCCAGCTTGTGGCTTCCTTTCTGGAGAGGAAGGTAAGGACTCATCTCCTTCGAGACTCCAGGATAAGCCGCGGAAGACTTTATCTGCAATAGGGCCATTGTATTGGGACTACTTGTAGGATTCTGAACAACATATGAGTATTTAAGAAATGTTCAGTTTCCCAAACTTGATCGAGTTCAAATACAACTCTTAGTATGCATATCCTAAAACGGGTTGTGTAAAAGTAGCTTTATCTTCTTCATCCTTTTCCTGAATAAGATGAAATTATGATTTTATCAGAAAATTCCAAGCGCCGCACAGCTGTATGAAAAGAATTAAATATAGTTGCTGATGTTCATGTTATGATACTGTGGCTAATTCAGTCAATACTCTTGAAATCCTTGATCCTTTACGTGCCAGCGGCCCGGACCATGTTGTAGCCGCATCCTTTGCAATTCAGCATCCCAACTGCGAGTAAGGATGATTAGCCTCCCAAATTATTTTATTATTATTAAAAATCACTCAAAGCCTCGATCATTTTCTGTCATCCAATTATCCACAAAAATTTAATCAAAGTTCCCCCACAGAGCTTCCAAATGGAAGCCTATTTCCAGACCCAATGTTATCTCCTTCTAATTTTTTCCCTATAAATAACCAAAATCTTATTCATGCTGATCCATCATTTGACAGCCAGGTACGCCTTTCCTTGGCAAGTTGCCAAGTGTCGCTAAACATTCCCCAGGGCCGAATCGAGACGTAGTTGGGCGGAACTCTTAATTCCTCTAATTTCCTCTAATTTAGAAGCAGATTTTGAAGTTCTAACATTTTGCCGTTCGCCAAAAAGTACGGAAGTTCCCTGTATCAAAGTGAAACCTGACCCCACCGTAGTTCCTTTCTTGAAGGCCCCTTGGAAGTTTTAGTTATTTCAATGTGTTTTTTTGGAAGAAACTCCCCTGTCTTATTGATGTGTCTCAAGATTTTTTGGGGGGACTATTGAAACGTCTTCATAATGACAAGTCGCCCAACGGTAGCTAGGGAGACTTTCTGTCCATTAGCAACTATACTCCTTTGTATTACAACGTGTTTATTCACTGATAATCCACAAAAAGTACAGTGCTCGGGCAGTGTAGGGAGTAATAGGCAGGGCGGTTTGGGGCGGTACAAGATGTAACGGTTTAATGCAGATTTTTGTTCATCGGAGTTCAACTGGCAATGTTGAAACACTCAACACGGACATGCTTCTGTCCTCTGATGTTTATTTTACCCCCGCCCCCTTGCCTTTTTATGTATTGTTTGGTCCTGCACAGTATTTTCTAGAAAGTGCACCAAAAATTAGATACAGGTTCCACATGATAACATTATAATATTATAAGATAGAATTCCATCTTATGCGGTACCCGCTGCTATGTGAATCAGATTCGAACCGGCCAACCGATCCCGTTAACTCGGTGGTCGAGTGGTAAGACATCTGCACTAGAAAGTAGGAGGTCGTGGGTTCGAGTCCCACCCGAGTGATTTTTTCCAACTTTCACTCGGGAGGTAACACACTGAGTATACAGTGTTTAAACATTGGTGAAGGGCAAAACCTAATTTGATTTTAATTGTAATAGATTCCCATCCCATGGAGGCATTCCCCATCATCAGTGATTTGTATCTCACATTTATCATCATTCCTAAAACTTTAAAGGCATATACATTGTACATGTAGGATCGTTTACTTTTCATGCATTTTGTTCATTTCCAATAATAACACCACTCAAAACCCTAAGAAGAATGTTCAACACCTAACCTGTTGAAGTTTCAGCTCAGAAGATATTACACTTTTTCAAGAAAACAGTGAAAATCAATGCACAACCTTTTGATCACGAAAAACAATTTCGTCTGTACAAACTCTTTATTTCCAAAACTCAGTCAATTAACTGAATGGGGAAATCACCTTTAAGATTTCTTCTAAATGACAGCAAGCCAGACAGAATCATTTCATGGGATGTTTAGCACCAGTGCGCTCTTTAATCCAATAATCTTTTTGATAATAATTTGGTAGATTACTTTTTAGATAGATGCAAATGATCCAATATGTTTTTTAAAAGTAGTTTGAAAATTTTGCAGTTTTCCAGAGCTATTCCGTTGATATCTTGTTTTCTGTTCTCTTGCCCATTTCAGAGCATTGCAGACTGCGTTCTGTACTACTACCAAACCAAAAAGAACGAGAGTTACAAACAGATGCTGCGTAAAACTCACGTCAGTAAGCGTAAGAAGGGCTTCCCTCCTAAGGCGTCGGTCAGTCGTAATCAGCAGGTGGAGATTGAAGTCAAGGAGGAGAAGGACAAGGACGTGGAGGAATCAACGGACCAGTAAGTTAAACAAGACGAGGCGAGACTAATAAAACTAGTCCTAATGCACAAAATTGTATCTAATTGATTCAGAATGGATATTTTTTGGACGTCTTTTCATACATCATATACGTTTGGTGGACCAGATTTGACCTGTTACAGGGTAAGCCTATACAATAGCACTGCCCAGCTCTCTTCACTAGACAACAACCTAATATTTTTGGCTGTTAGCTGAGTATAGTGATAGTAAGCCCAGAATTCTGAGGTTAGCCGAATTACAAAATTGGGCCCTGGTTTTAAAGGGAATATACATCATTTGCTTTTGCTGTAATTTTCAGAAATGGATGGAATTGGGGGGTTGGCAATATATAGCAAATATAGTTACACTGACTTTTTTGAGGTTTTGGGTTCGAAAACGCTATAAAAACCAAGAAACACAATCATTTTCCTGTAGTCTGGTTCCCTGACTCCTATAAGAAGAAACAGAGCCGTTTACATACATTGGGGAATTGTAAGGTCAGGGAATCAGTCTAGCTGGCTTGTACCCGTTCATAGGTGTGTAATCGATTGCAAACAAGTGCGATGGTCAATTGGGGCCAGTATTTGAAAAAAGCCAGTTTTTTTTCCAACGCTGATCGGCCGATCAGCGTTAGAAATTGATACAAAAATACCACTTTTCTTGAAAATGACAGTATACCAGGTGCCATGATTTTACAGGATGCTTTACACTGTCTTTCACAAACAGTCCAGCAAGGTATTTCAAAATGATTTGGTAGTTTTATTTTTTGATGTTTGCAAATGTTGTATTTTCCCTTTAAATGAGGACTTTACCAACTGAGCTATCCTCCCCTGTACCGGTATGTAAGCCGCCTCCCTGGATATCACTGTGGTCTGGTGTCTTTAGTCCAAACCACGTGGCCAGTGATCAAGCCCAAAAACCAATTTTCTCTTACACCTGACTAATTGAGTCACGTTAAGACTTGGAAATCCTGTCCGTTTGCATTTTCTCTCTAGCCTCAAACCTGGTCTAATCTAACCCTGGTCACATTTGATGTTGGCAACGTGTCTAGACCTGACACATCTTTGGGTAGGATATTATTCTGATGGTTTATGGAAGTCCACAAGGAAAGCACGATTAGTGACATCAGGACCTCATCGGCAAACGTTATTGGAAACTTCCAAAGACTCTCTGACAAAATTTTGTCGAATCATCCAAATGTCTGCATACGTTGTGAATGTTACAGACGAAAGAGTATAATGTGAGCCAATGATGCTTAAAGCCACGAAGGATCATTTGCAATTACCGGGAACATACCTACCAATTTAATGACAGAGACCGTGCTCAAAGTGAAGATAGGGATGGTACCTAATATCCTTTAGGTGGTTTCAAAATAGTGTGCCAGCGGGCACACTTTTTTACGTGCGTTAGCAACTGAATCTAGTTTCGAGATGCAAACAATTGTGCACACGTTTTCTCTGTTTTCTCAAAAAGTACGGTATAGTATCCACTGAGCTGAAATTCAAAGGTTTGCTTTGTCCATAGTGCATGAAAGCTATTCAAGAGAGGACGCCTTTTGACCACTTTGGAGAGCCAAGTAGAGCAGACACACAGTTTGCTAATTTTATTCTGAATGCACGCAAAGCTTTAACGTTTTAGCCGGAGTGTCAGGCGTCATCAGCAGTGCGTTTGAATGTCCCTCCTAGTGGTCTCCCCCAACTCTCCCTTTGTAACCATTGAGGGGGTACTTGTGCACTGAGCCCATCATATACCGGTAGATACCAATTTGCTTGAAACTCCTTCTTTGGGCAAGTTCGCACAAGAATTATTGTCAACCATAGTTCGACTAAGTTAGCCTGAACTCCGTCTAGACGACGATGGTTGGACTACTCTAGTCAACTATTTATGACCAGCCTACCGCGGCTGGTCGCGTCACGATTTATAGCTGGTTATCAATAGCAATTACAATAGCATAGTGCAAAGGAGACCAACTATCAACAAAAATGGTGGAAAAGCGCTAAATTTCATTTTCATTGCACAGTTTTTCCATGTTAGTTTGCGGTTATGTCACTTTTGTCACCATTGTACAATAATATTGGCGATTATGTAAGATGTCTTAAACTATACACTATCAAAATTATTTGTGTAAATGAAGAGAAACAACAAGTGTTGAATAATTGTGCGACCGCCATTTTCTGATGGTCGTTGACATGATAATAGTTTGACTAGAGTGGTTCACACTTCAACTTCAGTGCGAATGTGCTAGGTACGTCACGAACCAACCCCTAGTTAACCACTGGTCCGTGCTCGAACTTGCCCTTAGATTAGGGCGTTGACTTAGTTGAAGAATGCATCATGCGGGTTTACTGCTGATTCCCGCATCCAGGTTAGCTGTTTTGACAGCCTTTATCTAAGTTAAGGACCTGTAAATCCAGGTTAATACCAGTATGTATACAGCCATGAATTGACTCACTGACTCAACCGCATCTGTCGAGGTGACAGGCTGTATCACGTTGCTAACCGCTGCGGTTTTAAACTCCCTGCACCCTCAGGCTATGAACGTCTGATTGGTTGTAGCTGGTACCCGGCGACAGCTACATTAATAATCAGGGATATCCCCTCCGCCCTCTGCATTAATAGATCCTCCTGTTGGCTTTTGTCTGGCGCCATGCCAGCAAGCTCTATTAATAGCCGCTGCTGGAGCAGATCACCAGTTGCCCAGTTCCTGCGTTTGGTTTTTATCATTTCATCATTGCCTGGGGCTCTTTGGCTGGTTATGCAGCGCTTCATTGTTGATTTTGATTACTTCTAGTTTTTTCAGGAAAGTGTAGAGACGTACCATTGAAATCGCTCTGAATTAATCTTGAAATAAGCTTTATGAGTTTCAAGTTTCGACAATTTCTTGATACCCGAAATACTCTTGAGGCAGATAATGTGGTTGCCAAAACAATCTGCTGTGCTGCCATGACAACAAAGACATTTTGTATAGCAGTAACACAGTAATGTGAGGTCCACTTGCAACAATTTGTGTACATTATACAACTTTATACAAAGAACCAATCCAAACATGCACAACAATGATTACATTCTTGGGCATGCAGGTTTTGTGTAATGGATCGTAAGTTGATTGTGTGGCTGCACAACAAATTTTCTTGGAGAAATTAATGGTGTTTTTTAGGCACTGTTGTGAGTTAGGCACTGCTGTATACTTTTTGTAATCATTGCCATTCCATTATTTAAACACTTCAGGAAATAGCTTCATTTTATGTTTAAATGTGTGTGAAACTTAAAGGCAAAACCTCAACTAATAGCAAGAAATATTGTCTTGTAAATCATATATTTGTTGCATGTGAGCCATTGAAACAATTGAGATGGTTTTGTTGAGGTTTCACTTTAAGAAATGAAAATAAGAAATGAGGAGCTGCTGCTTGCTGCTGACCAATGCAGCAGCCCGAAAAGATTTTGATTATTTATGCAAGAAATTCTGCTTTGATTGATGTCGGGCTATCTAACCTCTACCATGTCTACAATTTGTGATTTTTTTACAGGTCCAAGGATAAAGACAAGTCTTCCAAGGACAAAGACAAAGTCAAGGAAGAAATGAAAGACTCCAAAGAGGAAACCAAAGATGACAAGCAGGAGGCAAAAAAGGAGAAAGGGGAGGAGCCAGAGACAGACAAGATGGAGACTGATAGCAAAGATAAGAAGAATGAATTGATGACGAGTGAGAAAGGCGAGGGGAGCAACAAGGAGAGATCCAGTAGCACCCCAATCAAGACGGAACCATGTACCTCTGACTGTAAGTAGGCAAAGGGTCATTGTTTCCCCTAGATTTTGAGAGAGTGGGGCGTACAGTGGTATTCCTAATCAACGTTGGGCCTGAAACCGCACGCTCACTTGCATACTTAAGCTTACTCAATCCAAGCTTGCCAGATACAGATGCACGTACTCACGGACGCTTGATGAAGTCGTATTGAAAATATCCGATGTATTTGTCCGGTCTGACGACTTTGTTACAGAAACAAGTTCAAAGTACTTTTTGTTGCACTTTTTTTGTGAGGTTGTATTTAACGGGGAAAAAAGCCTGAGGTGACAGCTGAAACTTGTGAAAGGGCCACCTTGCAATTTTTCCAAATCCTCCAAAATCTTCTTTGCAAATGGAGGATTTTGCAGGATTGAGGCTATATGGCAAAAATGTGTGGCTGATTTTGGAGAATGCACTGTGTCGAGGTCTTGGGCCGGACCTTGTGTTGTTTATGCTCAGCCTTGTATGAATTTAGGCCTCGATTATACTTGGAAAGCCTTCGCACTGCTCCAGGATGTCACTGGCTCTGCCTCAAAATATGGATGTGATTGCTGGAGGATTTTGCAGGATTGAAGGTGTTTGCCTGAGAGTCTTAAGTTTTGATTCCATCTGTTCCTCAGCCTCCCCCAACACATGTTCCCTGTGCAAAAACCAACTAGACACCTACAGCTTGAGCAGACCGGTCAATGAGAGCAACTGCGATACGTTCGGGGTCAACAAGACCGAGGTCACGCCCAACATGAGGGCGTGCAGTCGCTGCCGATGCAGGTCCATCAAACGCAGGTAGGTCAGAGGTTAATTGGGTCAGGTCAAAGGTCACTTGGGTCGGATCAAGGGTCACAGATGAGTAACCAAACAGCCTAGGGGCATGCAAAACCAGTGGTCAACTACATAGTGCTGTTGACAGAAAACATTGAATGCAACTTGAGATGCAAAGCTGAAATTTGCGCAGAGCTAGACAATACTAACGTGCATTGGTTGGGCTCTGTGCGCGAACAAGAGAGGGCGCTGTTTTGCCACTTTAGGGTTTCACAGTCACAGAAAAAAACGGGGAAAGAAATCCTGGAACTTAAAACTGTCATGGAAATTCATGAAAAAGTCATGGAAAATTGATATTCCTGGAAAAAAGTCATGGAATCCTGCACAACCCGGATGCGCTGATGTATTATAACTGGCTATGGCAGTCTTCCAGTTTGCATTCCAGTTATATTGTACTGTTGCGTGCTGGGTGTACCATTGTCATGTTTAAGGTTAAGCGGTCTTGTGCCATTCTTGAAGACTGAACTGTAGGAACCCTGCTGAAATGTCGTCCTAAATTCCATCAATGTGTTCAGCTTACAATTTTATTGTGTCAGTAATGATAACAATGTGGATTCAGAAAGTGAATATATCCACCAAATAGGTGCCACTACCTGGTACCAAAGTTTGAATTCCCCTTGTCTCGTTGACTTCCGAACTTTGAGGATATGTAAAACCAACGTCAAATATTGTTGTCGATGAATTCCAGCCCTCCAACCGGAGTTTGCCTGCAGAATCAACTGGAGTAAAAATCCCTTCCAAATGTGAAAAGGAAAAAACAGATTGTGTCAATGTCACTAGTCAGGTGGTTATTGGTGTGTTTATTGCCTGCAGTAATACATTATGTCTGCAAGCAGGATATTCAATGAAATCTTCAAAGTTTAAGGATGGCGAGGGTAAAAGGGCGTTTGAATGTACGGTATCCAATTCCTGGAGACGGTTAATGCCTAGCATGTCATTGAAGGTCTTCTCAGGAAATTTTGGGGGATAGGTTCATCCTGCTTTCATTTGATCTTGCGTTTCCTGTGATGACTTTCTTCAAGACGACAATGTTCTCATCCCTTAAAGGTAGACCTCTTCAAGAATCTTGGTGAGGAGGCAGTATACATGCATGAGGCATTGTACATGTAGCACACGGATGAGGGTCCGTTAACCCATAAGCATTTGTATAACATTGCACTACACTGTATTTACTCCTTGACGAATTCATAAGACGAATTCATAAGACGAATTCATAAGACGAATTCATAAGACGAATTCATAAGACCAGACAGTGCTGGGACAGTGTGGGGCAGTACCAGGAGTCACGGGCAGGGCGCTTTGGGGCAGTACAGGAACAAATTGGTTAAACAGAAACTATTTTGTTACATTCTCACTTTTGAAATGTTACAGTTCTTAAGATCATGGTTTAACAATAACTTGTGACAAAGGAATTTCTGTGTAGTGTCCCCCTGTGGCCCTCCCCCTTTCCCCCTCGAACCCGTCCCTTCCCTTCCCAACACCTGTTCCACTGAAAGTCAGTGTTTTACTTTTCATCAAGTGACATTTCCCAACATCTCTTCTATACAATGTGATCAGGCAAAATCGCTCAATTTTTATAACCTGAACATCCCACCACTTTCAAAATGTTCTAGTTTTCCGCCAGCATTTCAAGTACCCCTTATGAACCAGAAACTTTGAAATTTTTTTAAAATCGGATCTTCAGAAACAGTTATCAAGTTCTTTTTCTTAAATCCCCCACCTGATTCCAATTCTAATTGGGGTCATCTGAGAAGTCCCTTTAAATCCGAAGAGTTTATCTGAACCCTTGGTTCAACACCACAGCTTGGCTTCTAGGAATTTTATAACTTCTAGGAATTTTATAACTTTGAGCTGATCCCAAACTGGAATGAGATTGTGCCAAGACTGCGATGAGTTTCTTGTTTGTTTCTGGCACTGAGCCAAAGACGCATGGGAGTATATACCGGGTATTCTCTGAGCTGAGGGACAATGTATTACGATTTAGAAACGTGGTCAAGGGAAGATGTAGATATGAGGCAATGTCAGTTGATTAGATCACGATTGGATGTGGCGGGACAACATGGGATAAACATGTAAAAAAGTTCAAAAGTAAAGGGGATGAACCTGTGTTCACAGCAACGGGGTGGCCATCTCTCTCTCATATGCTGGTGTGGGGGGATCGCCACGCCTCCTCCACAGCGAGTCTGTTGCCTTCCCAGCATTGAATAATGCCGGTACCCATTTAACACCTGGGTTGAGAGGAGTAATTGAGGTAAAGCGCCTTACTCAACATGTGATTTACTAAAAACCTAAAGAAAGGTTGTGTTTCTAACCCTTTAAATTACAGTGCACTTTTTTGAGGGTGATGAAATGAGATTTTTAAAAATGATCGTTTTAACAGAAGAGAGATCCCTTTAAGGCATGTCACCATAACAGCTCTGGCCAACGTAATCAAGTTTAGCGTTCGGCTGGGATCATTAATTCAATTTAGATGCCGCCAATGCTTAAGGTGGCACCAGAGTGAAGCATTGCATGCGTGTCGACAACTAAAACTGCCGCCGCCCCCTAACACGCACAGCTCAGACCTCTCTAACACTTGTTGACGTGACCCAGTCGGTACGCGGAGCTGATGGAATGGTGAAGTTTAAGGCAGTAAAAAAAAAAGTGCCTTGGCCCCCGAGCACGCAAACGGGAAATTACCCTGTGAGTGACTCAGTCAGTCTTCCCGTGCTGAGGCATACCCCACCCTAGTGATAGAGGATCATATCTGGAAAGACTCAGGCCGCAACTGAAGAGGGGTTGCCGCAACGACCTGGATGATTCCAGCAACAGGGTTGCTACAGGGGTAGGGGGACGGGCTGATTATAGGGATCCGTATTTAGCACAACTCTAGGACCTCATTAAAAATGGCGGAAGTGCTGATGGTGTTGTGGTGTTTTATATACTATTTTTTGTATCTTTGGGGTGGATTGTGGTCAAGTTTGTTGGGGGGGGGGTGGTTTCGGAGTTGTGCGTGCCAGATTTCTGTCAGGATAAGTGTCAGGTTAATGATCTATAGGGTGTTGCTAAAGTCAGGAGTCATGATGGTTGGTGGGGGGTGGAATATGGGGTATGTTAAATTGACGTAGCAGTTTTAGTCCTGTTAAGAAACTAAACGTGAGTTTTATTTTATGCGAATGGTGCTGAAAATCTACAGGCCTCCTCGTCGTATTTATTTTTGTTGTATTTCTTTCTAAAGGGAGATCCTCATTTACCTAAGGATAGCTGCACTTGTCAAATTACTATTTTACAAGCTTATCTTTCTGTAATTGAAAGTTCAAATTGTACTCTTTTTCTTGTTCATTTGTTTAGTTTGTTTGCATTACCGGTACCAGCACACAAAAATAAAACTTCGTGTTAATGTGCTACACAATGTGTACAAAATAGATTGAACATGTGCATGTTAAAGGTACAACGTAGAGTAGATCATTTGCAGCTACCGGTATCCAAACAGTAACTGACCAAATTATTGTTAAAAAGCATACTTGGTTTAAAGATAGTAATGTCACTAAACTCCCTGTGAAATTGTTCCTTCTGGCGTGCTGTCCTTTTGAAGAAAACAAACAAGGTCATTGCCAAAGATGAGTCAAGTGACGCATTTTTGGAAATGTTTGTTAGTATTGGGTTTGTAGTTGAGCGAATCTGTGAATGGGTGCGCGTAAACATTGGCACGATGCACACACATGCGCGGTTGCTATTAATCATCGGTTCAGTGCGTGACGCTGCGTAGCTGCAATCGGCTGAATGAGAACGTGTTCTGGAGGCTGGTTTCAGGCGCAATTCCAAATATGACTTGGCAACTTTTAATTTGAAATCGAGATCCTAGTGTAGAATAGTGTTTTCTCGGAATATACAGCATTCACTGAGCTAAAACTTCATCAGGTTAGTCTTTAGATTTTGAGCACTTTTGTTGCTTCAAACGAGACAAAAAATGCAAAAATGACAAATGATATACTCTACCTTTAAATTATAACATATTGGTGTTACCAGTCTTTCAGCGCAGAGTCATGTTTTCACCCCAAAACTCCAAATCACCAATTCCAAAGATTGCAAAGTCAGGCTACAAGTTCTATCTAATTTCCCTAGCTTCCACTGAAAAGCTGTACCCTTTCCTTTCCTTTTAGTTTTTTTTTTATAATCACAATTTTCTCTTTTTTGTCCTCAAATTTCATTGGTCAATGACCCCATCAGGTAAGGTCTAAAATCACCAACGGTCCATCAACACCAAGGTTGAAACGTCGCCTATAATCCCTCTCAATTCGCAAAACAATTCAAGGTGCCTAGCGCCACTCACCTGTCTGTTCTTAAAACGAGGCAAAAATAAGTCTTTTGTCGATGTCTAAAGAGGTCTTAGCCTTCCACGTTGATTGAATAAGACTGACAGGGTTAAATATGTCGCGGCGGCGTCTGTCAGCTGCCGTTTTGAATTTTCAGGGAAAACGTGTGACGGCATTCTAAAGAGACTGGTATTCCACTGGGATGGGTGGAGGGATGTGGATAAAACCCCAGGGAATGAAGACGAGAAAAAAAGATTGATGATCAAAAGAGTTTGGACTGCTGATTGATGGCTTTACTTCTATTTTTTATTGTGGGGGTGAAGAGTAGTGTTCCAAACAAGAGGTTTGGCTCCTGTGCTGAAAATGTTATACAGGTTGAGCAAAAAAAAACGAAACCCAAATGTCAGGACCATTGTTTTAGTGAAGTTCTACATGTAGCACTTTCAAAACCTAGGTTAGAAAGCCCAATTCATGAGCTTTCTTTTAGTATAACAATCATTAAAATCACTTATGTACTTTTCAAGTTACAGAGTTTAAACACAACTGCCGTTTTAAGGTTCTCTCCATGGATCACAAAAAAGTTTAGTGTTCTTTCAGCAAAACGAAAAACAGATCACATAAGGATGTGTGTGAATTGTTTTTATTTTGCTGAAAGAACACACACCTTAAGTACATGAGTGATTGGAATGATTTTTGTACTAAAATAAAGCTTATAAATTGGGCTTTCATCTATCCTAGGTTTTGAAAGTGCTACATGCAGAACTTCACTAAAACAATGGTCCCGACATTTGGGTTTCGGGGTTTTTTTACTCACCCTGTACTGCCCCACTAAATTCAAGTTTTCCCTGTAGTGGAATCCGGCGACCAGAATTACTGTGGTGGTGTCAAACTCACGGGCATACTGCACGTATTCTTAAAGACTAGGCGCACACCCATTTTGGTGTTCCTATTGGTCGAAGGAGCCCGGGGTGTACATGTATGTGTACTACCTGAGCGTGACTCACGTGAGCCTGGTTCCACCGCAGAAAATGGCTGCCGCCGGAATTGTCTATAAAATGTTAAACAAACTTCTATATTTTGGTCATCCTCTCTATCTTGAATGATTTTCTTATTTCTTTTCTTTGTCATGTGCCAATTACTGGTGCGAGAGATGTTGCATCATTATTACCCCCGTTTGTCAGGCCTCTAAACATTCCTAAGAACACCTCAGATCCCTTGGAGAATGCAGCACAATGCTCACATTTTAGGACCTACAGCCAAAAAAAGAATGTCCTTACGGGTACTCATGTAACCCTGCTGGCGAAGAGAAAGTCATGACAAAGTGTCTTGCTTAAGGACACAGGTTTTAAGAGACTGCAGGAGCTTCTTGTCGCCCACATATTATCAAAAAGGTACGTGTACGGTACCGTACCTTGGTGCTCATTAAATTAGTTCACGTCATATGATTATGCAAAAGTTATGCGGCATTTGGAACGGATGACGGATAAACACGCAACAAGCAAGGCTGGAAATATCTGTCAGCAACCCTCTCGCAGCGAGCGAGGCCATAAATGTCAGGGTGTGTACCCGCAGATGACTGCCTGAACCCATCTGGCATCGAGGTTCTGAAAAACAATCCCACAATCCATTCAATCTCAAAATAATCCCGGCGCGAACTGGTTACCCCTAACTCTCTAGGGTGTGGGGAAAATCTTATCAAAATTTAAGAATTCCAAGGATTATTAGGGTTATGACACTATATGAATATCAGTGTCTTATCATAATAAAATATTATCCACTTTTTTTTTTAGATGTCCAATGCCATTCTGCAAGACTCCCCGGAGGCGAGTGAGACGTCTCAAGAGTTTGCCAGCCAAGTGGGCGGAGCTACCCCATGACCAGAAGAAAGGCATCTCTGAGGAGCTAGGTAGGATATTGGTGACTCTTTCGTTTAAATAGTTTTTGATTGCTCAAATATTTCCATCTGCCAGTAAAAGGGTGGAATTTCAGCCAGACTATATCAAAAAAGTCAGTTAGGTTTATTGACCTTACTTGGAATGTCTGGGTCACAGGAAATATACCTAATGTAAACACCGCAAAAAAAAGGAAGTCCACTTTCATTGGAGGGGTCATAATTTTTGAAATCTGATCTTCATATGATAACGTCATTTAGGTAGACCGTGGGGGAATGTTGTTAGCCACATTTTGATTTTTGGTTACGCGTGTGGAAATTTGTGACATGACAATATCGCACTACCGAAACAAATCCCAGGGAATATGGATCGCATAGTGCTTGTATGCATGGGAGCCCGCGGGCTATTCGAATGACCCGAGGACCAATTACGGGCATGTGTGGTTATGCTTAGCAATTTCTCCTCACATTAATCTTTTGAATTTGCAACTTTTCCAACTGCGTAATTTTTCATAAACCGTTGTCAATCTTGGACAATTTACAGTCTTTGGTAGCAAACGGGGTATCAAAATATAGCTTACAAAATTCCCCAAAGGTCTATATAAATGACATGACATCATCATCATAAGACGATCAGATTCAACATTATGACCCCTCTAACGAGTGTGGACTTTCTTTTGTTGTGGTATTTATTATGTTCACGGAGAAAATGTTGGAAAACGCTGTTTACTTGCAGCAGCAGTTTTTGGCCCGTTTTTGCGTATTTCAAGCATCAACTTTGAGCCCGAGACTCTCAACAAAAAACTGGCACCGCATAAAATGTTTTTAGTTCCCTGTGAGATTCACTGTGAGATTTCAGGTTCCATACAAACGTCAGAATTATACACATAACAGTTCTAGCACACACATGTTTGAAGAACATGTTGAAAAGAGAAACGTATGATTGGAGACAACTAGTTCTCCAACAGCTCGATTGTCAAGGATCAAAGTTTGGTACCTCAAAATTCCTTCATGCGGTAATGACAAGAAAACAGCAAATTTTTAAGGTATAGTTGTGTAAACGTTCGTATTCTGCTTTTTAACGATCTTTCCAACTAAAATCATTTGGTAGTATAAGGTTTTTTTAGCCCAAATGGACATAATCTCTTAAAAGTACATGTACTCCTTTGACCTTCCTAGTCTTCTGCACTTCACAACCCTTCAAGGGTTGCAAAACCTCATTTGCCCGTAGAGTTAGCACCCACAGTTCAAATTCCTTTGACGTAACATTCTGTGGAGTATGGATAACACTTCAAATCCCTGCACAATTCTTTTGTGTGGTTAAGCTCAGGGCAAGCCGGCAGATTTGGTCATGCTACACTGTTCTCCAATGTGTTTTTTTAATGTAGTGACTCTCTCTCTGTGACACAGTTACTTGAACACTTCATATCCCTTCACCTGAAACTGACCTGCAGGGTTTTGAAGGGAGGTACCTATTGCTCTGAATATTGACTCCCCACTGGAAGGGTTAATTGATTATTAAACTATCGTGGTAGAAATGTGTCAACGCAGCTTGTGAAATATTGTCCAATTACATGATATACAAATGGACATGGTACACGCAAAATCTGAGACAAACATTACTCAACGTACAAAAGTTCCATAGGATTGTCTACTAAAGGGGCATGGCTAATTTGCAAATGGCGATGGGTCAATTGACTGTATGGTTGATATTTTTACACCAGGCCTACCAGTGGACCAGATCACCAACAAGTGTTGTGCAGCGTGCTTCAATCGTATCGCTAGGAAGCTAGGCACGGACGGGACAGAGCTAGAAGGCACTGGGACCACGCCACCACCGGATGGACAAGAACCAGGTATAAACTTTCAATTTCTGAAGTAAAAAAAGATTCCCATGGACATTTTTCTTGTCTGTGCTACATCACCTATTGACTTCCAAGTAATTGTTAAGTTGAAAATATTCCACATGGAATTTTGGAAATTTAATTATTTTGGGAATAATTCACTGCTTATCAGTCTTACGCATTGTTAAGGCCCAATTTAGTAACTTAGCATACAATTGCCACAAAATTTGCACATCCTGAAAAGATTGTTTGAAAAAACACACAACCTGTGCAAATGTTACTGGTCATTTTGTTTATGATTTCTAATTATTTCTGGTAATAAACCATCAACCATGATTACTCAAAAGTGCCCTATAGGCACTGTGGCTCGCAAGCCTGATGAAACCTGTAGAGAGGAGACAATGAGAAGAAATGACAGTTTTAGAGGTGGGAGGAAAACCCCAGAAGAGTAGTTAGAGGAAAACCCACGGACTCAGGTAGGGACTGAAAACCCAATCCACATATTGGCCCAGGCAGAATTCGAACCTAGGTCACAGCTGTCGAAGGCAAGGAAAGTACCGCTACGCCAACCTGACTCCCCACGCCAACAAGACTTCTCGTCACTAAAGGGAGCGCTTTGCGAAATACAAAAACGAGCTTTGGAGCATCCCAGTAATGTTGGAAAGCCAGCCCAGTAAACAATGCAACTCAGATTGGTGATTGATATAAATTGCCGTTATTGTTATTATTATTATTTTTTATTATATTTATGAATGATAATATTTTCATTTTACACAGGGCATATAGTTACACATTTCATCCACTGTGCCGATTAAAAAATGGAGGTTCTTTTTGTTTGTTTCTGTTGCAGTAATCAATGAAACTTCAAGATGGACTGAAGAGGAGATGGAGATCGCCAAAGAAGGTTTGCTCAAACTCATTTCATTTGATTTCAATTCCAGCAGTACCCATAACTATCAAACCTGCTTACCGTTAGCAAAAAAATTCTGCTTTAAGTGGCGGAAAATTTGGTGCTTATGGTAAGCGTATTTCATGGGATAGCGAGGATGTTTGGCTTCTGCACTTGCATACATCCCATAACTAAGGTTTCTGTGCTTACATGGTTAGCACAGACTTTTTCTGCTAGCGTGGTTAGCACAGATTGGTGATTGTAAGTGCAGAATTGTGTGTTTAGCAGAGCCATGAAAATGGGCCCGTAAAGTGCTAAGGGGAGTCAGGTTGGGGTAGCGGTACTTTCCTCGCCTTCCACCGCTGTGACCGGGGTTCGAATCCCGCCTGGGCCAATATGTGGATTGGGTTTTCAGTCCCTGCCTGATTCCGTGGGTTTCCCCAGAATATTCTTCTGGGCTTTTCCTCCCACTTCTAAAACTGTAACTTCTTCTCATTGTCTTCTCTCAATTTATCCATCCTGTTATTGGCGCTTGCGCTGTTGGATGTGGCTGAAATAAAATAAAATAAAATAAATAAGACAAATTTAATTGTCCTGGTGAAGTACATACATCGATTATGAGATAATAAGATGGCTGTAAAATACCTTACTGATAATGTACCAGAACAAAATTTTTTGACTGATTCTCTAAAATCATGTTGTAAATAAAAGATCAGCTAAAAATTGTTTAGGTGGTTTTTTGAGAACTTTGAAATCCTCTATATACCTTTTGTTTTAGTTAAATGCAACATTTGTAAACATAAAAAAAACAACTACTAAATATTATGAAATACCTTACTTGACTGTACATGTAAGTGAATAATAGTCTCAAGCATCCTGTGAAATCATGGCACCTTGTGTGCTGCCATTTTCAAGAAAAGTGGATTTTTGTATCAATATCCAATGATGGACGGCTAATCATCATTGGAAAAGAACTGACTTTTTTCAAATACTACCTCCAGTTTAGTTCATCCACATTTTGTTTGCAATCGGTAACGCATCTGTGAACAGGTGCAAGCCAGCTAGTCTGGTTCCTTGACCTGACAACCCCCCAACGTCTAAAAATTACTCCATTTGGTCTGAATTAGGGTCAGACAACCAGACTACAAGAACAGCATATTTCACAAAAATGCTTAACTGAATTGACCCAACCCGAATATCCAAACGCAAAACTGAAACCGACCCGACCAAACTGAAATGATGGCGAAATCGACCCGACCCGACCCAAAGTCAGTGTCAGGTTGGGTCAGTTTCGGTTTGAGGTCGGTTTTGTACAACATTATTTCAGACGTGTGTGACATTTTGATCAGTCACTTGTGTGGCATTTTGTAATTAAAAGTATGCTAATTTATGTACAGAAAGTCCATCTTATGAAGCGTCTTAAGAAATATGCATTTTTAGTCTACTTACTAGCAATACTTTAGTGAACAGTAATCATTTGTATTTACATCACATAAAAAACTTCGCACAAAAGTGGAATTTTTGTATCAACTTCCAACAGTAGTCGGCTAACCATCATTGGAAAAAAAAAGACTTTTTTTTTCAAATACTGCCCCCAATTTACCAAATTTAGTTAGTCCACATTTTGTTTGCAATCAGGTACACAACTTTGAACAGGTGCAAGCCAGCTAGTCTGTTTCCCTGAACTGACAACTCTCCAACATGTATAAATTACTCCGTTCGGTCTGAAGTAGGGTCAGACAACCAAACTAAAAGAACAGCCTATATTTCTTGGTTTTTCAGCTTCTATGAACACAAAACTTTAAACAGGTCAAGCATTGTTTTGTGTTTTGGGTTTTTTGTGGGGTTTTTTTCCGTTTTACTTTGGTTTATTTCGGGTTTTACACAAAGAGGGTTAACTTAATTGACCCAACCCGAATCCAAATGCAAAACCAAAACCGATCTGACCCAACTGAAATGATGGAAAAACCGCCCCGACCTGACCCGAATTCGGTTTTGGGTCGGGTCAATTTTGGTTTCGGACCGGTTTGTACAACATTATTTTCAGACTTGCACAGGTGGTATGGTGATCCAAGCGTATACATAATTTGATGCAACTTTTGAGCAGAAAATTTACAATGTACATGTATGTGTGACTGGAATTACGACAAGTTATTGTTAAGTAGATATTTACAATGGAAGGGTTACATGGACACATGTAATTACCTTTGCTGGTTTTCTCACCAAAAAAAGGTAATCACAGTATGCACTGTGTATGTAAACAGTATAATACTCACTCATTGATAAGGACAAACCAAAACCTCATTTCTGTTATCAAATTCTGTTGTCTAATTGTCATTGAGTGTTCTTTTTAACCCTAACTCCCTAGCTTGATTTACTAGGAACCATTCCCATCCTGGCAAATTCCAACTCCATATGGCAAACTGCACACGCATATTTCTGACTTTGATTTTGGAGGTGTGCCAGCCCCTGTCAGTTTAGGGAAACTGTACCCATCCTGACAGATTCCAACAAAACATGCCGTTGGGGTTTGATGGGTTGAGTTCTGTTAGGGTTAATCTTTCATCCCATCGACTACAAGTACGCACATGCTATCACTAAATTATTATTTCTCACCATTCCTTTCCATAGCAATTTTTTTTGTTTTAGTTTCTTAAAATCAAATTTACTTGGCACTCCCATTTGCGTGATCTACATGTACATGTATAAACAGGTTTTCAGACTGTCAGGTTGCAGCTTTAACACTGTTCGTGTCCATCAGTCAGTTTCCACTCGGTTCCCCTTGCATAGATGGCTTGCACTCATCAGTTACCAGAGAACATTGTTCTTGACACCTTTCAAACAATTGACTCTTGATGTGCGTACTGCTGCCCTTGTGCTGATGGCTCGGTGCCAGTCAGCCCAGGACATTGTTCCTGAGTACTTGCAAGTGACTGCTGGCTCTCTGCTGGTTCTGGATGTACACACTGTTCCCCTTGCATGGATGGCTTGTAGTCAGTCAGACTAGAGCATTGTTCCTGATGAGAACTTGCAAGCGCTGGGGTCCCCGCTGGTTCTGCATGTACCTCAACATGCACTTGAACATGCTGCTGACTGTGCATGGATGCCTTACTGCTGCTTTGCCTGGAACATTGATCTTGACAGCTGTCCAGTGACTGCTGACTCTCTGTGTGTTGTGCATGCCCTTGGCTTGGTGGCTTGCTGCTGCTTGGCCTGGCAGCACGGTGCTCTTGGTCATTTTCTGCCTGTGGGATCACGCGAAGCTCAATCTGCTTCCCTGGCTGCGATGGTCGGCTGGGATTCCGTCTTGGGCAGCAACGACTGCACAGTTTCAAGAATGAGAAAGCCTCAACTACAGCTGTACGATAGTCAGCATTTGTGGCACTGTAGACTAGGGGATTGATTGAGCTATTGATGAGTCGCAAGATTTCCATACATAGAACCACAATATGACTTTTTTTCCCAAGTTCTAGAAACGCAACAGCCTGGGCAGGCAAAGAATAATCCATTAACTTGATTACTATACTTGAACCTGCAATGGCCAGTGAGTTCAGAATGAAGAAAACAGCAGTATTGGTTGTAACCATACAGAGGACCTTGCCTGCTGGCTTGGGACGGTTTGGCAACAGGGCTGATTGCTTGCACACTTTCACCAGTACATAGATGTACAAAACAAGAGCGACTATTAAACAGACAATGTTGATAGGGAAATTAATCCAAAAGAGGACATCACGCAAAACACTCTCTGGTAAGAATGCTAGAATCACACCAACAATAATTGTAGGCACCCAGATTCCTGCTGATATCTTTACTGCTCGAGATTTAGAGGCCTTTTCTTTAAATGTCAGAGGATTGCGCACTGCAGAGAATCTCTCAGCTGCTATGGTAACCACAAAGAAATTGGAAGCTGCTAGGAACGTGTACCGCAGAACTTTTAATGCTTTTTTGGCTAGTGAGAAGTTGCACTCTGACATGTACTCTGAAGGTGAACACAGTGCAACTATAAAGTCAGTCATAAGGTAGAGCGAGTCAGCCACAGCCAGATTGGATAAGTAGGTGTTGATGATTGTACGCATGGACTTCACTCGAAGGACTGTGAAGAGAAAGACGAAGTTCAAGAAAAGGCCAAGTGGTGCAATGATATCAATGCTGAGGTACAGTATTTGTTCAAATTGATGAAAACTCTCGGTATAGTCAATCAGGGCCCTCCCTATCGATGAAGAGGAGCCGTTTTGGTAGCCATCACCCATAGTTCATGTTCATTGTAGCATTGATTTCCATGTCTAACATTGTGCTCAGGTGCAACAAAGAGTGGTCTGCCCTATCACAAGATCACTCCAGTTTTATACTAACAGGGATTGTAAGACCTTGAGAAATCTGAAGTTGAAACTAAAAGCTTCTTCACGTTTCCTTCTAATTTGTCCTTCCCTTGTTTCTGTAAGACCAAGTAACAAAATGAACCTGTTTCTTGTCCCCACCTGCTTCCTTTTCCCCACCCACCCCTTTCTTTCTTTTGAAATCATACATTTTGTCTTGGTATATTTTTTCAGCGAAATTGTAGCTATGTATTTTCAAGTTTAAAAGCTTGTAGAAAGGCTGACGTCTCCTTGTGACACAGAAGTTATTAGCAAAAGAGTTGAGAAAATGGAGGAATCCATCCGCCATCTTAGAAAATGTACCATCTTGAGTGGAAGGGCAGCCTCTCCTTTTTTTCCCAAAACATCAGGACAAGAAACTTGTTTTAATTACCTGAGCTACTAAAATGTGACTTTTGTTTTCATTGTTTTCACTGCACTGTAACAAAATCAAACAACAGAGTTTCACCATTGACATTGGAATATGTGAAATGTTTTCTTAGGGTTTTGATTTCCGTTTCATTCGTAAAAATTTTACTATTTTAACAAGAAAATGAAAATGTAAACGAACATGAAAACAAGCAAGATTGTTTCGGGGTTCTCCATATAACTTCTCTTGTCCTTCAGTGTCAGGTCAGTGTCCCTGTACAAAAATATCTTACTGTTTACTCTGTATTGTAATGATGATCTTATTTGATGGAATAACCCTGCAAAAATGTTTGTTCAAGTGAAATGATTAAAACAAACCGGGAAGGCAGATTTAAGAATTCTAGTATTCACTTGGAAATGGCATCAGATTGCAAGTGATCATGGTTCACATTTTTCATTCCAGAGAGTGAGGCAAATTGTGCACCCAGCTCATAGAGGCATGTGATCTTAGGAAATCATAATAGTACCGGAGTCTTATATAACGCACATATCTACCAACAATTAGGTACTCAAGGCGCTGGTAATTAGGTCTATTTTTAAAGACAGGTAAATGAAATTGATGAGAAATATGAGACCCATTATGTAGCACCTTTATAAGGATGTACAAGGTGCTGCGGCGTATGTTGCAGCCACTGCCAGAAACACCGGGGCAAACCCCTTCTCTTAGCGATAAGTGTTGCTGAGTTATTTAACGTGCATTACACAACACACGGGACCTGTGGCTTTACGTCCCATCCGAAGGATGAAGCAATAATGGTAAAGTGCCTTGCTCAAGAGCACAAGGACCATGTTCCCCGTCAGGATTCGAAACCCATGTACCACGGCACACGAGTCAAACACCGTTACCATTGGACCACAACTCCCCAATGAAAAGAAAAGAAAGAACATGAATAAACGTGACTTTTCATTGAAGCGATGAATATTCCAAACTTGAAATTTCTCATGTGTGTTATGATATCTTTGTACACAAGAAGGTCATTTTCGATGAGGTACGAAAATGTATGTACATTTGTTCTAGAATCACGCTTGCAATTGTTAACTCTACAAACTTAGATTGCTGATGTTACAAAACCTGCCCACATTTTGTGAATTCACTTTTTAGTCGCAGTCTCATCTTGAGATGCTGGATCAGTGATTGACCAATGAGTATATTTTTAACCGGAGGACGCGGACTCTATAACACCGCCATGTTGTGCTATAAGGGAGGCAATCATATCGAGTTGCAGGCAATTTGAGGATCTGGTGGCCGAACACTTTGAGTCGTGGATGAAGGTTAAAAAAAGAGTGAAACATATGGACGTTGGTAGATGAATTTGAAAAAAAAAAGGAATTTGGTTTAATGAATATGAGAGATTGTAATGTAGAAGGGAATCGTAAGCTGGTTTGTTGTTACATTGTATACCTCAATCCCTGTATATTTACCTGTCCTTCTTTACTTAACCCCCTACATTATGAACTTCATTAGGAGCCTTCCGAGTCATTCCATGTGAAATAACCCAAAAAATATAATAAGAATAAGACATATTGTTATGGAACTCTGATCATACATTAAATGGATCATTTACATGACTGCACATTAACTAAACAGCATCAACTCATAAAGTAACATTCGGACAAGCCCATGTTCAGTTCATCAGACAGTAGACCTTTACTTAAGTTTTGTTGTTTCTGTCACACATTGACTCGTCCACTGTTTTCTGTTCTGTGAAGGTTTGCTGAAACATGGCCGAGACTGGGCCTCCATCTCCAAATCCGTCGGTACCAAGACAGAAGCTCAGTGCAAGAACTTCTACTTCAACTACAAGAGGAAATTCAACCTGGAGCAGATCCTGGAGGAGCACAACAGGAAAGCCAAGGTATGCTGATGGTAGCAAGGCCCTGCAAACATACAACCTCCTAATGGAACTATGCAGGGTGGATAAAAAAACCGAAACCGAAATATTATTGCTAATTGGAACAAAAGTAGGGCACATGTGAATCAAAGGGAGATATCTTCTATTAGGGTTGAATCTCCTCTTTAAAATGACACCCTGGTCATGTCATTACATTCACGGTTGACTGAGCAGTGACCAATTTTATGAAAGAGTCTATTTAAAGGCTTGCGCCACTTTTCATTGTGAAATCTCTTTTTCCCCCCACCTGCCTTGATTGGCAACCATAGCCTTTCACTCTGTGACAATTGACACAACAAAAACCAAAAATTGAAAATTCTCTTGATAGACCCTTTCAAAAATTGGTCACTGCTCAGTCAACGGTGAATGTAATGACATGATCAGGGGTTATTTTAAAGAGGAGATTCAACCCTAACAAAAGATATCTCCCTTTGATTCACGTGTGCCCTACTTCTGTTCCAATTTATAATAATATCTAGGTTGCGGTTTTTTTATCCACCCTGTAATGTAGATAAACTGTTGTCGAAATGGCGGCGCTCTATGTGCCAAACGAACAAGTGTCACTTGTTGGTAAAGCTCCAAAACAGTTTCGGAGGTCACAGGTTCAAACCCCGCTTTAGTGCTCAACTTTTCAAAAAATGTTGCAGTTCACCTAGTCAGTTTTCCTTTGTGGTTCATTTGCGAATTTGTAATACAAAGCCGTATCCTCTCTGAGAGATCCCTGTTTGCTATTTTCCTGGTCTGCATCGTGACTTTGGGCGTGATCTCTGTCTACCTGGCATACACAGGTTTATGGCTTCTGACTAGTGCCCTTGAACAAAGATATTGACGAATTGGGGAACCGCTTTCAGATTCACACCGTGCTCCAGTCAATTTCTTTGTTCAACTTTTAAGAAAAAACTTTTAAAATCCTCGAAAAAATCAATTGTGACTCGAAGCGAAAGTTTTCCAGCAATATATGGACGAACTGCAGATGTAGAAAAATGGGAAATTTCAGCAATGATGGGAACATTACATTAATTGTGCGTGTCGGCAAATTTGGAAAACATATGAAGGCGACAACTCAGGAAGACAGTTTGCCTTTGTGGCCAGTCTTCACCAAGGTTGGTGGCAAACAGTCGGTCCCACTTTTACAGATGTTGCCAACGTTATGGTAGCTTTGTACATTTTGTTTCTTTTCGGAAGCACTGCAGGTGTTAATCACACAATTGAAAGTTTAGGTTGTGTACGGTGAAGAATAGAATATAGGAGAAATTTGAAGATACACCATGTGAAGTGATTTCTCCGATCATAATATTGAGTTGAACATTATTTCATTTCGTTTCCTGGCGACAGTTGGAGCATACTATCAGAAACCTGGAGTTGTTAGTTCTGATACTTTTAAAAACCAACTCTCTTTTCTTAATTAGTCATTTAAAGGTTTAACCAAAAAAAGCAACAAAGGAGGCAATTTTAAATTGAAAGGGTGACTCAAAGTTATTTGTAGAACTTGAACATATTGCAGTGTGAAATCATACTCTTTATTCTTTAGGCGGAAAGGGAACACCGCATCTCCACCACAGAAAGCACCGTTTCTACGCTGACGGCCATGTCGGATGACGATGATGATTCCATGATGTTCAGCGACGAAGACAACGATGCTGACAATGACCTGGGGAGCTCAGACACTGACAGCGCCAGCGAGAACGAAGGAGATGGCTTGCCCAGAAAGCCTAAGAAAGGAGGCGGAGGAGAGGTGGGTCTTGGAGCAGCTGAGCCAATGGAGGTGGGAGCTCCTAGTGGAGGGCCTGGGATGGCTCCGAGTAGCGCCGGTGGGGACAACAAGGGGAGTTTACCGGACACAGGGCATGACAAAAACCAGTCGGGAAACGACAAGGGTGGTGGTAGGGCAAGCGAACAACAAGAGGGGGCCAGACGCGAGGTTGCAAACCCCGAACAACAACCAAAACAGCAGCAGATGGTAGACGCTGACGCTGCTAAGAAGCCGACATCAGAATCGCAGCAACCTCCTGGTCCATCCTCTCAACCCGACAGGTCATCTCTGACATCAGAGATGCCGTCAACCCATGCCGAACTCCCCCCGGGACCGACCCTCACTTCGTCGCGCCCGCGTGATGATGACGACTCCAGCGCTACCTGCAGTGCAGACGAAGATGTGGAAGCCGTGGTTATCCAAGAACCGACCAACTCCTCAATGATGCCACTGACTCGCAGAGCCCTGGAGAGTCAAGGACAGGGAGGCGACAAAGTCTCCTCAAGCGACGAGAAGCGATACATCCGCTCACTCCACCAGCTTCCAACCAGCAGAGAGCGATTAGGAGAACTCTCCTCCTCATCGCAACCTCCATCCCAGCCGCCAGCTCAGGCCCTACAGGAACGTAGGCAATCTAGGGTGGAGGCCCCTGGGGATGCCACCAGCTCGGGGAAGCCTAACCAGACCCTGGCCGAGTATCTCGGAATGGAAGGCAAGGTCAATAACATCAAGGATTTGATTGACTCAGCCATTGACAGGCATCTTGGTAGGTGTTGACTTTATCTTCTCAATGAATTTCAAGTATTCAAATTTCTGGAGAAATTCTCACCATAATGCAGTTTATAAGAAATTTGGTAAATATACAAGACACATCACCTCATGATAGCCCAACACACATTAACCCACTGCGCACGGGAAGCGGTCATGGCCGCGGCCGCTAATCCTCATTGGAATGCAGTTGCCAGCTGTGGTATGCCGTGGCACACGTCTAGTGGGTAGTTCCACAGCTGCTGCTTTTGTGCAGTCCCGCTACCACACAAAGGCTGTGCAGTCATGCGGGCCACTTGCTCTATGTGTGGAGGAATGTCCCCATTATAACCCGTCCTTAACGTGTTAAAGATGGGTCAGTTGACAAACCCTGGTAAGGAGGTTCTTCAATTGATTTCATGTAACACTATCTTTATACACAGGATTTTTTTTAAGTTTCATAATTTTTTATAGTCTTAGATAAAAAATCTAAAAACCAGTATAGACCATGCCGAGCACGCTAACAACTCTATCACGAAGGCCCCCTTCAATGGTGAAAGCATTGTGCTAGCTATTGTTCAGATCATCCTTTACGGCACAGTTGCTTTGCACAATTATGCGATTGCGTGCATGATGGTTTCTCCATTGAAGGGGGGCTTGTGAGCGTACAGTGAATCATGTGCCCAAATTCGTCTATAATACCTGTTTTGGTGCTTAAAAGGGTCCATGACATGACATTTTCTGAGGAACACATAATATTGTGCAACTTTCTACTCCTCTTAATGTATGTGACTTCCCTTTTTGGTTAATTTTATTGAAAGGTGCACTTCTTTAAACATTCTTTTTTTAAATTCCCATGCTTTTCCAGACAACTGAGGATATTGTTGCAGTGATGTCATTTCAGGAAGAAGTCCCAAATTTGCTCATTTAAAACATTTGTGAGAAAGTTTGCTCACTAGATTACTGTCGTGTACTGACACATCAACGAATCGGCAAAGAAAAGGAAATTGATGACGGCAAAACATCCAAAATTCTGGCAACTTTTGATGCTGAAATAGCTATAACATTGAGATTTCTGCCTGAAATGGCATCAGACCTTTGATCATGAATATAAATATGGAAATTTGCATTCGCATTAAAACCAAAAAGGCACCAAAGTACCCTTAAAATGTCCAAATGATAATTGAAAATAAGGTTAAATGGGACACAAAGGTGCATTTTAAGGATTGCATTAAACAAATTACATTGCATGGGCCCTTTAAATTACATGTGCCTGAAATGGCACTGTTTCATGTGATGATTTCATGACTCAAGTTTCTTTTAATCCTCTTTTTGTCTCCAGGAAATTCCTCCACTGCTAGTTCTCCCGGCCAGCAGGACTCGGTGACAAGCAACCCTTCGAGTCTCTCCGATCCCCGTCGGAGTCCAGCATCTGCCAAGGACCCCAAGGATTCCCAAGAAGGCCGCCGCTCCTCAGAGAGCATGTACAGAGACATGCACTCGGGGCGGAGCTCCTCCTGGGCAGACTCCAGCGACAGCAAAGACCGTCGGCCGTCGGTGTCTAGAGCAGACCCTGGGATGGCGTACGTCTCGCCCCACATCTCCCACACGTCTCAAGTCCATCAGAGAACCCAACAACAGCAACAGAAGCAGCTACAGGATCGGGATGTCTATGAAGTGGGAAGCAGCCACCCGGATATACCCAGTATGAGGTACCCAAGTGGAGCCATCAGTCGGGCGTTGTACCCAGGCACCCGCTACCAACGAGACGCCCATGGAGAGATCTACCCAGACCGGGATCAACACCCTCATGTCTCCTCCCCTCCTGGTGCAGCCACTGGAGCCCGGCCGGCCAGGTCTGGTTCCCCATTTGCCCTGGTACCCATGGACAGGGTTTCACAGTCGCAGCAGCAGCACCGGCCTATCCCGCATCTCAGATCCACGAACGTGCCACCACCCCCTCCGCTGATCAACAAGTTATCACCCAAGGCCATCAAGACTGAGAAGCCATCGCCGCTAGGCCAGCCCCACAGTGGATCTATCACACAGGGTACTCCCATTAACTTCTCCACAGCAGGCAACCCTCCCACAAGGTGCGTTTGAGAGTTGTAGTCGAGTCTAGAACAAATCCATCACAAGTCAAATCACAAGTCAATATCAAGTATGGTCCCAAGTATGGGGGGGAGGGGGGGTTGAACAAGGAATGCCTTTGTCTCTTGGGGTGCTATGGTCCAAGTGTTACAATATTTGACTCCTGTGTCGTGGTACGTGGGTTGGAACTGTGACAGGGAACATGGTGCTTGTGTCCTTGGGCAAGACACTTAACTGCAATTGCCTCTCTCCACTCAGAAGTACAAATGGGTACCTATGAAGGTAGAGACCAGGATGCGCTGATCTCGAGCTGCTGCAGAAAATGGTCTCATTCCTGATGAACAGGGGTAATAATTGTAACGCACTTTGGAACCTTAGGTATAGAGCACTATATAAGCACCCCATTGTTAATTGAAAAGCTGAAAGGTTTTTTTTATAATGAAGCTGAATACTGCTATTTATGCTTTACCCGGCAAACAGTAACCTATACAGTCATTTTGCAATGCATATTTTTGGCTGAATCTCACATGGAATTCCCACTCTTTCTCCAGTCGATATGAGAGGCCCCCAGCGGGCTATGACGGCCTCCTTGTCAAGGGCCAGCCGTCAGCGACATCCCCACGGCAGGAGGGGGTAGCAGGTGGAGGGGGTTCCATTACCCAGGGCACACCCATCAACAGAGGGGGACGGGAGATGCCAGGGTCTATCATGAGGGGGACACCGATGCAATCCCAGTCCCACGAACCCTCCGGATCTAAAGGTATGCATCTGGTGCGAGAATGGGGTGACAAATAATTTTTAGTGTAAAGAATTGTTGGTTCTTAGATAATCTGTGTTTATGGTTTAGTGACGTTTTGGACAGGACATAATCCAGCATAACTGTATGAACTGTTAAAAAAATGTTCTGACCCATTCATTTTTAACCTTAACGTAACAGATATATTCAATATATTTGCACATGTCCTTTTTGTATCGTTACTGCCTCAAAAGCTTCCCATCATTTTGATGTATCGCAAAGCTTTCCCATAATTTTTGATGCGATTATTGTGATAAAAGCTGCAGTGGAGGTAAAAATGATAGTACCATTGAGTAATCGCTCCATGACTGTACCATCGGTAAACTAAATGGTTGTAGGCAATTCAGTTTTCTCCAACACAACAAAGCCGGAGAACAAATGATATTAACTTTCCCCCTGAAATCTATATGTGGGTCACAGAAGGGACTATTGGCATGACTAGGACCCTCAACAGCTCGTAGATTTATGAGCTGGAGATGACCGTTGCTCATTTGACCCTTGTAAAAGTCAGACCTGTACTCATTGCCCGAGGATAATGGCATTGTGGGGGAGTTTCTAGACAGTTGTGAAAAATGCCAAAGTGTGTATGGTTTGATGACTAGTAAAGACTGCCAAAGTGTATGAATTGAAGAAAACGTGTACAAAACCCACAACCTTTAATGTGACCTAACATAACGCCTGATTACGTCATCGTGACGAAAATCTCTGGCATACATCTTCAGGTGGTGGCCCAAGTTTGTGCCAAGTCTGAAGTTGACCGGATTTACGAAAGTTCCAAAGTGCTTTGGTGGAAGGAGAGGAGTCTGAAAAAAAGGGGGAAGGAAAAAAGATTACGGATTTACAAAAGTGCCAAAGTGAGTGGGTAGAAAGAGAGGAGTCTGACAAAAAAGGGGGAAGGAAAAAAGAAAATTTTAACGAAAACAAGAGCTGTTTCGGAGGGAGCTAATATTTTCCCTGGATATATTTTCCCTGACCCTTTCTGCCTTCTCTAGATTCCAGAGTTAACCATGAGAGTCAACGAACCACTCCCAGCGGTTACGAAGCGGGCACATCGAGGAGCACCCCGGTCTCCTATGAAGGGGACCGGCCGCGGGTCACCCAGGCAACCTCCCGTCACGATCAACTCATGCATCGCAGTATATATGAAAACGCATTGGCTAGAGGGTCACCGGTGTATGTGGATACCAGTGGAACTGTGCGAGGTATGCGCGACTGACACTTGTCACAAGTTATCATCTATTTTTGTTGAAGTTCAACAAAAAATTTGACTGGAGTGCGGTTTGAACGTGTTACACGTACCTCTGATTGCTGTGCGGTACTCTACCACCTGAGCTATCCAGCCCTATGTTGGTGGTTCCTCATTTTGTCAATGTCTTTGTTCAAGGGGCACTATTCAGAAGCCATTAACACATATATGCCATGTAGCCAGGGATCACGCCTGCAAACATGGGAAGTAACAAACAAGGATCTTTCAGAGAGGATGCAGCTTTTTTGTTACAGTTTACTGTCTACATGTAGATTTTTTAATAGTCGCATTAAATATCCAGATGAAGTTGTAGACAAGATTATCCACAGTGAGCCCATTGTATTAGACATTAGTCTCAGAATGGTTGACAACTTTCCCAGAATCTTTACACCGTTAGGTTATCATCACTGTTTACAAATTGATAACATCATTGTGGGAAGATTCAAGGGAAGTTGTTCAGAAATCTGGCTATTAACAGATCAATTTGTCTACACATATCCCAGATATTTATATCATTCCTCAAAACCCTCCTATGCAAACATGCATTTTCAATGCACGCACAATGAAAAACCTGTAACTTTGTTGAAATTGTTTTAAACAAGGCTCCATTTTTTTTAGGAGATAAAATGATTTCAGGGGAAGACATTTTTGCTATTTTGGGGGTTTCATATTATTTCAAGTGACATCATTTAACAATCACAACTTCACTGAGATATCCATTGTACAGATCAATAATGAGTGGGATTTAGAGAAATATGAAAGTTGAAAATTTGTAAATTAACTGAAACTCTTTTAACTGAAACTCTTGCAGCAACCAACCCATTTGAGCGTCCCATGCCCCACATGGATCCGTCAGCATTATACTTGGCACACCAACAGCAACGGGATTACATGAATCTGATGGCCAGATCAAGTCAGCCAGACACAACGTCCTTCAACAGCTCCAAGGAAACGCTAGCCGGTATGTCAGGAGAATACTCAACCACTCCATATCGGTCACACTAATTAACCCTTCTGGTCTTTTGCACTTCAAGTTTTGCTTGAACTCTTTTGCCCATGGAGTTAGTTTCGAGTTAGTAAGGGTGACGTCTAAACACGCTAATCCCTCCTGCCTTTGTACACACACACAAAGTCCGTGAAGTCTGTGGAGGAGGACCGTGTGTTGATCATAAATTGTTGTACAATTTACGCTCAAGTGCACAACTCAGAGTACTGAAACATATGAGGTTTCGGCAAGAAATATCGTACAGATACTGTTGAAATGACTCTTGTGAATCAGTATTTTTGGCGTTTAGCTGTACGTCAGAAGTTGGCTGGAAAATTTTGCCTTTTGCAAAAATCGAAGTTTACGGCAAAAAATAATCCCGGCGCCAAGTGTTAGGCTCAGGGCAAGCAGGCAGATTCTGTCATGCTTCACTGCTCTTCACAGTGCAATGTTTTTGGCAGTGCTGTTTGACACTCACATCCATCCTGAAATGATAATGTCTATATTCCAATTTAGCATGCATATCTTTTACTATGCAGGTGATTTTGCAACAGCAAAACAGATGAGCATGCGGACCTCCACAATTGCAGGTACTTGCATACTTGAATTTGTATTTATAACGAAAAAGTAGTTCAGCATTTTGGGGGCAAAGGGACCAGTGCCTGGATTGATTGGTTGTTCAAAGGTTACGGGTTCCAATCCTGTTTGTAATACTCAAATTGAATTCATAGAACGCCTGTAAGCATGACCATAGCCAGCTCTTTAACCAAAACCTTCATGCACAGAAATCAATGAAGCAGATATGGTCTTTGATGAAAGCAACAAGTTATGACTATTTTAATTAAAAAAATCACAAAATTCAGCTGTCCTCTATTGAGCATTTACCATTCTACGAACTGATGAATACCCTTTAAATACAATGAAACGTGGACGTCTTCTGACCTCCATGAGTGAACGAAAACTTGCAAAGGAAAACAGACAAAAATGGCAATCAGTATTTCAGAAAAAAAAAGAGTTGTCTTGTTCCTTTTATTCAAAACACAAAATCTGACAGTAAAGAGTATGTTGCAGTCTCGACTCAAATGATTAAAATCTCATTTGTATTTGAATGCTTGTGTGTAATCTGTAATTCTCACTCAGCTCAATAGCTTCCAATGGCATTCCATGGACATTTATAAAAAAATAAGTTCTTTTAAAAAGTAAAACATGCATAACCTCTGAAAGCATGGATCAATTTCAGTAATCTTTTCTTGTGCAGATGAGTGGAAGAACATGCTCTTTTAAGACACACTTCAATGGTGCCCCAAATTTGATTGCTTTTTAAGTAAAAACAAACTTTGATCCAGGTCATTTTCTTTTTGACTCACCCTACACAGTGGACTAGATCTAGCCCATTGGTTATTAGCGTTGCAGGGTAATCCTATTTTACACTTCTAGAGTAAAATGAGACTAAGCAAGTCTCTTTCACAAGTTACAGTCAGTCAGTGCACAAAGGACTGTAGGCTTGCACCTTTTGGACCATCAAAAATTCTAATGAATGCAAAATGCTTTTTCTGTGTGTACTCTTGCTGTTGTCATTTTATACGTGTCTGTGTGTGTTTCAGTTCACTGTAAGTTCGGTCATCAATCTGAACCAAACTTAAAAGGCGGTCTGTGGAGAGAAGGCCGACGTCCAAAAAATCCTTTCCAATATAGATATTTACGAGGTCTCTGGAGATCTCAGCTCAGTATTACTAATGACTCTAACATGTGGGCCTTTCCACACTAAAGGGGTTCAATAGTGTGACGTGGGATTGGGAAATAAAGCAGGATAATAATATCAAGTTGTTTGTCCTATTTTCCACTTCTACATTCCCAGCCCATTGTTGAGGATTGTGCTTTTAAAGAATTTAAGACTTTCTTGACAAGATATTTATGCTCACAGTGCTACGTACGTAAAAAGGACAGAAAGTTTGCCAGGGGAATGGCGCAAGTTTTACTATGTGTAATCTTTCTGTGTGTAATCTTGTTGTCATTTTATACAATTTTTTAGGGGACTATGCAACAGCCAAACAGATGAGCCAACAGCAACAGCAACAGCAGCAACAACAACAACAGCAGCAGCAGCAGCAGCAGCAGTTGCCGCATCAACTGGTAGGCCAGCCAATCACTCCACAGATGGCACAGCAGATCAGCCAATCAGTGGCCCAGCGTGGTAGCCAGTACCCACCAACCACCACCAAGGATTCCAGACTGTCTCCTAGACGAGAGTCGCCCATGTCTAAGAACTTTCCTCCAGGACAGCAACATGTCTTAGATCCACAGATCCAGCAACAGATGCTGCAACAATATGCACAGGTAGGCATCGGGGGAATCTTTTCCTAAAGACTTCAGTTCTAGAGCTGCGCTGAACCAAATTGTTCCAACGAGTTAGATTCATTACAGGAACAGTTCAACATTTGAAAAAGATAGAAACGACTGTATCCAAAGATCAACTTTCACTGTATTTTTGCAACAGCTCTCAGAGTCTAGAATTCCCATTTGACACTGAAATCTGTTTGAATCAAGAAGAGTTACTCCTAATGCATGTTGGTTCAGCAGGATTCTGGAATGCTAGTCTGAAACATTGGTAATTCTGCTTAATACTTGGAACTTCCCAGATTTTTTAATAATCCTGCACTGTGCAGTAAACTGTTTGGCGCATGTTCTATACATGTACGTCAACTTTCAAGTCTCGAAGACATTAAATAGTGGCAGGGCAATACCTTCCACAATCCTACTGCGAAGTTCCCGAAGGATTTGGAAGCATCTTGGATAGTGAGGGTTAACACATATTCTTTATTAAGTTTGGTAGATTACTGGTGAGATTTTTTTTTCTGCCACAATTGGGTTTTAGGTGCTTTTGATTCTTGTCAGACTGTGCTGCCCAAAAATGCCAGCTACGTAAACCTTTGGTTGCAAACATCCTATAGATGATAATTCTGCATTTGAGCGTTGCTGTTTCTTTTTGTAATAAACAAATACATGTAAATGGAATTCAATCTAGATGACTTAATTCAGTTTTTAAAATGAAGTGGTATGTGATTGATTTGAGATTTGGATTTCCTTTTCTGTCCCTACAGAGTGGACAGATTGTCTACCTGCCCTATTTCCCCCCGGGTCATTCCCACATACTAGCTCATCAGCACTACCCAGGGGGTATCCCCTCCCCCCACCACCCCCACCCCTCCATCAGTCCCCACACCACACAGGCACACCCGTCATCCCAACACCCTGCCCACAGCGACCGACGCACAACCTCTCCAATGCAGCAGCAGCAGCAGCAGCAGAGAGAAGTCACGTCACCGGCTGAACACTACGCCCAGCAGCAAGCCGTGAATTTATCCCACAGATGGCCTGCGCCTCCAAGTGTGGGTGCCGTGCGCTTCAAGCTCCCACCCAGGGGGTCTAGCCCGGGTGCCCATCCGGGCTCGGGGGTGCACCCAGTCACCCATCCGGGTTCCTTCCCATCAACGTGCTCCCATCCTGCAACCGCTGCTCATAGCATCACTACAGTCCACCCAGCCTACTCCGCCCATCTCCCCGGTGCCCATATGGTGGGTAGCAGCCACCCAGGAGCCCATCACATGAGAGGTACAATGGGCGGGAGCATCATGACGGGGACACCCATCAGGCCTCCACCCAGTATCACCTCGGGAACGCCCAATCCAGAGCTGAGGGAGGAAACGCCAAGAAGTCGAGCAGAAAGCACTTCAGGTATGTAGGCTTCTTAGTGCATTCTTGAATACAAATGCAAAGGAACCCAATATAGTATTTATCTTATTATTTACTTGTTTGGTTTAAAAAGGCACCATTACAATAATACAATAATTTAAAATGAATGAGTTACAATGGTTATCACAAAATATTTGGGGAAAAAACAAGGAATGCTATGAGTTTTTAAAAAATAATTTTCCAGACTTTTATAGCAGTTCACTGCCTTAATTTGATGAAATTTAAAGTAAACATAATTGAAATCAAGGTGATTTCATTTTTATTTCATTTCATCAAAATTTATTTCCAATTCCATCAATCAATAGGAATACAATGTATATAAATAAATAGAAGAGGAGGATTTGGAGGCACAGCCAGAAAAGGCACAGCTTGTGTTAGGGAGTGCCCATACAATTACAAACACTGCAGTACAGACTACATTGACAAAGCACAAACAGTGCATATTAAATACACAAAACGAATACACACACGATTCCAGTGGTTGATCCAACGGTTAAAAAGAAAAGAAAATGTTTAGTAAGGATGAATATGATAGTAGAAATTAAAATTTAAAAATCACTTTTGAAGGAGGTAAAATGTAAGATTACGTTAAAAACTGAATAAGCTTTGACTATTCCTGAGACTTGCAGACAAATCACAATCCATTCCAGTGAAGTGGCCCAGAGTGCCTTATACTGTGTTTAAAGGCAGATGTCCTGAACTTGGAGATATGCAGTAGGGAAGATGACCTAGTATTATAGCTGTGTATATTATGATTAGGTTGAACCTAGCCCAGGTTGGACGACATCTTCATTGCATTACGACTGACGTCCAGGGTTAAATTGTACCACCGTAGCGCAACAATTATAACACATTTTTTTCTTCATATTTTTACCTGATGGAGGAAGCCGAAAATTTTGTTAACATATTTCTTGTGTCCAGAATTGTGCAAATTAAGCCGCAAATTTAGACAAAGATGGAAATTTTGATGAGAAACAGACGAGGTTGACGCAGCGAAATTAAAAGGTGTGTCACAGGTGATGCCCTCTGTCATCCAAACAAAACATGTTTTTAATATCCTTGCTACATTGGGCACAGACCCTACTCAACTGGTTCATTTGTATAAATGATGCGTCTACTGTTCATGGTGCCATTTATCATATGCAGAGAGTTACGCTTTCCTTTATTAAACTTGACAGGATCTGGTGGTAGCAAGTCTCCTGGTGCAGCTAGTGGTTCGGAAGCTTTTCGCACACTTGTCCATGTAGCTGCCTCAGCTGAAACACTTGGAACAGCACAGGAAAAAGGTGACCCAACTATAGAATGTACACTTCCATGTAGCAAGGATATTAAAAACATGTCTTGTTTGGGCTTTTGAACCAGTGTATCAATTGAATTATATAAATTGAATGTTTGTCTTTGATTTCAGAAGCAAGAAGACAGCAACAAGCCATTCATGAGAGTAGAGAGCGTGATGCCAGCTCCTCTAGCGAATCCCACGGCTATCCACGACGACCCTACTCAACTGGTTCCAGCCACTCGGGTCCAAGCCAAGAGCGGTGGATCTCTACGTCATCTGATAACCAGATGGCCCATCGGGAAACTGCCCCGTCTGGAAGCAGTCGCTTGACGCCCAAGGGACGGGAATCAGAGAGTAAAGAGAGGAAGGAGGAGGTCAGACACAAGGAGCAACAGCAGAGAAACCACAATATGGAACGAGAAGCCTCAGCCATCTTTGCTGCTCTCTTTGAGAAGGACAAGCAGTCATCCCGGGTCTCAACTGAAGAGGACTCGGAGAGCTCCAGCCGCCCACTGACAGCGGCCAGTCTGATTGATGTGATCATCACACGCTCCATCAACCAACCCATGTTGGACAATCATGACCAAGGGACTGACTCGGACAGCGGTGATGGGTTGTCTGTTGGACCGAGCGTGGCTTCCTCCAAAGAGAAGTCCAGCAAGAATGTGTCCGACTCAGACTCGCTGCAGCCGGAGAATGGAGACAGTAATGCTGTACCCTCATCGTCAACAGAGCGTTCTCCAAGTTCAGGAAAGGATCCGAAGCAACAAGAGAAGGAGGCATCTGGAGAACAGCAGGAAAGGCCTCAGGAAAGCCTGGTCCCGGTGACTTCACCATCCCCACTACCCATTACCCTGGCTGAACACATAGACACTATCATCTCCATGGACTACAATAAATCTGACCAGGTGAGTCAGGCATCTACATCAGCAGCCACTTCTGCCACCGGAAGCTCATCCTTGAAGCGAGATCGTGTAAAGCCATCAGGTGTGGATACCACAGAAAGCCGGGAACAGGGACCATCCTCTAGCTCTCCTCGTGCTAGATACAGGACACCAGATAGTGAAGTCGGATCAACCAATGATGCAGCAAGGAGAAGCAGCCCAGTTGCCTCATCCCTGCAGAGTATCCATGGTGCTCGCAGCAGCAGCAGCAGTAGTGACTCCAGAATGAGGAATTCGGGATTGATGTCTTACGGTGGGCCTGCGGAACCGAGTGTCAATAGCTCCAAAGAAGGTAGTCCAAGAAGCAGGGCTGCCTCCACAGCTTCTGATATATCAAGTGCTTCTGCATCCCCAGCCAGTGCCAGACCGGACAGCTACTCAAACAGGGTTTCCTCCCAGTGGGGTTCACGTAAGGACCAAGAAGCGACATCTGCTGGTAGGGTCTCAAGGAGCTCATCGGAACAGAGTCGAGAGGCTTCACCAGTCAGTGTCAGTGATATGACTCCATCTGCTGTGTCTTGGCAGAGGAAGTATCAACAGGAAGGTAATGGAGCCGACAGCAGTGAGAATGCTACCAGAGGATCCCAGCCACGATTCAGGGTCCACAGCTCTCAGTCAACCTCCCCACACCAGCCAGAAAGCTGGGGAATGGCTGATTCCAACCGGCCACCATCTCGAGGTAGACGCAGGGACTCACCAAAGACCATTGTGGAGCCTGGATCAAGCTCCTCTTCTGTGCTGGATGCAGCCTCAAGCAGCGAAGACAGATCTCGTTTTACTCCTGGTCCTGCAGAGAGTGGAGTCAGCGATAGCCAACGGCAGCTCAGCAGCAGCCAATCAGGCCTCAAGTCCAGATCAGAAGCTGAGAGCTCTCGCAGCAACAACCCAGCTCCCCAGAGCACCTCTCATGAGTACAACTCAGATAGTCCTCTGCAACCTGCTGATAGTATGTCCCAAATGAGACAGTCTCTGATGGGTACAGGCCAATCAGTGGTGAATAGATCTCCAAAGAATGGACAACCTAGCATGCTTCCAAGCAGCAGTCAAGGTAGACAGCCTCAGAGGAAGGACACTGGCTTGTTCCGGTTTGATCTCCAGAAGTCCATCGACCGTATGATTGAATCTCAAGTGAGGATGGAAACACCATCCAGGATGGACCAGCAGGTCAGAATGGATGATTATGTGACGCGGCTTGTGGAGGCTGAGATGTCTAGCTCTCGGTCTTCTCCACAGCGCTGCGATAGCAGAGAGAGCACCAGCACGGCCGAGTCTGGTGCCCTGGAGGTGGATGAAAGCCGACTGTCTGATGTCTCAGACTTGGACAATCACGAGGCAGAATCAATCCAGCAACCAAATGTCTCACAGCAGCGTCCTAGAGGTTCAAGCCCGAGACTGCCTTCCCGAGATAACAGGGATGGGGAAGCAGCTCCAAGTTCAACACCTGTTGATGGTGCTGCAAGGCTGAGTGTGGGCTCTTCAAGTGGAATTGGTAGTAACAGGGCATCAGGTGTTATCTCTCCAAATATAGCCGCACAGCCTCAGCTCGATCCCTCTAACCAACCAAGCCAATCAGTACCCACTTCCTCACCATCCCCTGTCTCTCACCAGGGTTTCCCAACCTCGGGCACCGGGCAGGCAGGGAACCAGTTTGCATATTCAGCCTTATCGTTCAGATCAGCGGCAGGAGTAGCCCCTGCTGCCTCCTCCTCAACAACAAGCTCCGCCCAGAACCATCTAGCCAACGTTCATCTCAGGATCCCCTCCCCCCACCTTGGACCCGCTAGGGGGCCATCACCAGTCCCTGGTCCAGGAATAGCTGGTGTTCGTGAGAGGGAACCAGCACCTTTGCTGTCCTCTCAGTACGAGACCTTATCAGATAGTGATTAACCTAGATAAGTAGGAGATTACAAATAGTGTTGTTTGTTAAGTTGTAGTCGATTACCAACGACTTGGTAATTAATATTGATCTCCAAAGCTTACGGAGAACCTAAGACTGAAGTATGTTTATTTTATGTTTCTTTTGTCAACTTTCTTACTGATATGCACATCTTTGTGATAAAAGATGGACTGACTTTTTTAAACCATGCAAAAAATACTCTCTACAGAAGTACATGTACCATTCGTGGTGAGATGTCTGTTTACAGACACATGGTTACAGGTTATTTGCAGAAAAATCTTTATTTGATCAGATTTAATATGCCGCTAAACAAGTTTGCCCTGTTTTATTGCAGATTTACCATATTTGTAATAACCATCGCTGTACAAGAATGCGTTTCTTTGGGCTAAAAACAAAACGACTAAACAAAACCATTGATTAAAATTAAGAATCTAGCTTTATTTTGATCTTGAAAATGAAAATATGATGCCAGTGTTTCGTGAAAAATTCTGTTAACCTTTGATTGTTACCCTCTCCTTGAGGAAAAAAAATGTCCAAGACATTTTGTCATTCATTTGTAATTTTGTTTTAGTTTTACTGTAGGAAAAAAAACTGTTAAAACAGTCAAACATGTTTTTATTTAGACTTTTAGTTGTGTGTTAAAAGATTAGGAAAAAAATTGTCATTTTGATGAAAAGTGAATGTGGCTGCTTTTTAGTATTATGATAAGTTTGGTTGTTTTAAAAATAGCTTTTGATGGCAAGAATGCTCTGAAATTTTGGCTTGATATTCCAGAGCCATTGTATCACAAACCCTCCAGAATCAATCAAATTCTAACGCTTCTGTTTGATTGTTTTTGATGGTTTCAGGACGTTACAGCCAATTATTTTGCAAGACCATCATTCAATGAATTTTGGGTCCAAAGTGTGATATTTTTTTTTTGTTCCTGTTACCGTGGTACTTTGTCATTTGCCATTCAAGTATCATGAATGACTTCAAACAATAAATTTATTTATTGGGTAGGTAGTTTGCTATTCATAACCACTCTTGGAGGACGACTGCATGAAGGAGTGCATCGGAATTATAAAATCACAGATGTTATATGTAACAGGGACAGGGAAAAAAAGTGGACCCCAAATTTATAGAATAACCCAATAACATAACGTGGGCATTGATGACGAGAGTTGGATTTTTGGGGACTTCCTTGTTGAAAATCATCCCTGTTCTCTTGTGAATATTGTGTGATCACAAGAATTGCCTAGGTTTAGGGTTAACTATTTGTTTTTGATGTTTAGCAAATTTTCCCTCCATAACTGGTTGGTTCTAAGTCCTCCCAAGTCAGTCGTAAGACGTCTCAAGTCACAAGCTCTTCATATGAAGAGGGGCAGCGTTCTCTGTTGCTTGCAACTTGCTGGTGACTTGAATTGTGATTGACTTTACAACTCTGGTTTTGAATTGGCCTAACATTAGCTGGTCACGCACACAAAAGAAAATGTAAAAAATCATGACAGCAAATTTTGTGTTCGCACCCCCTGCTAAAAAAAAGACGTTTGGCTGTTGTGAGAGAAGTGCGTTATCTTATTACAGTGTCAATATGAGTGGAACTTTAGGCTGAAATCTGTAGGTTTAGAAAGCAAAAGTCGGTCCACTAACAAGAAGGGTCACTGAACGCAGTTTCTGATAGAATCGTGTTTGGTATGAAGGATGTACATAAAGTTGTACTGTTGTTTTGCAGCGCTCAAGTCTGCCTGTTCATATTAACTGGCGCTGCAATTTCTCTGAAACTTCAGTGTTAATGATAAGTGTGATGCATGACTGTATGAGTCTCGTTGTTACACAGTCATAGATGCACTCAGTCACTCACAAATCACTTGTGTTATGAGTAAGCCACTAAGAAGTCGAATATCAGCAAGTTTCAGGACCATTTTAGTCAGCTAGTGGTTTATTTGTGACTTAACCCTAACACCGCAAAAAAAGAAAGTCCACACTCATTGGAGGGGTCATAATTTTGAATCTGATCGTCTTTATAATGAAGTCATTTATGTAGACCTTTGGAAATTTTGCTAGCTACATTTTGATACCCATTGCGACTAAAGACTGTGAATCATCAAAGATTGACAATGGTTTATGAAAAATGATGCCGTTTGAAAAGTTGCAAATTTTAAGATTACGCGAGGAGAAATTGCTAAGCGCAAACACACATGCTCGTAATTGGCCCCTATCGACTGCACACTGCCCGAACAAAGCGCGGGTAATTCAATTTCCCGTGCTCCCATGCATACAAGCACTGTGCGATCAATATTTTCTGCCGTTCATTTTGGGCAGTGTTACATTGTCAGGCAGCAATTTCCACTTGCGCACTCTTTAAATTTGCAACTTTTCAAACTGTGTCATTTTTCATAAACTGTTGTCAATGTTGGACGATTTACCTTCTTTGGTAGCAAAGGGGGCATTAAAATGTAGCTAACTTTCCCCAAAGGTCTATATAGATGACGTTAACACAAAACGATCAGATTCCAAAATTATGACTCCTCCAATGAGTGTCGATTTTCTTTTTTGCAGTGTTTACATCTGCAGGAAAGAGTTCCATGTGGACATCACTTGACACCCTGTGCACAAACCCTTTGAGACTAGTCTGATAAAATTCCAAGTGTTTTCTTAATACTTCAGTATTCGCCCTGCTAAATTTGACTTTTTAGGACACGTTATCGCTTTCTGATGGCTGATAGGTCACTGCATGGAAACATTAGTGATGTCCATGTTTGGAATATTTTCCCATCTGCACACACATACATGTACCAACGTGAAAATGCTTTTAGTCAAACGCTGGTTGAAAAGTCATCACAAAAACTTCTCCGTCCTGCTTCCTGAAATTGGACCATTGTTTTGCAGTGCAAGCAGCGCTACTGGTCGGTCCTACTAAAATGCGTCAACAAGCGTCAACCCGTTATTGGGTTATTCAATACGTGAAGCTAGCCATACAACCCATGCGTGAAGTGTACAATGCCAATCCAAACAAGATGGCGGCCAACACTAACTCGACAAACTCGTCGTACATTTCGCGTTGAAAAAACAACTTGTGAAATAATTTTAACTTTAATTTATATGCTGAAGGTGTTCTCTGTCGCTATTTCTACCATATATAGCTTTTTTGATGAACCAAAACTTATACCAAATTTGTTGACGATGGGTTGACGACCGTTGACGCTTGTGGACACCAGTTGACAAATGGTTGTCGCTTAAGACGCATTTTAGTAGGACCCCTACTTGTTAATTTTCACTGGATAATTTATCAAAAAGAGAACAGAAGGGTTTTTTTTTTTGATGATTTTATATGCATGGTTTATGTTGAGCAGTGAGCTTTTTATTAGTGAATACTCACTCAACTCGTTGCTTCTATGGTTTTTATACTTTCAAAGAAAGTTTTGAGAGCTGTCTCGCCTAAATATTACTGCAAGTTACTAACAGCGTAAAGTTTCTAATGTTTTCTTAAAAGGTACAAATTTGTGTGATTGTAAGATACCTATACAAAAAAAAACAAGTATTGATGTTAAACTACCAAAAGTTTGTGATATTTTTGTCAACCAAAGTTTTACCACCTCTGAAGTGTTTTGTTTTCTTGTAATTTGGAACTTGTCACTTTGTTTTTGTTGAGATTTTTTTGGGCGGGAAAATTGAGGTGGAAAAACTAATGTACAGATTTTCTGTTGGTGAAGATATTCATTAAAAACGATGACTGTTGACTGAATATTGCTGGATCAGTGTTATTATTCTTGCACATCAATCACATTTTTGCTTAAAATTGAATTACTGTAGTAATTTCTGTGCTTTGGTTGTACAATATATTTTGACTTAAAATCAGAATATTAAAATCTACATTTAAACTTGACCCCCCCCCCAAAAAAATTGAAAATGTTTATAGCCACACCAAAACTGTCATACAAGACCAAATGCACTAGTGACTGAGTAATGCCAGTCCACATGTGATTTACAACAGACCTCTGTCCAAAATATAAAATAAGAAAAGAAACTTGTCAGTTTTTTAACTGAACTGTTTTAATTCAACAATTAACTCATATGCAATTCACCAATTAAAGGAACGCTTTTACTTTCCCTAGATTCAGTTTTTTTAATAGTTTGAGAGGGCGCTGTAACCAGTCAAAAAATGTTAGGTATAGTGCCCGATCAGGCACTATACTCGCGCGATGTCTTGACGCATGTCTAGTTCACGATGACGCAAATTTCATGCACTAGCCTATATTAGTGAACCCCACGCAGGGGCGTAAATCCGGGGGGGGGGATAGTGGGTATATATCCCCCCCTCCACTTTTGACTAGGGGGGATGAGCTATTGAATCATCCCCCCCCCCCCCACTTTTTCATGGTGAGAAAAAAAAGACAAGTCGACCGTTGAGACAACTCGACTCGAGACAAGTCGACCGTTGAGACAACTCGACCGTTGAGACAAGTCGACTCGCATGTTTTTGAGGTAGTACCGGGGATTTTGACGGGGGGATTATGACGATCGCCGTTTGGCTGATCGCCGTTTCGGAGTTATGGTAGATGAGGTTTTTTTGGTCGGGCCGGGTTGATATACGGTTGGGGTTGCCGCTGGGCGAGATGATAGGTTTAGCTGCATTAGTTTAGAAAAATGATGGCCCTATTCTATTCAAACTTGCCTTTTGTTGCATATAACAGAGTCGATATAGCCCAGTGTGATTGTCCGTGCACATCGTTCTTTTTTTCCGGGCCTGTGTGCGCACTTATCCCGCGCCCGGTCAACGCACGGTACCGGTGTCACATGAAAATCCGACTCCTATGAAAATCGGACCCCTATTTCCCTATTATTGGTTGATCCCTCGCACGTGACAGGTCACTCTCCCGAAACGATCCTAAAAAATAGCCTAGTATCGTACTCACGCGTGCGCAGTACTACCAGTGAGTCCAAATTTCGGGGCCGTATCATAAGTCCGACGCCTCATAGGTCCGACGCCTCATAAGTCCGAAATTTCGGACTTATGAGGTGTCGGACTTATGAGGCATACAATTTATTAATTCCGCTTCATAGATCCGACGCCTCATAAGTCCGACGCCTTATAAGTCCGACAAATTAAACGCCTCGTTTTTACGTTGTCGGACTAATGAGGCGTCGGACTTATGAGGCGTCGGACCTATGAGGCGTCGGACTTATGAGGCGTCGGACCTATGAGGCGTCGGACTTATGAGGCGTCGGACCTTTGAGGCGTCGGACTAATGGGCCTTTATTTGGTTAGGGGATGCGATTTTGTCGGACTTATGAGGCGTCGGACCTATGAGGCGTCGGACTTATGAGCGGACCCCCACATTTCATGGAGTCGGATATTCACGCTACACCTGTCCGCGGCATCTTTCTTGCCGGGCCTGCGCGCCCACTTGCCGGTCAACTTGTCCGTACCGTGCACGGTGACATCGTTTTTGCCGGGCCTGTGCGCGCACTTGTCGCCGGTCAACGTAGCCGTACCGTGCACAGTGGGTGACATCGTTTTTGCTGGGCATGTGCGCCCACTTGCCGCCGCCGCGCCGGTCGACGTGGCCGTGCCGTGCACGGTGTGAGGTCGGTTTGATGCGCTGGTACGGTGCGCGCATACAGTTCGGGATTCGGTACCGCATTAGACCGACCATTGCGTTAATATTATTTCATTATTTGTATACACAAAATATATTTGGACCCAAACTTTGCATTAACACTTAATTATTTTTCTATTTACAGATGATCCAGTGGCTCGCCAATGAACCATTTGTGTTGCTTGAGACGATTCATGAGGTGATCCATATAAAGTGCCGTCCGCGATGAATCGATGTCACTTCAGGATTGACAAGTTCACAAGCATGACGAAAATTAAAAACCCTTAGCTATCAGGTCATAAAGTTATAATCTAAACGCCTTCAAGAACACAGAGATATGAAGACATGTGTTTTAGATCCATCAAGCACTCAGTTAGCAGTCTTAAATAGTTTTCTAAAAACAAATCCCTGTACATCATAACTCATATTTTGTTTATTTGGATAAGAATTTAATAAGAATTCAAAATTTAATAATCGAGATGTTTAGAGATTTGTACACATATGTTTTAGACCAGCACTCGGCAGTCTCAAACAGTTTTCTAAAATCAAATCCTTACCTCGTATACAGTTTATTTGGATAAGAAGTTTATAAAAATGAATTTTGAGTCCTGGCGTTTCCTCAAAAATAGAAAAAAAATATTTAGGTAGACATTGTGGCACACAAACTAACTTCTTTTATAATGGAAATTAATCAAAAATATATATTTGTTATGCACAGGTTTTTCAAATGAAACGCAGTGCAAATGTGATAATTTTCTCTCCTCAAGTATAATACAGAAGCGTGTACATGTACGTGCATTGATATCACAGCTGGTCGTTATTAATCGATCAGCATTTTTTGGCTTTCTGAAACGTTAGGTTCATCATTCTATTATGTCGCCCTGTCACCGAAGTATTCGGTACAGTACAATGTAATAGCTCCGTGGCTGACGACCAGTTGACAGGTGTCAACTACTGCCTGCACGCTGATTGGTCTTCGTTGATACAAAGCGGCGTATTACGGTTGCCGACTTCTGAACCTTGCGCTCTCGTCTGTGGAGAACACCGGACCGCCGGCCCATTGGAAGGGGATTTGAATAGTCCGTGCGCGTTGAGCCAGTGTCGTGATCATAATTAAAACTTCTCTTTGGAAATAAAGAGACTGGCCAAAAACTGCATGGACTAAAATGCCACTAGACATGTATCCGCATCTCTTTGTGAGTGTACATGGTTGATAAAAATAAGTCCAATTGCACAATTGGCCAATTAGTCTGGTGAGGGTTTGGAAACATCCAGGAACTCTTTAAATTATTCCACAATGTATCATTTTAAAGAGAGCAAATTATTACTGTTTTTCTGAAACCTGGTAAAAAGGGCAAAAATGTAATACATGATTCGACTGGTAAGCTATACTCTATATTCTGTCTCTTTTGACTCATTATTGGTAACTGCTGACTGTATGCAAGAGACGTACATGACTTTGTATACGGCCTGATTGGTAAAAAAATAAACCTGTCGGTTTTTATCACCATAGGTGTTTATGTCACCATCAGCCCAGGGATAATCACCAATGTCCATTAATGAATTTTTCCGAGGAACACGATTTGTGCAACTTCCCTCTATCCTTAAAGATAATGTACAACATTTGCTTTTGCTGCAATTTTCAGAAATAAATGGATTTGGAGAATTAGTATGTTATAGCAAATTTGGTTAAACTTACTTGTTTCACGTTTTGGGCTTGTATATGCTGGAAAAACCAATAAACCAATCATGTTCTTGTAGTCCGGCTCCCTGAACGGAGAAATGTAAAGACTTTGGGGAATTGTAAGGTCAAAGAATCACTCTAGCAGGCTTGTACCCCCTTCACAAGTGTGCAATAAATTGCAAAGCAAGTGCGGAATAAACAAGTGAAAAAGTATGAAAACTACATGTATCTGACAACCCTTTGTAGTTAATTTTATTCAAAGTGAACTTCTTTAAACATTTGAATTCCATGCTTTTCCTTGTGGAAACCAACTTTTGCTGTTTGGCTTAGACCTAAGTACCCAATAAAGGAAAATAATAAGGGACACTCGCAGCGTCCCCTAGCAAGCATTTGCAATTGTGCCTAACGTACGTGCGCAACAGAGGTTCAAACAACGTCCCAAATCACAATGACAGCGGCGACGCTTGCGAGCCGTGTGATGTTTTGCGGTTGATTGGCAGTGCAGGTGTCCAAGGTGTCAATCAAACGACGAGCTCACTGACAGTCGGCAAAATTGAACATCACAGGTACGAAATTCCCCTATAAAACCAAGGCATTCCATCAGTCGTCGTCATTCATTCGAAGACACCACTTATATCGTTACAATGCCTGTTCGCACCCGAAAGTTGAAGCCGACTTCCAAGTCCTCTGCGCAGTACCCCTGCATTAGATGTGGGGAGGAAGTCTCCTCCAAGCAGCACGCTTTTCAGTGCGACGGTTGCCACCATTGGCAACACCGGCGTTGTTGCCCAGGTTAGTTTCCCCCTGTATAAAAACATTTTGTTACCGCATAATTTTATATTGAAAATCCAGAGTGCTCCAGGTTATTTTTCTCTCGCATGTTCATGATTGAGTCAAAGACAAATTTCAATTGAACAAGTTGTGAGGACTGACAGGATAGATAACTAAACTAGCTGCCTCTTTGTGATTTATTTTTCTTTCCGCCATAACATTTCAACTTTTGGAGTTGTAGATTGGAACGATTTCCGTTTTCGATGTTCATCTAATGTCGCAGTGGTGTTTTCCACCCCCCCCCCCCCCCACCAAAAAAAAAAAAAAAAAGAACTCGGAGATAACAAAGTTTCTATGTATCTGAAAGCTTAGGCTGATATTCTATGTCATGTACTTGAGCCTTGGCTAGGTATTAATCTATTCCTACAGTTTTGTACCTATATGCATGCTCCACGATATAAGTTAATTTTTGAAAAATGTGAGGAAGCAATAATTTTTTAATGATGTAATAATGGTCATTTTAATCACTTTCCCCGCAATATTTAAGATGGTTAAATTTGTCTGCCAACAGGGGCCATTGTGTTGGGCAGGTTACATCGCCAAAAAGCAATGCATGTACATTTTTGCAACCTCTCCCCTTGCTTTTCACATTAAATTTGGGGTGGAAATTGTTTTTTTGAGGGGGATGAACTTTTCTGCATGCAATTTGTACACAAAAAGTACTTTGACCCTTGAAAAAGTGTTCTATTGTTGTTGTTTTCACATTATTTTCACATTACCAATAACCTTGTTAATTACTTGATTCAGTGGGGTATACATTCATTCCCTGTTACTGGCCGAAATGAAGAATACAAGTATTAGATAAGATAAAAAGGCCATTCAAGGTGCCAAATATATAACATAACAAGGCACATTATGATTTTTTTCTCTCTTGGCAGGTATCACCTTGGCGTTTTACAGAGACGCAATGAAAAGCGAAGACCAATTCGCTTGGAAGTGCACCCTGTGTGTTGCAGCTATGCCAGTGCTAAGGGATCCAACTGCCAATGGAGAACTGGTAAGTTTGCATATTCACTTTGCTTTTAGCGTCGAAGAATTCAATTTCTTGAACTTTTTGAATCCGGACCACTTTCTTGATCACATACCGTACAAATGGATTTGAATTTTAAAAAAAGGAGGAGAGCATATTCAAATTCTACTAAATTCTAGCACCAAACATAACTAGTTTGGTACAAGTTCACACAAGGTTTTGTGATCATACCGTAAACCGTTCGGAAAAAAATTGTGCTTTGTTTTGATTTCAGGCTAATGTCTTCATTTTGAATTCACCTAACTTTGACCTTCCGGTACACCCGGAAGTAAAGGTCAAGCCAGTTTACGTACCAAAAATGTTTTAATAGTTAATGGTCTATCTCATTACAGAATACCATCATCATTGATTATTGAGTTAAAGAGTTATAGGTGAAAGTAATTGATCACTTTTTCAGATAAAATCCCTCGTAATTTGACACCTGATGATGTAATCATGACGTCAGAGTAATATGCACCACTTTGGCTGAGGGCCGATATATATTAAAAGTTACAAGTTCATTCCATTATACCGTTTTGGAGAAAACCCACGGAGAAGTATTGTCCAGAAAAAAAAGGAAAGAAAGAAGATTTAATTGAGAACAAATCCAGACAGTGGTCGGGTTGTGCCCGACCACTCAATAAGTCCCCAGGCTAAACAATTTGCCCCGGTCTTGGCAAACTGCAAAACAACTTTTTGTAGGTTTCAATATCCCGATGTCAATTTGAACATGCTTTCTTCCTATGTTAAATTCAAATCCATTTGTACATGGTATATGTGATAAAGAAAGTGGCCCGGATGAGAGATACTTTTCTTAAAAAGCAAATTTGATACACCAATAAAGCATATCTTTAAAGAGCTTAACATTAGAGAGCATGTCAAACTTTCCTTTGTTTTCTGGGAGTAAGTTCCACTTTTTGAGTGGTCGGGCACAACCCAACCACTCTCTGTTTTTGTTCTGATAAATCTTTCTTTTTTTTCCCAGACAATACTTCTCCGCGGCTTTTCTCCTAAACGGTTCATGATATGAACTTGTAAGTTTCAATATATATCGACCCTCATCCCTAGTGGTGCATATTACTCTGATGTCATGATGATGTCATCGGGTATCAAATTACAAGTGATTTCAGCTGAAAAAGTGATCAATTACTTTAACCTAAAACTCTTGAACAAAATAATCAATGATGTTTGTATTTCGTTATTTTTTGTTGTGTACGTGAACTCGTTTGACCTTTACTTCCGGGTCTACCGGAAGTTCAATTTTGGGTGAATTTACTTATGATAGTGTTTAGTGAGGACTGCCAGACAAAAAAAAGTGGGATGATGTCATCTTTCGAAAGGGCGCCCCCTAGTGGCACATAACACAGTGTTTACTCTTTCTAATTTGAAAACCATCCGTTCAAATTTTACCAAATCGGTCCTTGATGGTCTTTGATTAACCAAAAATAACTTGGCAAGGTTTCAAATTCATGACGTCATCAGACCAGAAGTTACCCCTGTGAGAATTTGAAAAAGACCATATTCTAAAATTCGATTCATGTCGTATATCTTCGTACCAAGTTACGATATCCATTACAATGTTCACTTATTGCTGCCAAATACTGTGACATCATCAAACCGGAAGTTATCATGTTAAACAGCTTGCTTAGACAATAGTGGCCTATATTTCTTAAAAACTTTTTTTTTGTGGGTAATTTTGAAGGACTGATTTGTGTACTGTTCATAATTATGCACTTTTGCCAAGGAGTACCTTTGTGACAAAAGCAAAATAGCCCCCTCTTACATGTATTGATGAGAGGATTTGCTACATTTTCTTGTCACTTTCAATGAACACAAGTATTAACTTCTTGTATGTATTTTTGCAACACGTAATAATGTGCATAAAAACAAGATAGGCTGAATTTCTACTGCATGTTTCCTTTAAAAAAGTGCCTGTCATCAAACTTGCTCGACATTTTCACTGCCACGGTATACCAACAGAAGTGACATTTCAGTGGCTTGTTGAGATGCACTGGTATACTGCAGCTATATTCTCCATTATATACACATGTTTTAATCACAATATTTCTTTTAAATAAAGGTTTCACCAAGAGACCCAAGTGTGACCGGCCAGACTTAAATTCCTGTAATTATGCTGCCAGGTCCCGTCTGTAAAATATTTCTTTGTCGATGTCTGATATTTTTAGCATAAACAGCGATGCGAAAGTTGTCGAAGCATGCGAGCGCCCTCTTGTGTTTTCCGTTGAATAGAGCATACATAGTTGCGTAACAATTTGCATATGACATGCAGTGCGAAAAAGCCTTTTATTCCGTGCAGTGTCTCAAAAGCATAGGGCTTCGGACGCACATTCCGTGAATTTTTCACTAGTTTTCTTGGAGAGTAAGCAAGCATGGGTAGGTCACTTGACTGCTTGTCGTTGCTGCTGCCAGCCACACCTTATTGCGAGCCAGCTTGTCTATATTTTGCTGTTTCTCACGTGGTTTTGCCATGGTTAGCACGCCGCATGTGCATACACATATCGTGTACATGCATATCGTGTAGTTTGCCCAAACATCCCGAGGCATAGGTACACAGGCCGCAACTGCTCCGGTAAGTGTTTCAACTTCATAAATTTTGATGTTATCTTAAATAGCACTTTACGACACATTTTTATGCCATGAATACTCAAGGTTGGAAGCCAAGTCTGTATGAAACATTTTTATGCTATAAAATAAATATCCCAGGTTGAAAGCCAAGTCTATATGAAAATTGTGCATAATATGACTTGAATTTTCGATACCGAACCTTGTAATATTGACTGTGTACTTGCACATACTTCGATCCTAAATATGTTGAATTATAGGGTCAATTCACTTTATTGAACTCAAATTTGGATAGCGTGGATGGAAAGAGAAATAAGAGAATGTTCTAGCCTGAAATGAAACACATGAGACATAAAGAAGGATGTACGAATACAGAATATTGAATACTCTTTTTATGAGCATTGCTGTTTAAAACAAACAAATGTTAAGAAATAGATGTATACTGTATAAAATGCATTATAAATTCATCAATATAGAATAACTACGGATGGGTACACATGTACTGTGGAGATGAAACATTTTGATGGCACTGATGGTTATTTAATATTCCTTCATCGAAACATTAATTAATATTTATGAGATTACTTAATATGTACAGTAATTTTATTACAGCTACTGCTTGTAGTTCTGTGGTTCCTGATGGTCACAAATAGAGAAGCCTTCTCGAGTAGACCAGTGTATCCCTTATCCAGCATCCATAATATTTGGGTACGTGTATAAAACATTATTGCTTGAAATGTGCCTAAGAAATTGGAGATTTAGAGATTAATGTGTTGTAAAATTATTGCATAGCAAGTGCTTATGGAGATTATTTCTCCTTGATTAAATTTTTATGCCTTTAATATTTGTATGCCTCTCGTAAGAAATGTACTTGTAAATTCGCAGCAAAAACATTTCTATGGAACAAATCAATGGAAATTGAGGTTTATAGAACCAGTAAAGCAATTTCTCAAGATAAGATATAACCAAGGATAAGGAGAGATGGTTATTTCAAATAATTAAATAATTGAATATTGGATTCATAGTCATTGTATATTTGTAAATAAATTAATTTCTATTCTTCTGTTTTCTGTTATTACAGACTGCTGAAGAATGACTGTCGTTTTTTTGTAGTTTTTTGTTTTTTGTAGTAATAAAATTTTTATCAATTTATAGTGGAATATATACCCAGTGTCACTTTCAAATTTTCTGCGTAACCTTTCCAGCTCGGTTACAAAAATGGCGTAGTCGGCAGGATGTCATAAAAGGCATCTTAATTTGTGACACTTTGATCAAATATAAACGACAGTCATTATTATCATCATCATCATCATCATCATTATCTTTAATGACAACCTTCTGGAGAGAAGCATCTTTGATCTGAAGGGTGGTTTGCTGCAGCAGTGCGTTTACATCATCTAGTCTCCGGACAGCTGCCCAGATGTTCGTCTGAAGTGAGAGTATTTTTACATGTAGCTACACACATCTTCCCCACAGTTTGGCACCGTCGTCTGAGACAGATTGGAGAGACATTCTTCACATTACCTGTTTTTCAGCCGACCGGCCGTGGAGTGTGCTGCTAGTATTCAGCTATAGAACTCTTTCACTGATGGTGAACTGTAAACATATTCACTGGGAACAATGTCTTGCAGTCAAGATTTTTAACATTTTAATACTGCACATTCATTTGTATTTGCAAAAGTTTTGCGGCATTTTGAACGGATGACGGATAAACAATCTTGGACAATTTACTGTCTTTGGTAGCAAACGGGGTATCAAAATGTAGCTTACAAAATTCCCAAAAGGTCTATATAAATGACATCATCATCATAAGACAATCAGATTCAACATTATGACCCCTCCAATGAGTGTGGACTTTCTTTTGTTGTGGTATTTATTATGTTCACGGAGAAAATATTAGAAATCACTGTTTACTTACATCAGATGCAGCAGCGGTTTTTGGCCATGTTTTTACGTTTTTCAAGCATCAATTTTGAGACCGACTCTCAATAAAAGACTGGTGCTGCATAAAATGTTTTTAAGTTCCCTGTGAGATTCACTGCGAGATATCAGGTTCCATACAAGCTTCAGAATTATACACATGACATTCAAGCACACGCATGTTTGAAGAATAATTTGAAAAGAGAAATGCATGGCTAGAATGACAGGTACCCCGGTAGTTCTCCAACAGCTCGATAGTAATTACACGAAAACAGCAAATTTCCAAAGTATATTTGCGCGAACGTTTGTGTACTACTTTTTAACGACTTTTCAACTAACATTGTTTGGTAGTAAAAGGGTTTTCGAACCCACATAGACAAATTCTCTTGAAGGTGCTCCTTTGACCTTCCTAGTCTTCTACACTTCACAACCCTTCAAGGGTTGCAAAGCCTCATTTGCCCGTAGAGTCAGCACCCACATTTAAATTCCTTTGATGTAATCTGTGGAGTATGGATAACATTTCAAATCCCTGCACAATTCTTTTGTGTGGTTAAGCTCAGGGCACGCAGGCAGATTCAGTCACGCTTCACTGCTCTCCACAGTGCTTTTTTTTAAGGACTCTCTGTGTGACTCAGTTACTTTAACACTTCGTATCCCTTCACCTGAAACTGACCTGCAGGGTTTTGAAGGGAGGTACCTATTGCTCTGAATATTGACTCCCCACTGGAAGGGTTAATTGATTATTAAAGTATTAGTAGAATTGTGTCAACGCAGCTTGTGAAATATTGTCCAATAACATGATATACAAATGGACATGGTACCCCCAAAATCTGAGACAAACAAAACTCACGTACAAAAGTTCCATAGGATTGTCCAAGGGGCATGGCTAATTCGCAAACGGTGATAGGTCAATTGACTGTATGTTGGATGTTTTTACACCAGGCCTACCAGTGGACCAGATCACCAACAAGTGTTGTGCAGCGTGCTTCAATCGTATCGCTAGGAAGCTAGGCACGGACGGGACAGAGCTAGAAGGCACTGGGACCACGCCACCACCGGATGGACAAGAACCAGGTATAAACTTTCAATTTCTGAAGTAAAAAAAAAGATTCCCATAGACATTTTTCTTGTCTGTGCTACATCACCTATTGACTTCCAAGTAACCTCATTAAGTTGAAAATATTCCACATGGAATCTTGGAAATTTAATTATTTTGGGAATAATTCACTGCTTATCAGTCTTGCGCATTGTTAAGGCCCAATTTAGTAACTTGGCATACAATTGCCACAAAATTTGCACATCCTGAAAAGATTTTTTGAAAAACACACACAACCTGTGCAAAATGTTGTTGGTCATTTTGTTTATGATTTCTAATTATTTCGGTAATAAACCATCAACCATGATTACTCAAAAGTGCCCTAGGCACTGTGGCTCGCAAGCCTGACGAAACCTGTAGAGAGGAGACAATGAGAAGAAATGACAGTTTTAGAGGTGGGAGGAAAACCCCAGAAGAATATTCTGAGGAAACCCACAGAATCAGGTAGGGACTGAAAACCCAATCCACATGGTGGCCCAGGCAGGAATCGAAACCCGGGTCACGGGCAGTGGAAGGCGAGAAAAGTACCGCTATGCCAACCAGACTCCATGTCTCTGAAGGGAGTGCATTGTGTGAAATACCAAAGCGAGCTTTCGAGTGTAAAGCCAGCCTAGTAATAGGTCTCTCTCAAATGACATCAGTTCCTACAGACCAGCCACTTGCATCGGCATTTTGAACGTCAACTTGCATAACGCGTATTGGCTGCGTTATATTTCGAACTCGTTTCGAGCAACAAGTGCGCTTGATTGGAACATTTTTAACACTGCCCAAGGCGTGCTTGATTGCGTAAAATACGCACTGCAGTTCTCCTACAGAGATGGCAGTCTTTGAGAGAGGCCTGTCACAACAAAGTGGGCAACTCGGATTGTTCAATATTTATGAATGAATTAATGTGTTCACTGTACACAGGGCATATTACATGTAGTTACACTTGTCATTCACTGTACATACCAAATATAAAATGGAGTTGGATTTTTTTTGTTTCTGCTGCAGTCATCAACGAAACCTCAAGATGGACTGAAGAGGAGATGGAGATTGCCAAAGAAGGTTTGCTTAAAATCTTTTCATTAAATTCCATTCCAGCAGTATCCATGTCTATCAAACCTGCTTAGCAAAAATCCCTGCTTTAAGTAGCAGAAAATTTGGTGCTTATGGTAAGCGTATTTCATGGGATAGTGAGGATGTTTGGCTTCTGCGCATGCGTACATCCGGTAACTAACAATTCTTTGCTTACAGGGTTAGCACAGAGTTTTTCTGCTAGCGTGGTTAGCACAGAATGGTGATTGTAAGCGTGGATTCTGTGGTTAGCAGAGCCATACATTGCGCCCCGTAAAGTGCTAAGGCTGATTTAATTGTCCTGATGAAGTACATACATCAATTATGAGATAATAAGATGGCTGTAAAATACCTTACTGAGAATTTACCAAAAAAAGCATTGTGACTGATTCTCCAAAATCATGTTAAAATAATGATCAGCTAAAATTTGTTTATGTGATTTTTGGAGAACTTTGAAATCCTTTATATACCTTTTGTTTTAGTTAAATGCAACATTTGTAAACATCAAAAAACCAAAAGTACTAAATATTATGAAATACCTTACTTGACTGTACATGTAAGTGAATAATAGTCTCAAGCATCCTGGGAAATCATGGCACCTTGTGTGCTGCCATTTTCAAGAAAAGTGGATTTTTTGTATCAATATCCAATGATGGACGGCTAATCATCATTGGAAAAGAACTGACTTATTTCAAATACTACCTCCAGTTTACCAAATTTAGTTAATCCACATTTTGTTTGCAATCGGTAACGCGTCTGTGAACAGGTGCAAGCCAGTTAGTCTGGTTCCTTGACCTGACAACCCCCCAACGTCTAAAAATTACTCCATATGGTCTGAATTAGGGTCAGACAACCAGACTACAAGAACAGCATATTTTGCAAAAATGCTTAACTGAATTGACCTAACCTGAATATCCAAACGCAAAACTGAAACCTACCCGACCCAACTGAAATGATGGCAAAATCGACCTGACCCGACCAGAGCCAAAGTCAGTGTCAGGTTGGGTCAGTTTCGGTTTGAGGTCAGGTTTGTGCAACATTTTTTCAGACTTGCACAGGTGGTATGGTAATCCAAGTGCGCACATAATTTGATGCAACTTTTTAGCAGAATACATGTATTTACAATGTATGTGTGACAGGAATTACGACAAGGTGTTTTTCGTCTCTTTAAAGGAAATATTTACAATGGAAGGGTTACATGGACACATGTAACTACCTTTGCTGGTTTTCTCACCAAAAGGTAATCACAGTATGCACTGTATATGTAAACAGTATAATAGTACAGTATAAGGACAAACCAAAACCTCATTTCTGTTATCAAATTCTGTTGTCTAATTGTCATGAAGAGTTCTTTTTAACCCTAACTCCCTAGCTTGATCTACTAGGAACCATACCCATCCTGGCAAATTCCAGCACCGTGTTGGAAACTGCACACACACATTTCTGACTTTGTTTCTGGAGGTGTGCCAACCCAATGTAAAAGTCTGTCAGTTTAGGGGTACTGTACCCATCCTGACAGATTCCAACAAATGAATGGGGTTTGATGGGTTGAGTTCTGTTAGGGTTAATCTTTCATACCATCAAATACCAGTACGCATACATCACTAAATTATTAGTTCTCACCATTCCTTTCCAAAGCAAATTTCTTGTTTTAGTTTCTTCACATCAAATTTACTTGGCACTCCTATTTGCGTGATCTATATGTACACGTGTAAACAGGTTTTCAGACTGTCAGGTTGCAGCTTTAACACTGTTCGTGTCCATCAGTCAGTTTCCACTCAGTTCCCACTCAGTTCCCCTTGCATGGATGGCTTGCACTCATCAGTTACCAAAGAACATTGTTCTTGACACCTTTCAAACGATTGACTCTTGATGTGCATACTGCTGCCCTTGTGCTGATGGCTCGGTGCCAGTCAGCCCAGGGCATTGTTCCTGAGTACTTGCAAGTGACTGCTGGCTCTCTGCTGGTTCTGGATGTACACACTGTTCCCCTTGTATAGATGGCTTGCAGTCAGTCAGACTAGAGCATTGTTCCTGATGAGAACTTGCAAGCGCTGGGGTCCCCGCTGGTTCTGCATGTACCTCAACGTGCACTTGAACATGGTGCTGAGTGTGCATGGATGCCTTGCTGCTGTTTTGCCTGGAACATTGTTCTTGACAGCTGTCCTGTGATTGCTGACTCTCTGTGTGTTGTGCATGCCCTTGGCTTGGTGGCTTGCTGCTGCTTGGCCTGGCAGCACGGTGCTCTTGGTCATTTTCTGCCTGTGGAATCACGCGAAGCTCAATCTGCTTCCCTGGCTTCAATGGTCGGCTGGGATTCCGTCTTGGGCAGCAGCGACAGCACAGTTTCAGGAATGAGAAAGCCTCAACTACAGCTGTACGATAGTCAGCGTTTGTGGCACTGTAGACTAGGGAATTGATTGAGCTATTGATGAGTTGCAAGATAACGGTACACAGAGCCACGATCATACCATTTTTTGCGAGTTCTACAGACGCAATAGGCTTGACAGACCCAGAAAAATACACTAATTTGATTGTCATGACTGTATCTGCAATGTCCAACGAGTTCAGAATGAAGAAAACAGCAGTATTGGTTGTAACCATACAGAGGACCTTGCCTGCTGGCTTGGGACGGTTGGGCAAGAGGGCGGATTGCTTGCGAACTTTCACCACTACATAGATGTACAAAACAAGAGAGTGACTATTAAACAGACAATGTTGATAAGAAAATTAATCCAAAGGATGACATAAGAGAAGACAGGCTCTGGTATGAATACCAGAATCACACCAACAATAACTGTTGGCACCCTGATTCCTGCTGATATCTTTGCTGCTCGAGATTTAGAGGCTTTTTTTTTAGATGTCAGAGGATTGCGCACTGCAGAGAATCTCTCAGCTGCTATGGTAACCACAAAGAAATTAGAAGCTGCTAGGAATGTGTACCGCACAATTTGAAATGCTGTTTGGGCTTGTGAGAAGTTGTACTCTGAAGGTGAAAACAGTGCAGCTATAAAGTCAGTCGTAAGGAAGAGCGAGTCAGCCACAGCCAGATTGGATAAGTAGATGTTGATGATTGTACGCATGGACTTCATTCGAATGACTGTGAAGAGAAAGACAAAGTTCAAGAAAAGGCCAAGCGGTGCAATGATTTCCATGCTGAGGTTATATATTTCTATATTTTCATATACACTGTCTTGAAAGTCCCTCCGGAGCCTCTCAATCGATGAAGAGGAGCCGTCTTGGTAGCCATCACCCATAGTTCATGTTCATTGTAGCATTGATGTCCATGTCTAACATTGTGCTCAGGTGCAACAAAGAGTGGTCTGCCCTATCACAAGATCACTCCAGTTTTATACTAACTGGGAATATAAAACCTTGAGAAATCTGGAGTTGAAACTAAAAGCTTCTTCACGTTTCCTTCTTATTTTTCCTTTCCTTGTTTCTGTAAGACCAAGTGAAAATATGAACATGTTTCTTGTTCCTGCCTGCTTCCCTCCCTCACCCACCTCCTTTCTTCATTTTTTAAATCATACATGTACAATATATTTTGTCTTGTTATACAGGATGAGTCAAAAAAGCGGAACCCAAACCCCCAAAAATATTTTTCATATTTAACAAAATATGTAGCACCAAAAATAATAATGACTGGAAAGCCAATTTAAAAAACTACTTTGAGATGAAAAAAATTCCTTAAATTGCTCAATCAGTGCAAAGAATATCAGCATTTAAACACAATGACCCTAAAACCTGTTTCGTCTCCCCCCCCCCCCCCCCAAAAGCAATTCATTGTGTATTCTGACTGTTTGGAACAACAAAGAAAACGAGACAGAATACTTGTTTCAACAGCTGTATTACACAATATCTTTATTAACAACCCTGGTTAGGCAAACAATATGATTTATAAAATCCAATTGTTTTTTAAAGACGGGGCTTCAAAATGACTGTGTTGAATATTTTTAACTTTTAAACTGAGGTTTTATCGCTCGTGATGTTTGAAGACAATTGTGACAACGATTCTTGAAATCGCATTTTTGGACAAAACAGGTTTTGGGGTCATTGTGTCTTAATGGTGATATTCTTTGAACGGATTGAGCAATTTCAGTAATGTTTTCATCTAAAAGTAGCCTATGAAATTGGCTTTCCAGTCATTATTATTTTTGGTGCTCCAGATTTTTTTAAACATCAAATATAACTTTTGGGGTTTGGGTTCCGCATTATTTAACTCGCCCTGTATGTGTCCAGCACAATCATGACAATTCTAGCTATGTATTTGCAAGTTTGAAATCTTGTAGAAAGGGTGACAGCTCCTTTGGACACAGAAGTATGAGGAAAAGAATTGAGAAAATGGAAAAATCCATCCACCATCTTAGAAATCTACCATCTTGAGTAAAAGAAAGGTCCGCCTTTTTTTTCTTTTCAAAAATTCAGGACGAGAAACTTGTTTATTTGGCCTGAGCTACTAAAGTGTAACTTTTGTTTCTGTTGTTTTCACACTGTAATAAAATAATACAACAGAGTGAGAAATGTTTTCTTAAGGTTTTGATTTTAGTTTCATTCGTGAAATATTTACTACATGTATTTTAACAAGAAAATGAAAATGTAAAGGAATATGAAAACAAGCAAGATCGTTTCGGTGTTCTCTTCTCTTATCCTTCAGTGTCAGGTCAGTGTCCCTGTACACAAATGCTGAGTAGGTTGAATTTTTTGCAGCATATCTTACTGTTTCTGTATTGTAATGATGATCTTATTTGATGGAATAACCCTGCAAAAAAGTTTGTTCAAGTTAAATGATTAAAACAAACCGGGAAGGCAGATTTAAGAATTCTAGTATTCACATGGAAATGGCATCAGATTGCAAGTGATCATGGTCCACATTTACAGAATGTATAAACAATGTACAACCTCTGCTTTTGTTTTACTAAATGGGAATTGTTCAGTGGTCACATGTGTGACATTTTGATCAATCACATGTGTGGCATTTTGTAATTAAA